AACAAGGTTAAAATACAACATTAAAACGTTAAAATGCAGCCTCATTTCAGTGAAAACTCAATCAAAAAACTTTTTTGGGGATGAAAACGTCAAGTCTCCACCAAGGCTATCTATCCAGACTGGTCCTACATGGGCCAGAAAAAAGCCAGGGAAGTCCCCATATAGGAGTTCCAACACAGAATGAGAAAGGAAAAAAGAAAGAGGGGGAGGGAATCAAATTGATTCCAAGCCAAAGGCCAGGCGGAATGAGGCCGGCAAGATAAAAACAGAAACACCAGACTCATATTTCAGCTCCGTCAAGGCAAGTTAATACAGCTTCTCTTGCAGAGAGCAAGAGCAGGGGGCGCTGTGGTCTAAACCACTGAGCCTCGTGGGCTTGCCGATCAGAAGGTCGCCGGTTCAAATCCGTGCAACAGAGTGAGCTCCCATTGCTCTGTCCCAGCTCCTGCCAACCTAGCAGTTTGGAACCACACCAGTGCAAGTAGATAAATAGGTACCGCTGTGGCGGGAAGGTAAACAGCATTTCCGTGCGCTCTGGTTTCCGTCATGGTGTTCCGTTGTGCCAAAAGTGGTTTAGTCATGCTGGCTACGTGACCTGCAAAGCTGTCTGTGGACAAACACCAGCTCCCTCAGCCTGAAAGCAAGATGAGCGCTGTACCCCATAGTCGCCTTTGACTGGACTTAACCATCCAGGGGTCCTTTACCTTTATCCATTTTTACAGGGAGTATCCCATAGATATTGTAAGGATTTTTACGACTGAGCGACTCACTTCTGGCTCCCAAGCTGTAACAAGGGACCCATTTTTCTATCCTAGCCCAAAAATGGAAAGAGGACAAGATGCCAACAAAAGAAGAATGGGAAGCCAAACTTACGGAGTATGCAGAAATGGCAAAACTTACAGAAAGAATCAGAAACATTGGCAATGAAGATTTTTAAAAAGACAAGGAACCTTTTATGCCGTACTTACAGAAATACTGTAAAGAAATGGACTCACCAGCAGGGTTTGATTAAACACTTACAAGAAAATAAGTTTAAAGGTCAAGAAATAATAATATGGAATGTAATTGAGTGCAAGATGTAATTACAAAAGAAAATTTGGTATAAAAATGATAAGAATTTAAGTGTATTGAGGTATAAGATCGTAAAAATAAGACAAAAATTAAGCAGAAGTAATAAATGTTTAAAGAACCAGAAGGGGAAGTTAAGGGAGGGTTTTTCCCCCTTTTTTTGGTCTATATGACAAATGTTATATTGTGTTATTTGGCTGAATATTGTAAAATCCAATAAAACTTATTTTTAAAAAAGGGACCCATTTTTCTCTTTTGATTTACACTTAACAGTGCTAATAATGCACATTATTTAATCTTAAAATGGAAATACAGAGCGTCGTATACTTCATGTTACCTTAGCATTACTGTTAAAGGAAAGCCAGTCCTGCAATGTGGCAGGACAGAGGCATGAGGATAGGACTGGCCAGAAATCTGTATCTTATTTATAAAACGGCTCATGGCTTTCTCCTACACTGCACCACCCACTGAAACTAATAAAAGAGAGTCTCATCAAAATAGCACGTTTTAGTCCTCAAAACTCACAAGTAGGTCCCTATATTATAATAATAATAATAATAATAATAATAATAATAATAATAATAATAAATTAATTATACCCCGCCCATCTGGCTGAGTTTCCCCAGCCACTCTGGGTGGCTCCCAATCAAGTGTTAAAAACAATACAGCGTTACATATTAAAAACTTCCCTGAACAGGGCTGCCTTAAGATGTCTTCTGAATGTCAGGTAGTTGTTTTTCTCTTTGACATCTGTTGGGAGGGCGTTCCACAGGGCGGGTGCCGCTACTGAAAAGGCCCTCTGTCTGGTTCCCTGTAGCCTCACTTCTCTCAATGAGGAAACCGCCAGAAGGCCCTCGCCACTGGATCTCAGTGTCCGGGCTGAACGATGGGGATGGAGACACTCCTTCAGGTATACCGGACCGAGGCCGTTTAGGGCTTTAAACCTACCCTCTGGTTGAAGACCTATGGCCTATATTATGTCAATACCAAGGGCAGACGTATATAAACTGGGGGTGGGTGGTGGGCACCACAGACAGATACATATTTGAACAGTTATCCTCAGCTGGATCAACCTGAATCGGCCCAATTCGCTTCAGGATATGGCGCACAGCCCCCAATTGGTAGGTCTTATAATAGTTCTGCTTGAGTGGTAATGAAGAATGAATTTGCATGAGGGTCCGGATGATGTCTGTGGTCCCTGCATGCCTCAATACTCTTGGCTGCATTTTCTGCAAGCGGAAATCGTGGCCTCCATTTGAGACCAGGTGTGTGCAAGGAAGAAAGCCATCTCAGACGGCTTCAGAAAAACCTGCATATAGGGCAAGGAGTGCTAAGAGTTTCCAGCATTTGTCCATTGTGAAGAAAGCTGCCAGACTGTCAGGATGGTAAGGAAACACTTATTTATTCCCCAAAATATTTATTGTCCCGAGCCTACTGTGAAACGTGGGGTTTGCACCACCAAATGTTGCAGGGGGTCATTTGACGGTGTTTGACACCGTTTTCAATGTCAGGTGTTTTTTGTGAAACTGTGACCCTGCAGATTAGGGCAACGAGGGCTCATTTTATGGCCTATCGTAAAACATGGGGTTTGCACTGGCAAACATTGCAGGGGGCCATTTGCTGTTGTTTGGTGTTGCTCTCGAGTGAATCGGATACCAGGTTTTTGGCGAAACCACGACCCTGTGGATTAGGGTGCCAAGGGCTCATTTTATTACCTACCATGAACTGTGGGGTTTACACTGCCAAACATTGCAGGGCGCAATTTGCCAGGTGTTTGGCACTGCTTTTGAGTGAATCTGACATCGGGATTTTGGTGAAATCATGACCCTGCAGGTTAAGGTGCCGAGGGCTCATTTTATGACCTACCATGAAATGTGGGGTTTACACTGCCAAACATTGCAGGGCGCAATTTGCCAGGTGTTTGGGACTGACATCGGGATTTTGGTGAAATCATGACCCTGCAGGTTAGGGTGCTGAAGGCTCATTTTACGACGTACCATGAAATGTGGGGTTTGCACTTCCAGATGTTGCAAGGGGCCCTTTGCTGGGGTTTGGCGTCACTTTCGAGTGAACTGGACGTCGGGTTTTTGGCAAAACCGTGACCCTGCGGGTTAAGGGGCTGAGGGCTTGCAGTAATTAAGGTCCGCTGGAAAAGGTATGACACAAGATGTCAGGACTGCATAAAGGAGTGTATGTGTTTTCTTTTTCGTTTCTTTTCTTTTCCAGGTTATTTTTATTACTTTTCCAAATTATTAAAAATCAAACCAAATTACTTAAATTTAATAGTTTCTTAAAATCGGGTTTCCCGCTCCTGTTGCAAACATATGTCAATCATTTCCTCCCATAGCTGCACCATCTTATTTAGTGTCCAGTTGTCAACCTTCATTTGCCGTTACATTCTTGCAGGTGACTGCATTTTACCTCCTTACAAACAGCGCCTCTGTTACATCTTATAAATATAAAATCTATTTCACGTGTGTAGTCCTTCATATACATTGTTGTTTTGGACCTGGTGTGCTGGGATAATTAATTACTATCTTCCATTGTTCAGTTCTTTGCTGTGTTTAACTGGATGGTACAAAGTCACATTCCATTCCTTCCACTGTTCACCAACTAGCATATGGGCTACGGCCATAAATAACTCACAGAGAAACATGTTCAGTCTCTGCCATTAAAATTCCGCTCTGGAGTTCTTCCTTGGGACACAGTTATAAACGTAATCTTTTCTCAAATTCAGCCTCTTGCTGGATCTACAGTCATACCTCCGGTTGCGAACGTGATCTGTGCGGGAGGCGTTCGTAGCCTGAAGCGCCGCATCTGCACTTGCGCGTGACGCAATTCAGCGCTTCTGTGCATGATGTCATTTTGTGCTTCTGTGCATGCGCAAGTGCCGAAACCTGGAGGTAACCTGTTCTGGTACTTCCAGGTTTGGTGCAGTCCGCAACCCGCAGCGTTCGTAACCTGAGGTATGACTGTATTCGGCAGCCATTCATTCTCCTTCCTCTGCATTGCTCCATCACACTCCTGGTTCAATCCAAATATAATTTTAAATAAAGTCCATTCAACCTCGGTCAAGGGCATAACAAAACATTGTTAAATTCCTTGCTGAGCATAAATCTAAAGCCTCTCCCCTCTTTTCCACGGTGACAGACAGAATAACATAGTCGTGGCTACACAAGTCTCTTTCATTTTGCAGGGGAGGACAAGAAGAGAGAAGACCATTTGAAAACCATATGAAAGCACCAAGCACCTTGTCTTCCTCCTTCCTTTCCCGGTTGTTGTAAGGATTCTCAATATTCAAAGAAAACATCCAGACACCTTCAAAGAGCCAAGCCCTTTTGGCAGCTGACTGATTGCAGCCTGTTAGGAGCGCCTCTTGATTAATGCCAATTGTCCAAATTATGGAAGAACGAACCAGAAATCATGTAGGACAGAGGCTCGTCCATGGCAGGGACACACTCCCAGATCGCACCCGTTCTGCCTTTCAAGTTGGCATACATGGGCTTAAGTGGCACAGCTGGGTGCACTGAGCTCTGCGGACCCCACTGGGGAACAGTGTCAGGATTTTTACCTCATAAATCCTGGCTTTCCCCTGCCTGAACCTCCACGCTACCCGCGGAGGGCAGCGAGGAGCAACCACCACGTGATGTAGCTGGAAACCCAGAGTATAACAGTGTTTTTTAGGCCCTGGAAAAAGTAGAAAGAACTATAGGGGGACTCAGTGGCTGGTAAGGATGCTCTCTTGGTGATGTGACAGCTCTAGAATTATTATTTTTTGGCAGGGGCTTGGGCAGATACCCCCTGTGGGCCATCCTTGCCTCTGCCATCATTCTTGGGCAGGGGGATTGTTTTTTTGGGGGGGTTGGTGGAGGGTGTTCAGACCCCCCCCAACATGCACACATAATATACATAGAGTCCAGTAGACCTCTAGGTTTGTTTAACTGATTTTTATTATCATTCTTATTTTAAATGGTGTGGCTTTTTTGCTAAGACCCAAGATCAATAGTGGATTGATTTCCCTTTGACGAAAAATTGAAACTTTTTATTGAAAATAGTACTAAATCAGTGCTACCCGCTCCATGCCTACAGTGGTCATACTGATATGGCAGAGAACAGGACGAGGGTCAAAAGGCATTGTATTCATAGTCACAGTATCCTGTAAACAGTGGCTCTGCCCGGATTCCTCGCCTGCAACAAAGGAGAAGAAAAAGCATATCAATGGAAGATCACACTGCTTTACAAACAAAACAAAAAATAAATATGCTCAATGAAGATGTGCTTTTGTTTTTTTTTATTTCACAATATTTACATATAGCTTCTAAGCAGTTTACCAAAAAATCAAAAACATTTAAAATGATCCATAAGCGTCAAAAGAGATCGAAGAACATTCAAAAGACAAATGCAATCAACACTGTGAAAAAAGAAATTAAAACACACATCCGCATACTGCATACTAACAGCGTTCTGAAGACACCCCCAAGCCTTTTTTAAATCATCTGTCAATCCACAGAGAGACCAGGGAATTCTGAGAACATGTGCTGGAAAACATGACTTACTTGGATTCTGGTGAGTCACTGAATCACAGAACTGTAAAGCTGAAAGGGACCCAAGGGTCATCTAGTCCAACCCCCTGCAATGCAGAAGGAATATGCAGCTGTCCCTTATGGGGATTGAACCTGCAACCTTAATGTTATCAGCACCACGCTCTAACCAACTGAGCTTTAATTTTGTCTATCTTTTATTGCTCCAGTCTCTAATAAGCAAGGGTGGGAAGGACTGGGGCTCCTCCGATGTTGTTGGACTCCTGGTCCCATCAGCTCCTGGCCAGAATAGCCAAGGACCAGGGAAGATGGGATCAGGAGTCCAGCCAAAACTGCAGAGCCACAACTGCTCTAAACTAACAGCAGCCATTCCTTGGTACATGGAGATCTCCTTTTAGCAACTGACAGCTGCTTGCGTTAAGAGGGGGAAAGTTCAGAGGCAGCCCACTCTGAAAACCAATCGACATGGGAGCAAGGAGCTTCCACGCCCTAGCTTGGGGGCTTCCTAGAAGCATCTCGTTGGCCGCTGTCAGAAAGCACAACATTCCCAGATACCTGTGGGAAACCTGCGAGCAGGACCCGAGCAAAGGAGCCACTCTCCCCTCTTGCAATTTCTTATCTGCTCTTATGTTCTTATTAGTTGCGGCTGATAAATAAATTGAGCCTACATGTCCAAATATTGAATGATATTGTGGGCTTCCCGGAGGCAATTAGCTGGAAACTGATTATGTGAGCCTTTGCTCTGTTCTAGCAAATCTCTTACTTTTCTTTCACTGTGCAAAGAGAGTTCGGGAACCATGGTAACACTGCACTATGCCTGCTTGCTCAGAAGTAAGTCCCACTTAAATGAATGGGACTTACTCCCTGGGTAGCTCAGTTGGTTAGAGCTGCTTCTTCTTCTTTGGCGATCCCTCGTAGCTGAGTAAGATTGTTTTCCATGAACATGGTCTTAACGGTGAGTCTGTAAGTGACTGTGGAGGCCAATTCTGGATCCACACGTCCTTCCACAGTGACATAGGTTTCCGGATGGGAGTTGATCACAGTGAGGGTTTGCCAAGAGTGCCTTCCTCTTAGCACGTTTCTCCCTTGCGTCCCGAGTTCAAGCATCTTCAAAGCCCATGACACCTTTGGTAAAGGCTGTTCTCCAACTGGAGCGTTCGCAGGCCAGTGTTTCCCAGTTGTCGGTGTTTCTACTACATTTTTAAAGATTTGCCTTGAGAAAGTCTTTTGTTGACCACCTGCATTACGTTTCCCATTTTTAAGTTTGGATAGCTCAGTTGGTGCTAATAACGCCAAGGTTGTGGGTTCGATCCCTGTATGGGACAGCTGCATATTCCTGCATTGCAGGGGTTGGACTAGAGCAGGGGTCGCCAAGGTTTACCTCACCTGGGCCGGTTCACTCCAGCAGAGATCCCTCTGTGGGCTGGATTTCCAGCATGTGTCTGTGCAGACGTGATTTTTGGCGTCTGCGCAGATGTGATTTTCGGTGTCTGCGCATGCGCAGATTCAATTTCCAGCGACGTGGAAGCGAGTCCCCATGCTGTGCTGTACTGGTTTAGTGCAGTGCATGGGGACTCACTGAGAGGGTGGCTCGGTTCGGGGGCAGCTTGGGGGCCGGTTAAATGACCCCCGTGGGCTGCTTGTGGCCCACGGGCCTTAGGTTGCCGACCCCTGGACTAGAGGATCCTCAGGTCCCTTCCAACTCTGTAATTCTATCATTCCCAGTCAAGCATGGACAGCAGCTTAACAAGGCCTGCCTGGTCTCACTAACTGGCACACAAGACTGCATCAACCTTATCGGCCAAGCTATGCCCACCTGCCCTGCACCTGGCATAAAATACGAGGAGCAAGGCAGTTACAGGTGGGGCTTAGCCAAAAGCAGGTTTGCTGGCACCACTGATCTATGTTCTGCAAGCGTTGACAATCAGCTGGTTGCTAAGGTTTGCAATGTACTGTGCTTTTACCCACACGGTTTGATTTCAAACAGTGCAGGGACCAAAGTAGGTCGCCTGGTGTCACAGCCGGTGATTGACAGATGGCCAGATCCAGTTCCCCACCCCAGCATACAGGATTGCTGCCTGAGGTGCATGGAAATCTCAGGACATCAAGCACAAAGGCCTTTGTATATCCAGCTACAGCTCACAAGTTCGTCTGGCCCTTTTCACTCTCCATGGCTAATGCAACGGTCACGTTGCACGTTCGCTCTTGAGAGCCACAGGTACAAACAAAGCTTCCCAGAGGGCTCAGCAGAGAGTTTTACCTGAGGAGGGTGCACCGGAAGTCTCCCAGCCTCCTATATGCATCCTGCAGGTCTCGGACCGTCGCGTTGCTCCAGAGTCTCTCGGCTACAGCCCCAGCTCTAGGCCTTGAGGAAATAAAACAGCACAGCCCTCACGTCAGAAACTATGACAGGGCTGGTGAAAATAAGTCACAGCTGAGGAGCAAGCACTGAAACCTGGCGAAAGAGGCTCCTGGCTTAAGCTTAAGGAATGGCATGCTTGCTTGGAACATGAGAATTCTGACAAAACGGAAACAGGAGCGGAAATTGTCACTATTTGCTTCTTCATTCCGTGTCCAGGACAGAAATCAATCCAGCAAACACAACGATGGATCTGGTAGCGGGAAGGAGGCCGCCTCCTCCATTGCAATCACGGCATTTAAGCCTTAAAGCTAAAGGCCAACACAATCCGGAAGTAAAATAGAAATAGAAATAGGCAGACAAGATATAATGGGAAGAGCAGAATCTCCTCTACACGTATTAAGAGCAAATGGAAAAAATCCTCTGCAGGGACTAAATTGCACTAAATTACCTTACACTTGTTTACACTGAATTACATTTGCCATTTTAATGCCCAAACGTCCTTTTGCATCTTGTCGCTACCTCTTTTTTTTTGTATTTTAACAACTCTGAACCAACTTAGTATCATCAGCAAACCTGGCCGCCCCTCTCTCCTCCTGGGAAGCCAGAGGCGTCAAGGACACATTCCAACCAGGCAAATGAGCGCAAGAGGACCTCCATCAGAAAATGTGCCCCTACAAGACAAGGTGTGCCTGGTTTAGTGACCGCTGATCTTACCAGAGTCTTGGGGTTAAGTTTGTCACATCCACATATTCACCCCACATGCAGGCCTCTCCTCCAATCACCAGCTTCTTCTGTTCTGGGCTGCCTGCCAACAAGATGTATTCTTCAAAAAAATGTATTTAAAACAATAACATCTAAAACATTAACAACATCTAAAAACAGTCACATACCCTCACAACCATTAATTTCAATTGCCTGGGTGAACCTCCCACCCACCCCACTCACACATGAAAACAAAGACCACCACAGCCAACCCCAAATGAACAGCCATACCCCAGGCCAACCCCAACCTCTCTCACCACCAAAGGAACACAAGTGAACAGCAGAGAACCTGCACAAGCAACGCTGACACCAAACCCCACATATAGTAAGTAAAATAGAAACGTCGCCACCCGACCGCACCCCCCCACATCTTCCCCTCCTCCAACTCTTTCTCCCTTTTCTTCCAAATGTCTCAACAAATGAAACTGATTTGTAAAAATGTTACACGGGGGGAAAAATACGAGAGAGAGACATTGCACACACTTTTGTAAATTAATAAAATCTTTAATAAATTGCCTGGGTGAACCAGAATACCTTTAACTACCCCTGATGATGAGAGAGACGCACCACATGAGGGAGGGCATTCCACAAATGGGGAGCCACCACCAAGAAGGCCCTGCCCCTGTTCTGTGCCAACAAGGCAACACCCAGTGGTGCCACCACTAGCAGGGCCTCCCCTGCCAATCGTAGGGCCTGAGGGGGTCAAGACTCAGGGAAGCGCTCTTAGGTGGTTGGGTCACAAGCCATTTAGGGCTTCACACGCAAGGGCTGACACCCTGCGGGCGGGCCTGGTGACTCACAACCTCTCTGCCTCACAGCACCCAAGATAGCAGGAAAGCCAACACCAAGAACGTACCTTCAAATGCCAATGGCTCCACCTGGTGAACCGCCATCCAATCCTGTCCATAAGAGATGTGGTTAAGATACCAGGGGGCAGAGAGAAGAGCCCGGTAGCCGGCTTTGGTGACGCGAGCCATCTCTGCTTGGTATGTCCCCGCGTTCTCTCTCCACACGTGTATTAGGGTATCAGGCTTCACCTGTCCAAAAGAGAAGCAGGAAGGGAAGCACGTCAGAGACCAGAGAAGGGCCCTGCGTTCAGTTAAGACAGCAGGGCGGCCGTGGAATCATGGGAAGCCGCAACAGTGACGCCACGTGAATTACAGCCATTCTAAATGGAGATCTTTATCCCAGCTGCTATCTGCACCGGACTTGAACTGAATTTATAAGCAGGTGCTGTTGTTGTTCCAACCTGCAGAGTTGCTTTCGTTCTTATTGCTTTTTATATGCAATGGTTTCGACCGCTTTTTATACCTGCAACTGTTATATGTCTCTGATATATTTATATATATTTTATATATGTGGTATCTGAAGAAGTGTGTGCGCACACAAAAGCTTATTACCAGAACAAATTTAGTTGGTCTATAAGGTGCTACTGGACAATTTTTAATTTTTACTTCGACTGCGTCAGACCAACACAGCTACCTACTTGAATCTAGAATCATGGAAGGCACCACATTGAGCTGCATGAAATGGAAGTCCATCAACCTCAGTATCTGAAGAAGTGTGTATGCACACAAAAGCTTATACCAGAACAAACTTAGTATATAGGTGCTAATGGACAATTTTTTATTTTTTTGTGTTTTATGCATGTTTTTTTATTGTATCGTAAATCACTTTGGCATGTTCCATGGGAAGCAATGCATAAATTAAATTGATAATAGTAATAAATTAGAAAAAAAATAAGGAAACCAGAGAGGGGATAACGCTTTCCCCACCACTGTTATCCTGACTAAATCCGCACCCCAACACTCTCGCACACCCTGGGACACCCCAGGATCACCATTCATCAGATGTGTAGCATGTGCTTAATCAGACGTACCATGTGATTGATATGCATGCATTGATTGGCTCAGATGTATGAATTATTATTATTATTATTATTACAGTCATACCTCGGGATGAATACGGTTCAGGTTGAGCATTTTCTGGTTGCGCTTCGCGGTGACCCGGAAGTAACGGAACACGTTACTTCCGGGTTTCACTGCTCGCGCATGCGCAGACGCTCAAAATTACGTCATACACATGCGCGGAAAGGGCGAAACACGACCTGTGCAGTCGTGTGTTACGTTTGCTTCAGGATGCGGATGGGGCTCCGGAATGGATCCTGTTTGCATCCAGCGGTACCACTGTATTACTAATATTCCTAATATTAATATTTGTATGCTGTCCTTCATCCAGAGATCCCAGGGCAGTTCACCACAGAAAAATACAAAATGAGAACACAAAACAAGAAGAAGGGGAGCCAAAGGGACCAAACACACATAGGCTACATGCAAAGCTCAATGTTCCAGGCACTCCTGTAATACAGGAACAGCCTGAACGGGACAGACAGTGGCAACCTATTCCTCTTTAGAGAAAGATCAGAACAGCTTAGTGCTTAAAGAGAACAAAAGGTGGGTCAGAAACGCAAAGCGGCTTTGGGAGAGGGGAGGCAGAGAAGCAGCATTGCAGATGAGTAGCAGCTAGAAAGAGCCAAGCGGCGCATGAGATCAAGCACACTTTTTGTGATATTCTCTCAGCTCCACTGGCTGCCAACTCATGCAGGCCCTGGGTTAAGGAATCGGTGCCCCTCTAGGTGCCATTGGTCCCAGGCAGCAGGGCTAGGATGAGACTTGTAGGTGATGAAAGATGCATTCATCCCTAAGTGATGAGCTTTGATACAGCAGTCCAGCAAGAAGCCCAGGCTTGGTGCAACCACGGTGGGGATGTGCCAATGAAGAAATGGCTCTTATTCTGGCCTCTCAGAAACGTAATTGCGACCTTGACCCAGCCCAGGGGTAAGGAACCTCTGATCCAGGGGTCAAATGCAGCCCTCCAGGCTCCTCTACCTTGCCCTTGGGACTCTCCCCAGGCCACACACCCCTCCAAGCTACTGTATTTTTCACTCTATAAGACACACTTTTTCCCCTCCAAAAATTAAGGGGAAATGTGTGTGCTTCTTATGGAGCAAATGCAGGCTCCATGGCTTTGCGTTGCTTTCACTGAAGCCAGGAGAGCTAGACTCTCCTGGCTTCATGGATAGCCACAGCGGGAGGAGAAATGGAAGGGGCTCCATTTCTCCTGCTGCTTTGCTAAAGGGGCGCTGGGCAGAGGGAGAGAATTTTTTTTTTCTTGTTCTCCTCCTCTAAAACAAGGTGTGTCCTATGGTTGGGTGCGTCCTATAGAGCGAAAAATATGGTACATCCATTCCCACCTGTAGATGCTGAGGATAGAACTTGGGACCTTCTGCATGCAAATCAGATGCTCTACCATTGAGCTGCGGCCCTTTCAGGTACTTTGCCTAGAGAAGGAATACAGTCATACCTCTTGTTACATTCGCTTCATGTTACGTTCTTTCAGGATACGCCCCACAGCAACCCAGAAGTACCGGAAAGGGTTACTTCTGGGTTTTGCTGCATGCTCATGCGCAGAAGCGGCAAATCGCGACCCGCTAACACGCAGACGTGGGTTGCGTTCTGCTCATGTTGCGAAAGGGGCTCCGGAATGGATCCCGCTCGCAACCAGAGGCACCACTGTATATGGGAAGGTTGCAAATTCAACGACACTCCTGCTCAGCAGCATTTGGTGGGGAGAGGGGCAGAGGGATCCACAGGACGCAAACGTTCTTCCTACATGTAATTGCTCCGCTACCACGACTTTTGCCCAGCTGTCCACATAAAAGAGAAGGCGAGGGGGGGCGAGGGGAGGAAGAAGAATTTCTGCTAAACCATGCAAGAAGCAGATCCATATATTGGTTGGTGGAGGGGAGAGAAAGTTGTGAATAGGACACAGCACCTGGAAATTCACCTAGAGGCCTTCTCACCTTCACTCCGTTATCAAAAACTTCCTGCCATACCGCGTAGCCTTTGTTGTAGGAAGAGACTATATCCAGCAGCCTGGAGTAAAGAGAAACAACTACTGAAAAAAGGAGGTGTTTCCCATCCTTCCCCCATTTATTCCTACTTTGCCTATATTCCAGGCAAAGTACCTGCACAGGCCATAGCTCAGTGCTAGAGCATCTGTTTTGCATGCAGAAGGTCCTCAGCTTCTGCAGGTAGGGCGATGAATGGTTCTTCTCTGAAAACCTGGAGAGCTGCTGCCAGTCAGTGTAAGACAGCACTGAGCTAGATGGACCAATGGTCTGACTGGGGGGATACCCAGAGCTTACAGAGTTAACAGCTCAAGGGGAATGATGTCCTGTCACTGGGGGGGTGTTTGCATACGGGTATTGTACTTTGTGATGTTAACGTTTTTACTTTCTGTTTTGGCTGTGATAGGAGAAGCATCATGTCTCTGCTCTCTCCTGGCTGATTTGTTGTTTTGCTGCTGTACAATAAAGCTTTGTAGAATAGAAGCAGCTGTTGTACGAGAGTTTCACTGCATGGCTGAGATTCCTTCCGCACAGGCACACCGCTGCTCAAGATACTCTGCTCTAACTGGGAGAAGCAGATTGGCCCAGTGGAAGCGGACTGGACGCCACAACAGTGCCGCTGTTCGCAGCCTTGACGGACGCTCAACGGAACACTGGCCCAGGATAAGGCACCTTCCTGTGTTCCTTCATTTGCACTCCCAACTCAAAAAGCTGGCTTGGATAGTCATATCTTAGCTTAATAAACCAAGATATGAATGAGTCAACAAAGCACCTTTGCTCCTTATTTTGCACGAGCTGCAATTAATTGAGTTGCCCACCTGGTCCAACTGAAAAACTGTAATCACCAGCTTTGGAAAATGTCAGGCTATTAACTTCAAACCATGGTTTGTTCTAAAAGTGGTAACCATAGTTTCTTATCTGAACAAATTGGAGAACCACACAGTAAGCCCACAACTTATGTGGGGGTTACATTACAGGGACTGTGCCGAAAGCCAAAGCAACTGGGGGAGGGAAAAAGAAGAGGCTCAAGTGATACTAGCCAATCCCAGCTACTCAGAAGTAGGTCCCACTGACTTCAGTGGGGCTTACTTCCAGATAAGAGTGTATAGAATTGCAACCTAACTTGGATCAGTTCTCCAAACAGTTCAAGAAAGGGGCAAAACCAAAAAGGACTTTAGGTAAATATCTTGAGATTTGGAGAGGTGATGGGAGATCAGAGTTTTGATAAAGTATTTTTTTATTTACGTTTCCCTGGGGAGGCCAAAAGCAGAGGAATGCACCTGTACAAGAAGCATCACCTGGAAGACTGGGGTGATCTTCCAACATCTGGCAGCAGTCCCTACAGCTTCTGCTCTGTGAAAGCCCCTGAGCAACTGAGAGCAACGGTCCTTACCTCTGGATGTAGAATGATTCCAGCTTGGTATAGTCTTCACCAAACCCCATCTTCTGCATAAACGCCTGGACATCTGGATTGGACTTCCTGCATGGGAAGGAGAGGAGCCAGATTAGAACCACAGAACAGGCAGCACCCACCAAAGACTCTGAATGGCTTTCTCCGAGGGTCAACAAAAATAAAAACAAGAGCGAGCCTCTCATCCTGCACACATCGGGTGATTTATTACGTAATCACAGTGAACTGCAGTATACAAAGTGGAATCCTCCCTTTCTTTTAGCAGAATCCCTTTTGATTTTGAATTCTTTTTAAAGCAAGCATGATTTGCTCCAGAGGGTAGGACCCGAAACAACAGCTTCAAGTTACAAGAAAGGAGTTTCTGATGAAACATCAGGAAGAACTTTCTGACAGTATGAGCTGTTTGACAGTGGAACGGACTCCCTTAGGAGGTTGTGGACTCTCCTTTCTTGGAGATTTCTAAGCAGAGGTTGGGTGGCCACCTGTCATGGATGCTTTCGTTGAGATTCCTGCATTGCCGGGGGTTGGATTGGATGACACTTGGGGTCCCTTCCAACTATATATCTCTATGATCCTAGCCACTCCAGATGACAGGAAGAAACCTGAAAACAATGGGCAGAGCATGCCTACTGGTCAGGAAAATCTGCCTTTCTTGTGGATATCTATAATTAAAATGCTCCGGATATGTAGTCTGATGGAAAGTAACAGAGATGGAAAGGGAGACTGTATCTGATGGGCATGTAAATATATTGTGCTTGTTTTATGACCTCTTGTTCTTTTGGCGTAACACAATCAGCCAATTACATATTAAAAATATGAGTCATTGATTTGTTGCTTGCATGGATGCATTTATCTAGTCAATTTTATGGGATAGGGAAGTCAGAAAGGGAGGACCAAACAGAGTTTCAGCAATTCTGATGATGGGTGGAGGAGTTTTTGAAAGATTCACAACATCTCCCAAGAAAACTGTGAGAGAGAAAGAGAGAGAGAGGAGAGAAGAGAAGAAACACTTATGGTTCACAGCAAGAAAGCTGTACATGTACAACAAAACTATTATCCCAGAAGACACAGGTCACTGAAACTAGCCAGCTTCTCCCCCACCTCCCTGTCACTCCCACTCCAGATCCCTCCAAGAAATCAAGACTTGCCAGCATGTGAAGTCAACCTCATCTCCTCCCAGGTGAATGTAGAAGTCTGGAAACACAGAACTGACTTCGGCAAAAAACTTGGCCATGAACTCGTAAGTTGTATTGAGGATGGGGTTGACTGGCCCGTAGCTTCCGGAGGGATTTGGGCCCGCATAGCAGGGAGTCAATAAGCCTGGGATGCCTAAGATGAGAAAAAACAAAAACAAAAGCAGGAGTGGGATTGAGGTGGGAGGAGTCTGCTTAAACACATGGAGCAGTGGACAAAAGAAAAAAGCAAGCTCTGCATGGGTGGCCCTTTGCCAAAAGGGACCCAATGGAAAGACTTATAAAGCTAAGAATAGCATGCAGAAAGTTACAATTTACTAACAGCCCAATCCTAACCATGTCTATATATCAGAAGAAGTGTGCATGCACACGAAAGCTTATACAGTACCCAGAACAAACGTAGTTGGTCTCTAAGGTCTCCTCTCTTCCTCTGAAAGTCCAACACCATCTCCTTTGTCTTGCTGATATTAAGGTGCAAGTTGTTCCCTATGTAGATATTTTTTGGACCTACCCTCTTTACACTGATTCATCTCCACCTGTTATTAAACTCATTATGGTGGTGTCATCTGCAAACTTAATAATTGCAGTAGACGGGTCAGATGATACACAATCGTATGTATACAATGAATACAGGTAGGGACTTAGCACACAGCCCTATGGTGTGCCAGTGCTGATTTTAAGGAATTAGATGTTACATATAATGTTAAATACATTAGATTTACACACTGAAAGAGTCATATAAGCACCTGGTTCAAACAGCTACACATCTAGCACACACCTTTCAGCCAGGTGGTTTTCGTTTGTGTTCAGATCCTAACTCTAGACTCAGAATATACATTGGCTCCAGGAACCACTAAGTACGCCATTCAGCTGGTCGCTGCAGCCCAGCTCTTACCTGGACCCCACGAGAGAGTATGGCCAGGAGTGTCAAATTCGGAAATCACCCTGATCCCACGCAGCCGGGCATACTCAATCACTGTCTTCACATCTCTGGCAGTGTACACATGGGTGGTAGGGTGGAAGGCTCCCTGGAAAGGCACAAAGTCACAACATCTTACTGCCCTACAAGTCTTGTTAAAATTGTGTCTAGGCTGGAGTCCTTAAGAGAAGTGGATTATTCAAAATTCTCACCTAATCCATCTGCACTGTACATTTAAAGCAATATCATGGAACTTTAAACAGTCATGGCTTCCTGGGAAGTGTAGTTTGTTAAGTGTGAAGAATTCCTAGGAGACCCCCTAATCCCCTCTCGGAGCTACAATTCCTAGAGTGGTTTAGCAATCAATCCCTCTTTCCCAGATAACTTTGGGAACTGTAGCTCTGTGAAGATAATGTGAGTCTACCAACAATTCTCTGCACACTGGAAAAACTACAGTTCCCATTATTCGGGGGGGCGGGCACAGTACTGTTTAAAGTGGTATGATACCGCTATAAATGTATAGTGCAGATGGGGCCTTCAGCCTGGCAGAGATATTTCTCACCCTCAAAAGTTTAAAGAAAGACAAGCAGAGCGCCAACTCCAGGCTTTGGAGACTCTTTGGGAAAGACACCCTCCATCTAGGAGTCTGTACCTTCACTGCCATTTTCACCAGCTGTTCGGGCTGCTCCTCTTCCTCATTGCTACCACCTACCGTATTTTTCGCCCTATAGGACGCACTTTTTCCCTTCCAAAAATGAAGGGGAAATGTGTGTGCGTCCTATGGGGCGAATGCAGGCTTTCGCTGAAGCCAGGAGAGCGAGAGGGGTCGGTGCGCACCAACCCCTCTCGCTCTCCAGGCTTCAGGAAGCTATCCGCAAGCCCTGGGAGCCCGGTGCGAAGTCGCGCAGCTCTCCCACAGCTTGTGGAGAGCTGCCTGCAGGCTTCGGGCTTCGTGCAGCTCTCCCACGGCTTGCGGAGAGCTGCCTGCATCCTGAAGCCTGGGGTGCGCTGAGCTCAGCGCGCCCCAGCCTTCGAGCTTCGCGCAGCTCTCCGCAAGCCGTGGGAGAGCTGCGCGACTTCGGGTAGATATCCGCAAGCCTGGGGAGACCGGCGCGACTTCCCACCGGGCTCCCTAGGCTTGCGGACAGCAGCCTGTTCTGGGGGCTGGGGAAGCTCGGGCTTCCCCCGCCCCATCCCTGCGCCGGGGGGGGGGGAATAATTTTTTTTTTCTTTATTTCCCCCCCAATAAACTAGGTGCGCCCTATGGGCCGGTGCGCCCTATGGGGCGAAAAATATGGTACTTTTAAAAAAGGGATGCCGGTGGTGCTGTGGTATAAACCACTGAGCCTCTTGGGCTTGCTGATCGGAAGGTTGGCGGTTCAAATCCCCGGGACAGGGTGAGCTCCTGTTGCTCTCTCCGAGCTCCTGCCAACCTAGCAGTTTGAAAGCACATCAAAGTGCAAGTAGATAAATAGGTACTGCTCCGGCAGGAAAGTAAACGGCATTCCATGCGCTCTGGTTTCCATCATGGTGTTCTGTTGTGCCAGAAGCGGTTGAGTCATGCTGGCCACATGGCCCAGAAAGCTGTCTGTGGACAAGCGCCGGCTCTCTCGGCCCAAAGCGAGATGAGCGCCACACCCCATAGTTGCCTTTGACTGGACTTAACTGTCCAGGGGTCCTTCATCTTTAGATTTTGTCTACCACTTGCTTTACTTGTCAGGCAGAGAGCCAGTAAGCAAGGAGGCAGTGGCATCTACCACTTCTCCTGATTGCCACCATGATTTAGTAGGTCCAGGTAAAAGGCAGGTGGACAAGCCTGTTTCAATGGGGTGACAGTAAGAGCTGTTTGACAGTGGAACGCTCTCTCTCGGGAGGTTGTGGACTCTCCTTCATTAGAGGTTTTTAAGCAGAGTTTGGATGGCCATCTGTCATGGATGCTTTGGATGAGATTCCTGCACTGCAGATTGTTGGAACTACATGACCCTCAGGGTTCCTTCCATCTATGATCCCATGCTTCTATAAGAGGAGGAGCAGGTCCAGGGAGCTCATCCATGGGTCTCCTGCTAAGATATGGACACTCAACACATGCTTGACCAAGCCGATCCTTGGCCAGATACCTGAGGTTAAGTACTTAATTCGCTCCGGAGGTCCATTCTTAACCTGAAACTGTTCTTAACCTGAAGCACCACTTTAGCTAATGGGGCCTCCTGCTGCCACCGCACCGCCGGAGCCCGATTTCTGTTCTCACCCTGAAGCAAAGTTCTTAACCTGAGGTAATATTTCTGGGTTATCGGAGTCTGTAACCTGAAGCGTATGTAACCCGAGGTACCACTGTATACTTCAGATGGACGCAACGCTGCAGTTTTCCAGAAGGGCATAAGCATTAGGTTTCAACACAAACACTGTATTCCCAAGAATTTCCTAAACAAAAGCAGGGGTGAGAAGGGAGGTCATGTATAAGTCCCTTGCCAATCCCCTTAAGGGATTCTTTGGTAAACTCCTTGTGCTGACTTACCTTTTGGCTGAGATCTGGGAATGTCACGCTCTCGTACGGAAAGGATGGGTCGTCCACAATGTGCCAGTGGAACACGTTGAATTTGTTATAGGCCATGGCATCCTAGGGAATTGGAGAGCAGCACACACAGTCCTGAGAGATTGATTAGCAACAGATGCTGGCTGGCTTTCTCAACAAGCAGCCCTGCAGAGCTCATGTGGGGTCCCAGAAGTGAGATGTACCCTGGGTGCTGTTTGTCACTGGACGTCTTCCCCACCCACAAATCTAGGGATGGGGAGAACCTGGAGCCCTCTGGAAGGTGTTGGACAGAAGTACCCATCATCCCTGACCAAAGGGCATGCTGGCAAGGACCAACGGGAGCTGGGAGTTCAGTGAAATCTGGAAGGTGACAGGTTCCCCATCCCTGCACTAAACCATGCCTGAAATCACCTTTCTACTCCAACATGGTCTACATTCATATATAAAAGGTAAAGGTAAAGGGACCCCTGACCATTAGGTCCAGTCGTGGCCAACTCTGGGGTCGCGGCGCTCATCTCGCTTTATTGGCTTCCGGGTCATGTGGCCAGCATGACTAAGCCACTTCTGGCGAGCCAGAGCAGCACACAGAAATGCCGTTTACCTTCCCGCCGAAGCGGTACCTATTTATCTACTTGCACTTTGACGTGCTTTTGAACTGTTAGGTTGGCAGGAGCAGGGACCGAGCAACGGGAGCTCACCCCGTCGTGGGGATTCGAACCGCCAACCTTCTGATCGGCAAGTCCTAGGCTCTGTCGTTTAACCCACAGCGCCACCCACAACCCCCATTAATATATAAATTACAATTACTAAGACTATTCAGAGGGACTTCAGAGGCTCCACCTTATGCTTTATCCAGTCCCACAAGTCTTCCAAAGCAAAGCAGGCAGCTAAAGCCAGAGCCTTTTCAGTTGTGGCCCCTGCCACTGGAATTCCCTTCGCAGGCAGGTTTGCCTGGCGAAGCCTGCATTTTCTTTCCAGGACCAAGCAAAAATGCTTTACTTTGCCCAGGCTTTCTCGGGGGTTCTGTTTCGTTTGTTAATACTCCCTCCCTTCCTTTTTACGTTTTATGCCATATATAAACCCCTGGATGCAATTAAACATTGCAGAAAAGGAACATCCTAGAACCTTTCCTCTGGCGCTGAGCGCTACGTTACAAGACAATCTGCTGCCAGACACAACATGTATAAATGCAACAGTGCCTGTGGGCGAGAGTGGAGTCCATAGGCACAGCAGTCAGAAGCAGATTTCTAAAGAGAGATAGCAGGGTTCTGCACTGTTTTTTAAAGCAGATCCACTTCCTGCCCTGATGGGGTCATTCCAGTCCACGTGCATTTCCTCCCAGTTTTAACCCCTTCTCATTCTTCAGGCTAAAACTGGGATTACTGCGGAATTGCAGGACCCTGTTGCACTATATTAGCCCTGCAGAGATCATCCCGTTTCAGGAGTACCGTATTTTTCGCTCCATAGGACGCTCTTTTTCCGTCTTAAAAACTAAGGGGGAAAGTCTGTGCGTCCTATGGAGCGAATGCAGGGGGGAGGCAGGCAGCAAAAGCCCCCAAGAGCTGCACACAAGTTTCGCGCAGCTCTTGTGGGCTTTTCCCCAGGAGGGAGAAGGGACTGACACGGCCAGTCAGTCCCTTCTCCCTCCTTGTAAAAAAGCCTTGCGCAACCTTTCCAGCCGGGGGAGGCTGTGCAAGGCTAAAGAGGAAGCCAAGGCAGCGAGCGCGATCCATCCCGCTCGCTTCCTTGGCTTCCTCTTTAGCCTTGCGCAGCCTCTCCAGCCGCGGGAGGCTGCGCAAGGCTAAAGAAGCCAACTTAAAAAAAATCTCTCTATCTCTACCTCTTTTTCTTTTTTCCTCCTTTCTCCACCCCCTTCTTTTCCTCTGGATCAGTGTTTTTATCTAGATTAACTTTTAGTTTGGAGGGGGGGATATTATAAAAAAGGAAACTTTGCAGCTTTTATTTTAGTATACAATAAAAACAGATTAAACTAAACACAAAAGAAGGAAATAGCATAGAAGAAGAGAAAAGGGAAAGAGGGGGGATAGAAAGCCATTTACCAGAGGTAGATCTTAACCCTTGCCTCACCTGGGAGCTTCTCTGGGCAGGAATTCCCTCGGCTTAAGTGGGGTGGGGGAAGAGTGGCAGGTAGGGGGGTACCTACCTAGACACTGAAGCCACATGTCTCTCCGATGAAAATTGGGAGTGGGCATTGCATGAAGTGGCTGTAGATCTTCTGCTGCAGAATTGTAGGACTGTATAGAGTTGGGAGGGCCACCCGAGGGTCATCTAGCCCAGCCCCCTCACAATGTAGGAATCACAGCTAAAGCGCCAGGCAGATGGTCCCCCAACCGCTGCTTAAAAGCCTCCAGTGGTGGAGACCCCCAACACCTTCCGAGGTCATAGAATTGCAGGGTTGGAAGGGAACCCCAGGAGTCATCTAGTCCAGCCCCGGTGGACAGCGGGCACGATCCATCCCGCTGCGCAAGGCTAAAGAGGAAGCCAAGGCAGCGAGCGGGATGGATTGTGCTCGCTGCCTTGGCTTCTTCTTTAGCCGCGCTGGAGAGGTTTAGCTCCCGGATGGAGAGGTTGCGCAGCTATGGCAGAAGCCAAGACACCCAGCGGGATGGATCCCTCTCGCTGTCTTGGTTTCTTTGCTCTTTGGGGCTGGGGGGGAAACCCGGGCTTCCCCCACAGCCCCAAGAAGCTCTGGGAGTAGTGGACAGGCTGCACGCAGCCTGTCCGTTGCTCTTTGGGGCTGGGGGCGGAAATAATATTTTTTCCCTTGATTTCCCCCTCTAAAAACTAGGTGCGTCTTGTGGTCCGGTGCGTCCAATAGAGCGAAAAATACAGTAACTTTTGTTAGGTTCTATAGCAGTGTTTCTCTAGCTTGGGTGTTGGGACTACAATTCGCATCATCCCTCTAGAATTTTCCCAATCTTCCAACTCAAACAGGTTAATTCATTTTCCTTTTTACATAAAAAAAAAGGCCAAAAGGGGTTCTCTGATTATTACTAATAAATGTCAGCAATAGAGCAGAAAAATCTGGAGGACCACAGTTTCTACACTTCTGATTCGGATGATCATCTGAACCAGACTCGTGAGTTTTCCAGAAAGACTAGCAACACTTGTTGCCCCAAGCCAAATTCACATACCAGTGTCTCCAGAATTGCTCTCAAAGGCAAGTAATGGCGTGACGTATCAAGCAGCAGACCTCGGTGAGGAAAGCGGGGAAAGTCAACTACATCTGTCTTGTTTATGCGGAACTGTGCAGGGGAGGAGATGAACGACAGTCAGGAGAGTCTCCAAAACCCTTCGATGGCAAAGAGCATCCCCAGGGCCCAGGCCAGTTTTTACTACCGCAGCCTTCCCCAAACCTGATGCTTCCTTCCACCCCCACCCAATGTTGTTGGTTCACATCTCTCATCACATCTGAGCATGGGTCTTCTGCCTGGTATGGGGCAGCTGCTCCAGGTTTGCAAGTCTGACGGGCATGCCCTGAAAATAAATGGTATTTGCTGGATTATTCCAATCAAACACCCCAAAAGCAGAAGTTAGCAGCTACTTCCTCTGCCCCGTCATCTCAAATCCCTTGCCTGAGGGAAAGGATGACAGCTGGCAGAGGGCATGGTGGGAGTGAAATGCAACCCATTTGACTCAGGAACTGGACATTCTTGAACTTAGCCTCTGCAGCCGTTTTTTCAGCTGGCCCTGCTGAGCCTCATTGTGGGTAGAGGTGGGGAAGGATATCCCATGGGCTGTAATTCAGATGTTCTGTGATTCCAGTGCAGTGAAAGGAGAGCCTGCAGGATCAGGCCAACGGCCCATCATGTTTTCACAGTGGCCAATCAGATGCATCAACATCACCAACCACGGAAGATCCATATACACTCACCACCCCATCATCGTCTCTCCAGGCGAGTTGGCTGAAGGTCTCCAGCCCTGTGGAACAAGGCAAGATCAACTTAAATGTACATGGTTTAAAAACAAAATATGGGAGCGTAGAAAGTTGTCTTCTACTGCGTCAACCCATTTGCCCATTGAGCTCAGCCAGCTGGGAGTGGCTCTCCAGGATTTCAAGCAGGGAGTCTCTCTCTACCTGCAGAGGCCAGGGATTGAACCTGTGCCCTGAAGCATGCAAAGCAGATGCTCAGCTACTGAGCTATGGACCTTCTGCTTACACAGACCCTTACCCCTGAGCGCTCCCCATACAGTTTGTGCTGTCAGAAGCATCTGCGCATCCGAAACGGTCAGCTTATCTGAAAGAGCATCAAACAAAAGAGTTGTTAGGACTTCTTAAAATGTAGCCTCTCTCAGAATTACGCCAGTACAGTGGACGCTCGGGCTGCGAACGTGATCTGTGTGAGATGCATGTTCGCAACCCGCAGCATTCGCAGCCCACGTCTGCGCACATGTGCGACCGCCAAAACCCGGAAGTAACCCGTTCCGGTACTTCCGGATTTCGGTGGTCAGCAACCCGAAAAAACGCAACCTGAAGAAGCTGTAACCCGAGGTATGACTGTATATAGGGAACCTCGGATAGATAACAAGTCTGTTCTTCTAGGTTTATAGCAGGGGTCAGCAGAAGGCAAATAAGGGATCTATACTGTGATTATCAGCAGCCTAGAAAGGGTTCCTGACTCCCAAATGTTCAGCAGCAGCAGCAACAAAAATTCACTCCCATCAATTTGGCCAGTCTTCCCCAACCTGGTGCCCTTGAGGTGTCTGGCACTTCAGCTCCTATTCACCCCAACCCGCATGGCCAGAGGTCAGCGATGAGGAGATGAAAAGTTCAATCATATCTGGAGGGTCTCCGTTTGACCTCCCCTGCTCTTATTCTTCCTAAAGTACATAGGGCAGTCTCTGAAATAAACAAACGTACCCTAATTCAGCATTCAGTGAGTGATGTCTGCTGCAAAAGGTAAAGGTAAAGGACCCCTGAATGGCTAAGTACAGTCAAAGGCGACTATGGGGTTGCGGCACTCATCTCGCTTTCAGGCTGAGAGAGCCAGCGTTTGTCAACAGACAGCTTTCCGAGTCATGTGGCCAGCAGGACTAAACTGCTCCTGGTGGAACGGAACACCATGATGGAAATCAGAGAGCACGGAAACGCTGTTTACCTTCACACCACAATGATACTTATTCATCAACTTGCACTGGCGTGCTTTCAAATTGCTAGGTTGACAGGAGCTGGGACAGAACAACTTAAGCTCATCCCATCGTGTGGATTTGAACCGCCGACCTTCTGATCGGCAAGCGCAAGAGGCTCAGTGGTTTAGACCACAGCGCCACCAATACCTGCACTGAAGCAGCTCTCGAGCACAGTTGCCCAAACACAGTAGCCCACACAGCTCTGGAGGTGGTGCTAAGACACTTGGTTCTCTTACAGCTCTCTGAGGAGTCCAGCGAAGGGTAGCCATCACACCCTGGCTCAGTGACACTCACAAGAAGCTCATTACAGGGGTCCTCAGAGTGGGCGTTCCCTGCGAAACACAATTGAAGCAAGCAAGAAAGAACGAATGAAAGATCACAGATAAATCATTGTCTCTGCTAGCACAGGAAACACCTGTCAATGAATTTGGGCAACGATTACACTTATTTCCCCCCTCCCCCTATAATATTATGAAAATTATTGTTAGGGCTGAGAATATGGTGACCATTGTATCAAAATTGTATTGATGATGATACAATATAAAATTGAATTGCAATAGTAAAGAGTATGTGTCTTAGGCATAGATTTATGAGTTTTTAATTCACATTTTTCTTTTGCTTGTCCACGCAATTTATTATCTGAAATAAAAGAAACCTCCTGTCCGTGGTGTTTGATGCTGCTCGTTCAAACATCCTGAGATCTTCTGGCAGGTGTCATTGTCAAATGATATGACAGGTGTCCACTACTACCTACATACATTCCAGAAACAACTGGAGGTATTTTTGTTCCAACAAGTTTCCCCAACTGCATGGGTCTTTACCACGAATGTCTGCTTTGTATGGCTCTACTTCTATTTGAAACACCTTTGCTGTTTTTGTGCTTTTAACTGTTTTGCATTATCTTTGGGGTACATTGCCCTGAAGTTGTTGTTCAGAAGGCAAATAATGAACCACATTCTAGCTGGGCCAGAGGCTAACGCGGGAAGAGCAAGAAATATAAAATTGACCTTTGTATACTAGGCTAGTTGCTACACACCACACCCCCCACAATTTATTGCAAGAGGTACAACCAGAATTCAAGGACTCATTTGAGTCAGACAACAGCAACAACAATGCATGGAGGGTGCAAAGTAGGGACTGTGAAGGGGCGTGGCCTACAGAGGGTTCTGGGGGCCAGATAAAAAGTCTTAGAAATGCAACTAAATAAACATGACTTGCATTATTTTGGACAACAGCATTATTAGTGTAGGGGTACATTTTAAAATAATGCACATGACTGTGTTGATACTCTTTTTTCCCCTACACATACACACATCCCAAACAGCAGCGGCACCTCCTACCATAATATTTAGTTTATCAGAATGAGTACAAATGAAATACTTTGCATAATTTTCACAGTTTTAAAACTGAAATAAAACTGCTGGATGCAATGCTTTCTACAAACAGGGGTCAGACTCGGCCACGCTCGGAGCTTTCAGTTCCCCAGCTTGGAAGGGAGGAAGCGGTGTGCCTCTGGGCATGCACAGAGTTCCCCTCGGCAATCAAATCCCGCAAGCCCCGTCCGGGATGGCAAAGCGTGCAGATACGAAAGAAGAGCGGTGCTTCTCCTTGAAAATCACCCTTAGCCCCCCAACCCCGCCTGACCTGCGTCTTCGAGTCCGGGAAGGAAAAGCAGCGCCCAGTAACGTCGGAACGCCTCGTCCAGCACCGAGCAGCCGGGCCCCACGGCCGACGAGTCGGCATAGCCGAAGCGGAAGCTCCCGGCTCGGAGGCGGCAGCCGCCCTGGGCAGCCTGGAGCAGCGACTGCGGCTGCGGCCACACGGCAGCGGCGGCGGCGGCGAGCAGGGAGAGCAGCGCGCAACGGAGCCCCGCCATGGTCGCCAGCCGAGCGCGCGGAGAAACGCCACCGTGCGGAGGATGCGGCGCAGCGGGAGGGGCGGGCGGGTCATGTGACCGTGCAACAAAACCGGTCGGAGGGGAAGCGGGTGGTGCCCCGGGGACAAGGCGGAGTCGGGGAGCCGCCCGTGCAAACGAGCCTGGGGGGGAGAGGGCGAGGGGTTTGCAGCCCCCTCTCCGCCTGCAACCAGCGCCGGATTTAGGTATAAGCTAAACAAGCTCTAGCTTAGGGCTCCACTCTCTTGGGAGCCTCCCCCAAAATTAAAGGAAAACACAAAGCGGATGTACATTTCCAAAATATAAGAACCAAATAAAATAAAACCTACATACAGCAACAGTGTTTTGTGTTGTGTAGGCTCCTATGATGTAAGTCAGGGGTAGGCAAACTAAGGCCGGGGGCCGGATCCGGCCCAATCGCCTTCTAAATCCGGCCTGCGGTAGGTCTGGGCATCAGTGTGCTTTTACATGAGTAGAATGTGTGCTTTTATTTTATTTTTTTCCAATTTTTTTATTGGTTTTCACAACATTATAAACAAACAAACACATAAACAAACATAAATCACAATCTTATTAAAAATTACGCTTATTAACATTGTTAAGTGACTTACTTCCCCTTAGTTGAATTTCATTGAATGTCCTTTTAACGGTTTTCCAAATCATAGTTCTTAAAATAATTTAACTTAAACATTAAGATCCTTAGATCTTCACATTATGAAATTAAACATATTAACTCATCATTTACCTTAAATAAAATCCTAAGCCAATTAAGTATCTGCAAGCTGTTTTCAGTTAGTTTATCTTAACATGTTTAACTAAGTAATCATTAAATTTGATCCAATCTTCCTGATACTCCTCCTCCTTCTGGTCACGGACTCTTCCGGTTAGGTCGGCTAGCTCCGAAAAATCCATCATCTTCATCTGCCATTCTTCTATCGAATGTGTACTTTTATTTAAAATGTATCTCTGGGTTATTTGTGGGGCATAGGAATTTGTTCATTTTTTTTCCTTTTCAAAATACAGTGGTGCCTCGCAAGACGAAATTAATCCGTTCCGCGAGTCTCTTCGTCTTGCGGTTTTTTCGTCTTGCGAAGCACAGCTATTAGCAGCTTAGCGGCTTAGCGGCTATTAACGGCTTAGCGGCTTAGCAGCTTTAAGAAAAAGGAAACAAACTCGCAAGAACTCGCAAGACGTTTCGTCTTGCGAAGCAAGCCCATAGGGAAATTCGTCTTGCGGAACGACTCAAAAAACGCAAAACCCTTTCGTCTAGCGAGTTTTTCGTCTTGCGAGGCATTCGTCTTGCGGGGCACCACTGTATAGTCCGGCCTGCGTACCTTAGTTTGGGGACCCCTGCTCTAGAGCAGAAGAAAACAAGCTTGCTCCCTCTTCCATGTGACAACCCTTGAGATATTTGAAGGTGGCTATCATATCATATCTCCTCTCAGTCTCCTCTTTTCCAGGCTAAATACACCCAGCTCCTTCAACTGCTCCTCATACGGCTTGAAGCACTGAAGGGATCCTGGTTCCTTCCAATTCTATGACTCTTACTGGTATGATCTGATGATCGCTCAGTGGCGTGCGGTGAAATTTTCCATAGGGGAACAGTTAGAGACAGAAGCATCAGCTTGAGAGGACGGTCGGGGTGGGGTGGGGTGGTGGTTTGTGGGTGGGGTGTCACAACATCCCACAGGTAAGCATCCCACAGGTAAGTATTGTGCCTCCCTCCCTAAACCAGGCAGAAGCTTCCTGGGCTTTGGGAAGGCGGAGTCAGGCCCCTGACAGGATGCTGCATTCAAGCAGAAGTCAAGCATGGCTCTCCCATTCTGACTTCTACCTGCTTCCAGCCCAGTTCTCACACACATCTCTCGATTTTGTCTTTGCCCCACCCATTTGCCTTCTAGCATAGAGCAACCATTGCTAGATCCAGGACCCCAGGGATTAGAAGGGACTCATACAGACTAACCTCCCCTCTAAAAAACACCCCCTCACAACTGCATTGTATTGTCTATTTATTGAAATAACAGCCAAATAAAGCTTTTGATAAAATACTGTTGTACTGTTGTCCATCTGATTCTAGTATGTTTTATATATTAGAGAGAGAGTTTTATCACTTGTTTGCTAACCAGGGCTCCTTGGGGACTGGCAGGATATTGAATAGATGATGAAATAAGAAGAAGAAGAAGAAGAAGAAGAAGAAGAAGAAGAAGAAGAAGAAGAAGCAAGTCACATGAAGTACTGGTTATGCAGTTAGGGACTGGCGATTAGCTACGTAGTCCAAGCAAAAGGTACAAACAGAATACGGGAGATCTTGGATCTATTTCTCTTTCAGTGTAGGAAAAGACTTGCTGGATAGAACCAAAGTCCATATGTAGTCCAACCAGTCACCAAATAGATGCCTTTGAGAAGCCCTCTGTCTTAGGTGGCTTCCCTGCAGGGAGAGAAGGGTTGCCTTGCCTAAGTGTTAAGAGTTAGGGAGGGGTTTTTTGATCTCTCAGCAAAAGGATGGTTGGGTGGTTTTGCGGCGTAGCTCTCTCTTGGGAAATGAGCGTGGCATAAGTAGTACATGGGTTATCTCACAGGAACAAATTTGACTCTGGATGCTTCCCTTTCCTAATCTTTTGTAACTAGAACTCTGCCCGCCTGCCCTACCCGCAAGACTGATGTTTCCTTCTGGAGAGACTTGGTAAGGAAAACAGGTGACAAGACTTAATCTTTCCAAATCTTTCTTCTTTTTCCTGACCTACAGATCACGGCTGGCACCGTGACTAATTATTATAAATGTTTTGTATTGTGCTCAGTTATTGTTTGTGTGGAGTTTGTATACACACATAAAACTCAATAAAATATAATTTACAAACAAAGATAACAAAGGCATTTATGATCCCATTATGAGGGCTATAATAATTGCATTAAGAGTTATGAATCTTGTTTAGTGGAGCTGCCACAAACATTCATTACGTTATTACAGGCATGTCCAACAGGTCGACCACGATATACTGGTTGGTTGTGGGGTGTCCTTTGTGAACTTCACCCAAGAGGGGGAAAAGCCTGCCCCCCCAAAAAGCTCAATAACTCTGGCTCCCTAAAAAAAGCTGAACAACTCTGGGTAGATCACTACCAGTTTGTTTTTTTTATACTGTGAGTAGATCACAGTCTCTTGGGAGCTGGAATAAAGCATAATGAGTCTTTAAAATCTTATACTAATTTGCAACTTGATGCTAGACAAAGTTTGCTCCTTATATTTCTATCATGCCCAATTCAGCAGGTTTCTTCTGTTTCAACTTTTAAACGCCTGCTGAATTTTTTTCTATCCTACCAGGCCTATTCAGGCAATTCATAACACGTCTTTCCAAAATGGTTAATTGATGTCCGATTTAAATAGTTTTATATGGTTTTTTACTGTATGGTTTTATGTACTAGTAAACTTTTGATATATTTTTGTAGAATCATAGAACTATAGAGTTCGAAGGGACCCCCAGGCTTATCAAGTCCAACCTCCTGCAACGCGGGAATGTCAACTAAAGCATCCCTGACAGATGGCCATCCAACCTCTGATTAAAAACCTCCAAGGAAGGAGAGTCTACCACCTTCTGAGGGAATCTGTTCCACTGTTGAACAGCTCAGTTCTTCGTGAAGTTTTGTCAGAATCTCCTTTCTTGTAAATTGAATCCATTGTTTTGGGTCCTAGCCTCCAGAGCTTGCTCCATCTTCCATGTAGCAGCCTTTTAGATATTTAGATATTTGAAGATGGCTATCTCCTCTCAGTCTCCTTTTTTTCCAGGCTAAACATACCCAGCTACCTCAGTCTTGGTTTCCAGACCCTTGATTATCTTGGTTGCCCTCCTCTGGACATTTTCCAGCTTGTCAATATCCTTCTTAAACTGTGGTGCCTATAACTGATTTATGAAATTGTGGTTTATAAATATTTTAATGAATAAATAAATATGTTACTTTTTTCTTAGTTTAAATACTTTGTTTAAAGTATTTCTTAAATGCTGCTCATTTAAAAGTTTTAAGGTGGTGTACCAAAGTATTACCAAAATTATTCACAATCATATAAGCGGAATAGAGAAAACAGCAACGAATAACTTTAATCCTAAGAAACAAGAGGCAGGCTAAAAAAGAGCAGAGTAAAGGCTGTACCAACTAAAATGTCATCTAAAAATGCCTGGGCAAACAGGAAAGTCAACCAGGATTTTAAAAGACTATGTTGGTGGAACCAGATGCAGGAGGGCATTCTGAAAGAGTTTAAAAGGGCAAACATGGTTTTTCTCCACCCCAATTTTATTCTCACAATACCCCTGTGAGGTAGGTTAGGCTGAGAGGCAATGACTGGCCAGAGTCTTGTTACAAATTAATGGTTTACTGAATGGGGTTTTTCATTAGGGTTTCCCAAGTTGTCTAACCACTATGCTAATCTAGGTTGGGTTTGATTGCAGAGAAGTGAAGTGTAGGTATCTGACAACGCAGACCAGAGAGGAAATTCTGAACATTGTTTTCTCCTATGAAGTTTTTTGACTTCTGCAATTATGTTTTTGTAGTTTTGAAAGCAGGTAAGTAGTACATACAATCAGGAGAGAATATATGTTAAGTTAAATCCCATTGCAGAAGCAGTGGATACAACTGGAATACCTGGCTTCACCCCAGATTTGTGGCTGGGGCAAAAAAGACATCTACTTACACCTTTGGTGGGAATGCCTGTGCAGGAGTTTTGATCAAAGGTATGTCATGAATTTTAATATAATTAGAGGCCCTGTTATGATTCTATTTACCCTCTTTGAGGTGGTAAACATGAATATCAAATGTACAGGCTTTTAAAAAATTTCTGTTGGCTGTACCGCAGCCAAACTCTCCATCACACAGAAAGGGGAAGCATCACATATGAAGCATATGGGATATGGAACATTGCTATTTCTAATAAGCACAACTGAAATGTTTTGAAAGTTACAGAAAGACCCAGAGACTTTTTAATGGAACTTTATTCCATATGTAAAGACTTGCAGTAGCAACAACATCATGCAAAATCTGGAATCCCTGGCAATGCTTCTGGAATAACATCTTTTACTGTTAATTTCAGGTACATCAATATGAATGGTATAAATCTTCACTTATTTATGGGCATCTGGAATACCCTATGATTTTTCTGATTTTGGTATTAACCATTGTTGTAGTAGTTTTGTTATTTTAAATTCTTAATACGTTTTTACTTATAATAAAAAAGATGGAGTGGACACAAAGAGCTTAGAGGAAGCTGTCTGAGGCTGAACTCTCATGTGTGATGCCATCACCAAGAAGAGAGTTACTCTGAGCATGTGTTGGGTACTTTGCTTTACTAATGCGTAGGAAAAGCTAGTCGTCCAAAAGCGAGGATTAGAGGAAACAGCACTTCCTAGGTCAGATGTTTCCAGGTCACTGGTTTCTCAGTGGACCTGTGCGTTAGTATTGCTTTTTAAAGACATTAATTGCTGTCAAGCCACAAAATGCATTCCATCACAGTCCACACAGCATATGCTTACTGCTTTTCCTTGTTGTCTTTTTGATTCATACTTTGTGCCCTGTATTTATCTACAGTGGACTGCTTGTTTTGTTCTTTTAAAAAAAGGAAGAGTCATTTAATAGCAGTTAGCAATTGACCCTCAAAGTGTGTGTTTGTTGGGAAGGGCAATCACATGAACTTAGTCAGACAACGTGATGACTATGAATGTTTTGCTCCACACAGTCTTGCAAGAAAATTTAAGGTTTTTTTTAGCAGCCCTAGAATACCCTCTCTCCCGACAGACTTGCCTGGTTTCCTATGTTGCAGACTTTTCAGCACCAGAGAAAGACCATTTTTATTTATAAAGTTTTCTGCATCTAGAATTTGGCACTATTCTCCTATGCTGGATTAAGGCTGGTTCTCTGCTCATTTTATGTTGTTTCTGTGCTAGTTTTTACAAGGACATTGACTTGCTTTTCTGCTGATTTCAGTTTTATTTTTATGTATTAATGTGCTTGAAGTATGCATTTGTGATGTGGCTTAATTGTGCTTTTATACAGTGTTGTAAACTGCTCAGATGACTGTGCTGAATGAGCAGTATAAAAATAAGTGGTGTGCCTGTCTACTGAGAAGTTAATGCCACTGGGTCTCATTCCAAAAAGCCTAACTTCACATATATGTTGGAAAAGATGAGTCTCAAAATCTAACCGTTGGAAACAAAGGCATTGCTTGGAATGAGGCGAAGTTTTGTATGCCATTCTTCAATGTTTATGCTTGTTATCATTTTCTCTTCAGTTTTGATTCAGTTATTTAATCAGGACAATTTTTTTGAATTGCTCTACACGATGGGTATAGATTTTTCTTGGTACTTACTGACATTATTATGGAAATGTGGCATACAAATAAAACATGATGTGAAAGGGCTTCTCCACACAGTACATAGTTACATACCTTGTAGAATTTGCTACAATATGTTGTGGCGGTTGCCCACTTCTGTAGATTTAGACCAGTGATGACCAAACTTGGTCCTCCAGCTGTTTTTGTGACTACAACTCCCATCATCCCTAGGTAAAAGGACCAGTGGCCAGGGATGATGGGAATTGTAGTCCCAAAGCAGCTGGAGGGCCATCTTTGGCCATCACTGATTTAGACAAATCCATAGAAGATGCAGGTGCCCATAGCAGACAGCCTGTGAATGTTATTGTGGAGCAATACATCCAATATATGTTTATTGTCGGTGGGGCTTTATTTTACTGAAATGGATGTCAGGTGTTTTATGGGGAGCAATTCACATGTGGCATCTAACACAAATCAACAAGATGCTGAGGAGATAGTATGGCATACATTTTCCAGAATGAAATTACAGTGAACCAGGCCGAAGGCCTTTTTCGGTGGCCACACCTTGTACTGTGACCTCCCTGCAAGATGCCCAAGAGTTAAAACAACTACAAAATTTTTCCCCGATGTCTGAAGGGAGCCCTGTTTGGGGAAGCTTGCACTGTTTGATGCCGTATTTTGTTGGAAGCCGCCCAAAGAAGCTGGGGCAATCTAGTCAGATGCGCGGGGTAAGAGAAATTAATTGTTATTCTTCTCTAGCAAACTCTTGCTACAAACCGCGCGCCACTTGCCCCCAAACCCCTTTTGCCACACCCAAGATGGAGGCGCCCAACCACTCCCTTTCTGAAGGCGAGCAAAGCGAGGAAGGAAACCTCTCCCGCTCAGAAAATGGCCGCCGCACTGGAGACTCCCTTTTATTGTTCACGCGCGTGGCCACACTCAATATGGCCGTCACCACCAGCCTCTTCTCTCCTCAGAAAAGCGTCAGCGCGCCGGCCTTAAAAAAAAAAGGGGGGGGGGAGAAAAGAGGGGCGGGGCTTGTCGCCGCTCTTCCCCACCCCGCTCTTTCTGGCCCGGCCCGCGACGCCGGCGACGTCACGCGACGCGGGGTTGCGCCCCGCCGCTGGCTGCGTGCGTGCGTGCGTGCGTCGAGGTGACGGAGCGGGCCGGACGCGTCCCTTTGTTGGCTCAGCGGCGCCTGTGAGGAGAAGCAGCAGCAGCAGCAGCGGGCAGAGGCAGCAGCGGCGGGTGTTTGTTATCGGTCCGCCGAAGGGAGGCGGCCAGGCCGGAGACTTCGAGTCCGCCCGTGCCCCCGGCGGCCCGCTGGGGCCGGCCCCGCTCCGCGCCCCTCTCTCCCCGCCGCTCCAGCCGCCGCCGCCTCAGCCGCCGCCATGGACTCGGACGAAGGCTACAACTACGAGTTCGACGAGGACGAGGAGTGCAGCGAGGACAGCGGCGCCGAGGAGGATGAGGACGAGCCCGACGACGAGGACGAGCCCGACGACGACAACCTGGACCTGGGCGAGGTGGAGCTGGTGGAGCCCGGGCTGGGCGTGGGCGGCGAGCGCGACGGGCTGCTGTGCGGCGAGACGGGAGGCCTGGGCCCCGGCGGCGGGAGCGGCGGAGGCCTGGGCAGCAGCGGCCTGGGCGGGCCGGGCCCCGGCGGAGGGCTGGGCCACGAGCAGGAGGAGGATTACCGCTACGAGGTCCTGACGGCCGAGCAGATCCTGCAGCACATGGTGGAGTGCATCCGAGAGGTCAACGAGGTCATCCAGGTGCGCGCGCGGGGCCCGGCCGGCTCGAGGGGGCCCCCGGCTTGGCTTGCACGCGGCGGGTGGCGGAGGAGGAGAGGAGCGGAGCAGCCGCGGCTGGAGGAAGCTCGGGGGGGTGGCGGGGGAGAGGGAAGGGGTGGGCGCTGCTCGTGCAGGAATGCGGGCCGTGGAGGGCCAGGAGGATCGGCCGCGGCCTGCTCCAGCCACGCCTTCGCACAAGCGCTTCGCCCAGCCAGCGAGCTGCTTGGGAGGCCCTTGCTTTTCCTCCCCCGTCCTCCCTCTCTAAGCTCTTATTTCTGCCTCTTGGCAGGGGCGATGCGGAGGGGGGAGCAGGATGAATGAGGAGCAATGGCTCGGGGTGCCGTTGTCTTGTTGCGATGGGGGGAAGGAAGGGGGTATGTGCTCAAGCGGGTGTTGCCGGCTGTGTTAGTGTGTGTGCGCTCAGGGTTTTCAGTGAACCCGGCGTGGCAGCCGAATGGGCCTTGCTGCGTTAGAAACAGCGGCTTTGTGGAACTTTAAACCAACAAACAAAATAGCCTACGCTTATACGAGCTGGAGTTCCCTGATGCATAAAGCATTGTTTCCAGTTGGAAGAAAGAGAGGCGGATATATACACACACTCTTACTTGTAAGCAGTGGAGGGTGACTAATAGCCATGAAATGCATGTGTATGCATAGCCTGTGACAATTCTCTGTGGGCCTTAAATGTGTATATGCCATCCCTATTATCATCAGAAATAATCGATGTTAACACAGTTATCTTAGACTTTTTAAAGAACTGTAGCCTGTAGTCAGCCAGGAAACCATTGTCCAGAAGGCTGTACCCCTATGATCCCTAGCCATCTTTTTAAAAGCTTCTGGACTGTGAACTTAGGGATTGCACCCAGGCCCAAGAATTGAGCCCCAACAATCCTTTGTAGAGTGTGCCTTCTGGATTGTGCTGTGCAGCTTTTCAGTATTGCAAAATAAAAGCAACAAAATAAAAGCAATAAAAGGCAGGGCTCAAGAATGTGTGTGTGTGGAGTGGTGTTGGTCTGGAGTTTTTAGGTAGTGTTGTGGCCTTGTGAGCTGTATAGTGTCGATATTCTTTAGTCTGCACCCACATGTTTAGAAACACTCGTTCATGTTGCACTTTTTGCAGGTTCCACAGATACTAGAACTTTATCAGAACTAGGGTTAATCATACTTCAAGTAGTTCCATTGAAATTGATGGACACAACTAGCTTCAGTACATTAATTTCAGTGGGTTTGTGCTGAATAGTTGCCAGGTCTGCTAGAAGGGCGATGAGCCTCCCAAATGCCAAGGGGTCTCATCTGTCTGACATAATGCTTTTTGGCTACAGTAAAATATGAGTTTGGGGACATGGAGATGCCGTTATAATATTTTAGGGTGGTGTGTGTTAAAATTCCACTTCGTGCAAAATAAATTGTGTATTGATTTTTGTGAACAATTTTATTCCTAATAATGGTCATGAAGCTAGATGGTGATTAAATCTTTTTAGTTCTAACCAATCATTCATATTAGGCATCCTTACATGTTGCTATCTTGAAGCTGGTTCTTCTGGTAGAACTAGGAAAATCTCATGCTTTTATCTGAGTATTTTACTGTGCCTTTCAGTCCTCAAGATGCCTAGGGTGTGTGACCCCGCCCCCCCTTACACAGACAATAACTATTAAGATAGGCAGGCAGGCAATATTCTGTTAGCATCTTCACCATCGTGAACTTACAACCATATTTAATGGTTTGCCTTTAGATAATATACCAGAATAAAACATAAGTGCTCCCCTACACATACTGATCTTGCTGAAAAGTCATTGATTCCTGCAAAATATCATTTGACTTAATCAGGAAAGTTAATGACAGATTAACATGATTCAGGAGCACTCTGTCTTAGGTACTAAAGAAGGTGTTAAGCTATGGAAGTTTTGATTCTAATTTTGTTTGGTTCAAGTTGCTTTTCTTGTTTGGCAACCATGTTACTTCTGGTTGGTAGGAATAATTGTCCTCCCTTGTCTCACAGGTTAGTTGCCATAGCAGGGGGTAGGCAATCAGTGGCTTACATAAAACGCTTTGAAAACTTCTTCCTTAAGCAGCTCCTTTGTTTGGATCAACTAGGAGAGGAAGTTACTTTGATGATAAAAGTACAGGCATCCTTACTTTGCATGGTGTTCACATGGTTGCCGAACTTGGATATAACATAGAAGATAAGTTGCATGGTGCCCTGACTGATTTTGGCCCCATCTGTACCATACATTTAAAGCAGTATCACTTTAGAGGTTCATCACTTCCCCTAAGAATCCTGGGAAGTGTCTTTTGTTAAGAGTGCTGAGAGTTGTTATTCCACAGCACAGTATTCCCCTCACAGAGCTTCAGTTCTCGCAAGAGTCAGTCCCTCTTCCCAGGTAGCTCTGTAAGGTGAATGTTGGTCTCCCAACAGCTTCTCAGCACTTTAACAAATGACATTTCCCAGCATTCTTTGTGTGAATCCATTACTCTTTAACGTGATATACCTTAAAGAGTACCTTAAATGTATAGTGCAGATGGGACCTTTGTTTTACGGCATGTGTGTGTTGTAACCATTTCCTAGCAAATACTTTGCCAAATCAAAATCTCCCTCCTGTCCTTTGAGCGGAAAAGAGATGTAGTACTGGTATATCTGGCAGGTGGAAAAAGCAGTAGGAGAGGGGGGCAGCATTCTAACATTTATTTTAACTGTGATGAGACAGGAGAGAAGCTAGGATTGGAAAATGCATTCAGATGATGCAGAGAGGCTCTTACTGCCATTCTTCTACATTTAGATATCACAGTGATTTGGCCCTAAACATGACTAAAGAGAAGGGGCAGTGCTTTTTTTCCTGGGGAGGATGCAGGGGTACGCATACCCCTAAACATTTTATTAATCTAAGTTTGGCCTCATTGAAGGGCAGTATTTCAGTATGAGTAGGAAAATGAGAGTACTCCTAAGCATTTTTTTAAAGGAAAAAAGCATTGAGAAGGGGTAGCCATGAACCTATTTGGGGTCCTAGAGGTTTCTCTCCTATTTCCAACAGAAGACCTGCATGTCAGTTTTATATTGGGCGTAAAACTCTCAGCTTCCAGCCCTAAATCTATAGAGTTAAACTGAAAGCAAACTGAGCCCAAACTTTTTTAAGGGCCTTCACTGATGTGGTGAGAAGAATGTGAGAGGTAGTGTACTTTGCCCTGTAGATTGCAGCTGCTGTGTCATTATCTGTTCTTCTTACCCACCCTGTTTGCAGCCTGACAGTTTGCACTTTAAATACAACAAAGTTTTGCATAACAGGGAGGGCTGCAATAGATTCTGACTTCACAGCAAGTAGGAAAATACTTGTGAAGTAACTTGTAGCACAATTTGTGTACTTTTGTCATTCGAAGTCATGTTGGCTACTTCACATTAGTATTGAAACTCTTGCTTTTGGGGAACCTTTAGCCTTAAGGTTTAGTCCTTTGGTGATTTTTTTTTAAGGCAAGATGAAAAATGGCTGCAGTTTGATTTCAAATTGCAAGGGTTGGGTGGTTGTTATTGCAGAGTGAGTTAACAGTGGGTGTGGATGCATTGCTTCTGCATCAATTCTGTTCAAGTAGACCCTGATCTTAAGCTTATCTCTTCTTAATCTGTAGTGTGAGATATGTAAGAAGTGTGTATCTTGGTATATTTGTGTCTGACACTTCAAGGTCAAACATAAGATTGGAGTTTTATTCAGGGAGCAAATGTGCTTGGTCAACTGGATCTCCAGTCCCAGCCTGCTGCTGTTGGGTTATATGATCAGCTTCCCAGCTCTTGCTCCTCAGGTCTTCAGTTTTTGTGAGGCTGAGCTAGCACATGCTTTTTACTTGCTTAACCACTTCTACCTTGTGATATATTGAAGTTGTCTTCAATATATTACCCAGCAAACAGAAACTTTAGAATGAATGCCTTCTGGGTTGTTGGTTTTGTGTGTGTGACAGACACAGGAATGACTTACCACTCTGTAATGATGGAATGAGGTGGGGTTACTTACTCAGTCTTAAAATCTGCATCAAAAGTCTATAATGAGCAGGAGGGAGCAGTTCAGCTAACTTATATAACATCACATGTTCATGTTTACATACTACTTTTGCAAGCATGCTGAATGCTAAGTTATCATTAGTTATTTTGCTGAATTCTTATCCAGGCACCATGGTTCTCAAATGTGAGTTATTTATTGAAAAGTCCTGAAATAGGCTTTGGAAATTATCAGAACACTGTTGCATTACTACTTATGTTTCTGAATCTGAAGTGCTTGAGTCCACTTAACGCAAGATATTTTAGTTTTTGGAAAACATACCAGAATACAGAATACCAAGCTAGTGTCAGACAGAAGTAAATGCATGTGTTGGTATTTGTTCTTATGCAAGTGAAAACTAATCCTTTCCTAATTGTTGATTGCTTGTATTTTAAAGGTTAAGTGCACAGACCTAACATTCTTTGAAAATTGAAGCCATTAAACATTATTTCCCTTAGGCTTTGAGCAGAGGGTTAGAGAAGAGAGGGGAAGCTGAACATTAAATGCATTAAATGACTTACCAGTTACCACATAAAATGCTACTTGGTACATTGTGAATTAATAAAATTAACACATTTTGATTCTGACAATAATCAGGTATATTTTTGATATGAGAGATGGAACTACAAGCTGCTACAGTCTAAAGTAACTAAGCATATCCCCATGACCATGAAGAAATAAATTCATTTTTTTAGAGACAACTCAAATGAATGAATACAAGTAGGCTTCTGAATAGCTTCTTGCCTAGTGATAAGAAATGCACACAAGCTCTTCTAATAGAAAGATTTGATCTATTTTGCTTTTACTTTGGGACTAGTGATGTTGTATAAAATTGTTATGTTGACAGTCAGGCTTGCAACTTGCTTGCAATACTTCCCTATAAAGTAGCTAGTACTTTTTCTCTGTACGTTCTCGTCGGATAGTTTTTCTTCACTTTTTCCATATGGGACTTTGCATGGAAGAAGAGAATACTACTGAAACTTCTTAAGCTTTTGAGTGTTATGCCTCAATATGTGTAGTAGGATAGGGGGTTTTGCACATAGATACGTGTTTGCATTAGTGAGAACTCACATAGATACCTGTTGGACACATGCTCTGGCTTACTCCAGAAGGGAGGGAAGAGGATTGACAAACACCCAGACTTGGTCCAAGAACAGTTCTGGAGCTGCTGCTTCACCAACATCTCCTTGTTTTCTCCCTTTTGTGGGCAGCCCTGCAAACAGAGTCCAGATTCTGTTGTGTTCTCTGCCTCCTTACTTGTGAGGAAACTGTATTTGTGGCCCCTGGCTTGAGGAATATTTTGTTCCCTTTGTCCTGAGGTCAGCTGCTAGGAAGACACAGCTACCCATGGCCTCTGTAACAACACTGCTGTTTGTTTCTTTTCTGATTTCTCTTCTCCCCCAAATTTCCTTCACCCTCTTCTCTCACTTTAGACTCCATTCTTGTCCAGTGGGCTTGTGCCACAAATTGAAGTAACAGAATCCATGTGTTTAGCTATCTTCTCATATTGTATCTGGAACCAATGGGTTATGGCAGTGGTTTTCAACCAGTGTGCCATGGCACCCTGGGGTGCCTTGAATTACGGTCATGGGTGCCGGAGACAATACTAGCCTCTGACCTTCTCGCTCGCCTTCCCTTCCTCCCCTGATGCCCTCTTGCATCTCTGCCTCCCAAAGGTTTGTGCAGCTGTTTGATGCAGCAGCCTTGGCTACTAGCTCCCCAAGCGAATGGTGCTTCTGGGGCTGGCCAGGGGTTACTTTCCAGGTTCCTGTGGAACAGTGTGAGGAGAGGAGGCTGAGGGAACACTCCTTAAGGGAGCGTGAGGAGCTACCGGCTCTGCAGGCAGGGGGTGACAAAACTGGGCTCCTGATCCCCACAGGGGTGCTGCAGAAAGAATGTACAGTCATCCCTCTGGTTGTGTTTGCTTCATGTGTATACTTCCAGGTTTTGACGCGTGCGCAGAAGCGATCTGCGCACTTCGCACATGTGCAGAAGCGCACGTGCAGTAGCAGCACTCTACTTATGGACTTTTCGGGCTGCAAGCGGCACCCCAAAACAGATCACATTCGTAAGTAGAGGTACCACTGTAGTTGGTCAAGGGAGTTGTCGACCCAAAAAGATTGAAAACCTCTGGGTTATGACACACTAGCATGCTTTGGAACTGTTATTACATCATGTGATAAATATGATTCTTAAGACCCAAGGAAAGTCAGCATGAAGGAAAAATCGGAATTAGCTCAGAAAAAAGATAAATGTGAGGCCTGGTTCTCACATACAGCTTAACCAGTAGTTAGCCTATCTGGATGTACCACACCGGAGTGCAAAATGATGTTCTTGTGACCCTACACACAGCACGCTATATAAGAGAAGGCCCTGACTCCTAATTTTCTATGGGGAAGGAATTTTTATTTGATATGGAGGAACATTCATTGATGTGACCCCCAGCATGCACTCAGCCCATGTATTGCTGGATCAAGCCAAAAACCAGTCATGTCCAGCAATTTGTTCTCACAGTTGACAACCGGATGTGTCTTACATCATTATCATCATCATCATCATCATTATTATTATTACTACAATTTATACACCGCCCTATACCTGGAGGTCTCAGGGCGGTTCACAATAAGACTGAACGCAGGACTTGAGGAGTGCAGCGGTGCTGGTCCCACTTATAATGCCCAGCAGCTGGTATTCAGGAGCATATGGCCTCCAACAGTCGAGTTAGAGCATATAACCACATGGTTAGGAGTCCCTGACAGCCCCATGCTCCTTGAATTTGTCTACTCCTCTTTTAAAGCCTGTCCAAACTGGTGGCCATCACTGCTTTTTGAGGGGACAAATTCCATAATTTATGCTGTGTGTGAATGAATACTTCCTTTTTTTCCTGTCCTGAATTTTCCAACATGCAGCTTCATTGGATGGAGTGCCTCAGGTTCTACTGTTACGAGAGAGGGAGGCAAACCTATCTGTGCACTTTTCTTGCACCATCCAATATTTCATACAACTCTGTTGTGTCTCATTATTCACCTTTTCCCCAGTTAAAAAGCCCCAAATAGTGTAATATTTCTTTAGCTGGTAACATTTCCTCAGGTGGTTCTCAACATATTTAAAAAGCTTCTTTGTAAGTCTTTTTTCAAAACGTCTTTAAAAACTACTAGAGAGTTCAGCTGCAGCAAGGTCATCCAGCTTCCTTGACAGGAAGCTTACTAGTCTTGTTGCTTAAACCACCATGTGATTCATATGCATACTTTGAGGAATACTGTTCACTTTAAGATCAACAAAGGCTGAAAAGTGCCAAGAATGGACCAAACGAAAAGCCGCACCATACAAAAAGCCGCATATGCACCCATGATATGAAAGAAAAGCCTAAAGTTATATCATCCCACTTCTCACCTCAAGATCAAAACAAGAGAAAAATACAAATGATCAGTGCCAAATTTACTATTTTACTATTCCTGTTGTCAACAGCCCTTAATTTTCCTGCACCAACCTGTTTTCACCTTTCTGTGTGCCTGTGGTGCTATTGATGACATCGGCTAATCTTGTTGATTTACATCTGATGGGAAATGACTCTTGATTCCAATTCCAAGGAACAGAATGTAGAGGTGTTCTTTGTGTCTCCCCAGCAGTTGTGAGAACTCCCTTCCCCTACAGGTCTATAAAATTCTGAATCCATATCCTTTTCTGTACAAGCTGGGGGATAACACAAAATGGATATGTGTTATAAATTATTTTAGTTCTAATTCTTACCTTTGGTAAGCTCTTGAAAATGGATTGGACTGAAATTGAGCTCAAATTTCATTGTTCCTTGGACTCCCACTTTATTTGGACTTCCAGGGAATGGTCCAAAAATACTTACAGGTGTGTCATACTGGAAGATGAAGCTTGTTGGATGTGGCCACACTGCCCTAGTGGTTGTTGATGGAAGCAGAATTGGAGGAAAATTGAATTGGCTTAAAAGTTGGGCATTGCCTTTACCCAACGTGAAAGCACATGAGTTTGAAGAATAAGAGTGGATTGGCAAGTGTTCATATATGTGAAACTGTTTTATTGAAGGATCATGATCAGGTGTAATGCTTTTTGTTTCTAAGGTAAGAAGCAATAGCACAAAATTTTAATAAAGAAATTTAGGTTGAATGTTAGAAAGGACTCCCTAGTAGTGATGATGATAATAATATAGCACGGAAAAGATGCCCAGGGATGTTTTGGGATCACTTGCCATTGGCTTGTAAGCAAGCTTTGACACTCTATTTTCATGCATTTGTTGATTTTATTGTAGCAGTGCTTTGAGTGCTTTTAACAGAGAAGCAACTCTTTAATATTAACAATAAATAGAAAGGTTTATATCAGGCTTCCTCAACCTCTGCCCTCTAGATGTTTTGAGACTACAATCCCCATCATCCCTGACCACTGGTCCTGCTAGCTAGGGATCATGGGAGTTGTAGGCCAAAAAAAACATCTGGAGGACTGAGGTTGAGGAAGCCTGGTTTATATTCTTTTTGCCACTGGCTAATGGAGGCAGTTGTGGAAATAGCAGCACTGCAGGCCCTCATTGGCCAACCAGAATTTGACTCTTTTACTTCTCTGTTTTTCGAAAGCAGATGAATAGCTACCACTTGCGACAGTGGTAGGAAAACCAAGGCTTTTGATTCTGGGTTTGGTGGACTGTGCTCGTGTAATGTAGTACTGTAGCTAGATTTGTTGGAGAGACCCTGCCTTAAATTCCTGCTTGGCCACAAAGCCTCCTGAGGAGCCTTGAGCTGGTCTCAGCTGAATCTACCTCACAGGGTGGCTTTGAGGATAAAGAGAGGGGGGTGTATTCTGCTCTGAGCTCTTCAGAGAAAGGGAAGGATTATAATATAATAGCGGAGCAATCTCCAGCTCTGTAATTGCATCTAGCATTAATTTTGTTTGCAAAACTTCATATATTATCACCGATGTACAAAAAAAAGGCCTAGTCATTTAAAATGATGCACACTGAAACCATTGGTACTGAAGAAATGTGAGGCTTTTATAGTCTCTGTTTGAAACCTGGCAAAGTAATTTCATACTTGGAGTATTTTGAAATGTTTCTGAGCCTCTGTGGCTGTAAAATAGATTTGTTTGAAATATTGCTGATATTTCAGCTCTGTGCTAATTGTGGCAGCCATTCCAGAAATGAAGACCATTACTTGAAGCTGTCACTTTCAATGCTTAAGTGACTTGCAGATCCTTGATATATTTTTAACTTCAGGAGGGTTGCCTACTGGAATAGGACAGCTGTTTATTTTGCCACTAGCAGTCTTTGGGCAACAAGAGCACACATGTAATCACCCTAGCCCAGACCTAAGTAGAAAGAGGGTGTTATGTAACATGTTGCTCTCTGAGGGTTTAGAATAAGCTGGCTTGAGTTATGTGGGGGGTTTTTTTTTGGTTTTTTTTAGGCTGCAAATATTTTTTAAAACATGCATAACATGAATAACTCTTGGGGGCCAACAGATCATATTGCTGTGTTTTGAGAATACCTGTGATATTTATTCTGACTTTCCTCTAGATTTTTTTTTGGTAGAAATTCAGTAGACTTTCTGCAGTGAAAATTGTATAACATAAACCCAATTGAGAAGACTCCCTCTTAAAAGGGTGGCATGTTGCACTTAGTGACCACTTGATACTAATCTATTCCTATAAAATCTTGATTACAGTGCTGTCTAAATTATTCAGTTGTATTGTATGGGCATTTAACATCTGTCAAATCTGTGAGGACACGTTACACCACCACAGTAAGTGTAGGTGCACTTACACATGGGTACTATGTAAATTTGACATTTGCAGAAAATGCCCAAGAGACTTGGCATGGCCTTTACTAGGATACGAAAAGCTTTTTTTTTATTTAAAAAAAAAGGCAACAAGCCCTGGTAAAAGCTAGTTTTTCCTGGAATAATGTATTAATTAATCCTTTTAGCAGTACTGTTCAATCAAATGCATATTGTGCTGCTGTGGATTGTTCCATATTGAATATTTAACATAGGAAAATCACCTTATACAAGTCAGACTCCTGGACCACCATGTAGTTACTATTGCCTGTACTAACACCAGTCTTTCTCAGTTTTCAATATGCCAGAGATTGAACCTGGGAACCTCTGCATGCAAAACATGTTCTCTACCATTGGACTACAGCCCTTCCCTTAAGGACATCTAACTGTTTAGAAGCTTAGTTTTTGAAAAATGTCTGAAATTTTAGCATGAAACTCAAATATCTGGCCACCACAGTGTTTTTGCTGTCTCCTTCAAAATATACTGGCAGATGCCTAACACAAGACATTAATATCCTTGATATCTCTTTTCCACTTTTTCAAATGTGTTTCCTTTTCACTCACATTTTCCTTTGCCATATATCTTAAGAGACCCTTCCTACATGATGGCTTTCACTTGGGCAAATTTTAATATGCCAGGATACTCTGTTTTGTATGAAATGACACAGATGTAAAGCGTGTCACTAAAATATATGCAAACAGAGGTGTGACCTTTTTCCATTCACTGTTCACATTTATTTTAAATGCAAAAATAGAGAATTAGATATGTGGACACGTACTGTACACCATGTCAGGTCAGCATGCAACGAAATGCAACACTTTCCTTAAAAGCAATATTTCATCCTCCCACTCTCTTCCTTCTTCCCAAACAGATTGCCAAAACTCACCTCCCCTCTGAAAGAATACCCTACTTTTCTGGTAGAATGAAGCTTTGGGTGGAACCATATGGAAGCCCATAGTTCATTCATGAGTAAAGGTGGAAATTTAATAACTGGGCTGCTCTTTTCTGAAGCAATAATATCTCTAGGGCTTCCCACTTTGCACTGTCAGTTCCTGAAGTGGATACAGGTAAAGTAATTTTGCAGTAATTTGGTGGGTTGTACATCATTATACAATAAAACCAAGCGTAGGAGATTGTAAACCCATTGTCTCAAATTTCTAGTGTAAAGCTTTTCACTGGAGCAGATTGAAAAAAACACCTTTTCCCTTTCATTAGTTTTCTGGTGCTAGTGTCTTTCCCTTCATTGAGAGCTAGTGTGAAATCCTGGTTAGTCTTTTTGAGCTTAGATTCAAGGAGCTCTAGTTTGAATACCCACAAGCCACAAAACTCACTGAGTGACATTGGGGCAGCCAGTGCATAAAATGTGACAAGCCCATTGATGTATGCCACCCTGAGCTTCCTGGAGGAAAGTGGAACAGTAATGTGAGAAATGATGAGTCCGGGCTTCTAAGTACCAAAACTAGCTTCCATTTTAAGCTTCATCATTTGCTCCTTGATACCACGCACTTTCAGGTGACCAGTTTTGTGCAGTTGAATGGTTTCTGAGGATTTCAGTGGGAAAGGGTAGGAGACACTTGCTGGCTAAGCATGTAATGAAGCCAGTAGAAGTGGTACATGTACAGAAGCGGAGCCCCTACCTTAAGCCTTAGCCTGTAAGAGAGCTGATGCCATCTGAAATTTTGTGAGTCAAGCATGTGTCTAATTAGGTAGAAATGATTTTTAAATTTAGCCAGGAACTGTTTGACATGGAACGGTAGGCAGGAATGTTTTGGTAATTTTGAGTTGTGTTTTAGAAATGCTGAATGAAATGCTTCTTCATTAACTAAAATGTGTGTGTGCATGCATTCAGAACAAATGGATGAATTGATTGGGCAGTGCTTTTTTACATTTGAACTATGACGTGCCATAGGGAGAGCCAAGAGTTCAGCACTCCTGAAGTCTTTCCACATTGAACTACCACTGTGCCTATCCAGTGCTTGGGATGCAAGGAGGCTCCTTCCCCAAATTAATAGTGAATTTTTGCTAGTCTTATCCTGTAGGCAGATTAATATTGCTGAATATCTAATCAGTTTTTCTCTTGCTTTCTCCTTGCCTTCCAAGTGTCTTCCATTTCCCTTGTATTGAACAACCCTAGGGTGTGTAGCCATGAACACAATTCATGATTAAGTACTTTTTAATTAACGTTTAGAATTCATACCAAAAACCGACAAAATCTTGCTTGCATTAGTGCGGCTAGGTAATTACAGTGGATGCTTGGGTTGCGAACGTGATCCGTGCAGGATGCACATTCACAATCCACAGCGACGCCTCTGTGCACGCACGGGTTGCAATTCGGGGCTTCTGTGCAAAGCGTGATTTGCGCTTCTGTGCATGCGCGACCGCCGAAACCTGGAAGTAACCTGTTCCGGTACTTCTGGGTTTCGGCGGAACACAACCTGAAAAAAGGCAACCTGAAGTGTCTGTAACCCGAGGTATGACTGTACAGAGCTTGGACCTAATGTTATTTCCTCCCTCCCCACTCCAGATACTGTGGGCAAGAGTTTTGTAACAAGCCCAGGGCAGTCAGCACTTTGCAGGACCACAGATACCTTCCCCTCTGAGCACTGGCCATACTGGCAGAGACGGATGGGAGTTGGAACCCAACACTGTCTGGCGGGACACATCTCCCCCTCCCTCATCCCACTGCCTCCAGTGTTACGTTAGTAGCTGAAGAGTAGGGTATGAATGAAGGTGATGTGGGAACTCCCATTAGATGCTTTTAAAAAGAATCCATGCTAGTTGAGTTGCAATTTCAAATGTGTTTTGTGCTGTGGGCATACTCTTGACTTTCTTGCAATTGGAGATCAGTTAGATGTTGGTCTTCAACTGGTGCTGTGGGACTCATAAATTGATTATCTGAGGATTTTTTTTGCATCTCCCTCCCTCCCAGTGTGGATCCTGTGTTGCGTGTTGGGATTAAAGGTGGGTTCTGGGTCTAAGAGAATGTTGAAGGTGTTTCTATTATAAACAAGCATAACAAAGTTGCTTTTCAGTGCAGTGAAACTGTTGCATTCTGGTAGATTATTTGTGTGGATACAAATTCTACATGGTCCTAGGATTGACAATTTCCTCTGAGGTAGCAAACCCATAATCTCTTACAACTGTAGCATAGTACTGTAATAGAAATGAAGTGATCAAAGCAACTTGATATTTTTAAATGCTATGTTGCGAAACCTGCAACTCCCATCAATTCGTCCCTGATCATTGATTATGCTTTGGGGGCTGATGGGAGTTGGAGTCCAATAATATCAGGCTGTGTGTGCATGTGTGCCACAAGTTCCCTACCCACCTACCCTGGCTGTAGCATATAGTGGCAGATTTTGTGATTTGGTTTATAATTGTAGTGCTGCACATTCATTTTACTAGCACTAGTATTCTGAAATAACAAATTGTTACTGTAGGCTTCTGGCAACGGTTAGAAACTTTAGAAACAGGTTATGAATTTGGCGGGTGAGGTATTGAATGACTTTATATTGTCATCTTAAAAACTGTTGTCAAAATAGCAACACTCAGAATTGGGTAGTGTAACTCTTGTTCCAGATAGCAGCTTACTAAAAAATCCCACATGTCTGGCCTTTGAAACTTGGGGTACTTGAGGTAGTATGTGCTATGAGTCTGAAGTAGTGCCGGATAATTAGAATATTGGTCATTGCGTAAAGTAATGTCTTGTTGGAGCCATTTCTGAATTTCTGTCCATGGGTGCTAGAACCAGTGATGTTGCTTAGCTTTGCAACTGGGATGGAGTAGGATTTAGAAATAAAATAAGCTTTTATGACATGAGTCAAAATACCATTTGTATTTCAGCTGGGCTCATAAATAAACAAATGCCATTTTCAAGGCTCCCTGCCCTGTGTCATTCTCTCTCCCCAAACCTTACCTTCTAGCAGCAGTAGTGCTGGGGCCTGGCAACCTACAGTTCTAAGGAACTTCCTGTTTGTAAGTCTTCCTGGCCTTATGAAGTCCTCTCACTTAACAGATTCCTGTTGCTGAGTGTAAGTTGTAGTGTTAGAAATGCACCAGGTTGTAAGTGTAAGTGTAAATTGTAATGTTAGAAAGGCACCAGGCGCGTTTTGCGACTAGTGTGGGTCCAATTGTGATGACATGGAGATCTTCGGATGCCAGATTGGCAACTGGGGGAAGCAAAATGTCACTTAGAGAAGGATCTGAAATATTTTCTTTGAAGCTTGAATTTGTTTTCTTCTGGGTTGTTTTATTTGATGTTTTAATGTGTTGTAAACTGCTTTGAGCTTTGTTCTTTAAAATATAAAGCAGTGTAGAAATTATGATGATGCTAACAACAACAAATTCCACCGGGAGGGCAGGGATGGCACCTAGACATTCCATTGTGGAGACTGTAACCTAGGTTTAAGGTGCCATTTGGCGATTAGATTACGGTATATATCTGATTTTTGAACACTGGCAAGTTGTGTTGTTTTTAGGAAGCAGGTAGGTGTAGCTAGCAAAATATGGTGGAGGAAATCAGCTGCAGAGAAGTCTGGGGATAGTGAAGGATCTGCAGTTGTCTTCGTCTTTAAGAGCTTTGTTTTTCTAAAACCGTTGATTACTTAAGATTTCTTTTAGGAAAACAGGAAACATAAGCACATTGTAATCAAAAGCAAGGTGCCTGTGTTTTTTTAATGTAACCTTAAAACCTGTTTTTACTTGCCAGGGTGGCTAACTTGTGACCCTCTCCCTATTGTTGGGCTCCCATCATCCCCAGCCAGCATGACCAGGCAGTCAGGCATGATGGGATTTGTAGTCCAGCAATATTAGCAAGGCTACAATTTCCCCACCACTACCATAAACAGAGGTTCACCCATTTGTGACACTGCACTTGTGTTGCGACTCTGAGACACTGAGTATCTCCAGAGCTTAGCATCATGTCAAATCATATCTGCCAACGTGTGCAGGGGCAATGGAACCCCTGTGCAAAATAGGGGCCCAGAGCTCCTTGGAGGAAGGGGGATGTAAATCTGTATTGGAGCTTTGATGCCTACGCATGTTAAACTTCCAGTTCTTCATGGGCATGCCTCTGTTTTGCTGCTCATTAACTTCTACCATGACATTTCCCTCCCCCCCTTTTTCTAGAATCCAGCAACTATCACCAGGATACTCCTTAGTCATTTCAACTGGGATAAAGAAAAGCTGATGGAAAGGTAAGCAAACTGCTTTTCTCCTTCTGGAAAGTGTTCTGGTAACCTGGTAGGTTTATTATTTCAGTTATCTATACTTGGCTGCAGATTAGCATTCACAATGATTTTCAGATTTTTGTGAGAGCAAGTTCTCTTAGTGAAGAAAATGGTGTTCAAGCCACCCTGAGTATGTAAGTGCTTCATTCTATCTAGACAGTCACCAGTTGCCTATGTTAGAGGCAATCAGATGGCTGAATGCGAGACTTGCTGTGTTTTAAGCTTGTGGTGGCAGAGTGGAGAGGACAAGGGTGGGGTCAGGGAGAAGCCTCCTGTTCCCAAGAGATACATGCAGGGTACTGCCTTTTTATATTGAATATGCCCGTATTTTACAATGTGTTCTCCCTAGGGTTTCATAACCCTCAGTGCAAGCGTAAACATGGTCCTGGGTGGTAACTGGAGAGAGAGTTTTCAAATCTGGGTGATTTTAGTTATCCTGGCACTCACCCTTGCTTGTACCTGACAATACTCATTGTATTAATGTCAGTCTACGTTGCTGTTGACATATATTGAACAACCGTATAATGTGGGCAGAGCTAACTGACTTGTGTCTTGCTGCGTTTAATTTGTAGCTTGAGTGTTGCTATAATAAAACGCTATTTTCAGGAAATGCAGATCTTGTTTCTTTTTTGCAAGTTGTATTTGAACTGTGCCAACATGGAAATGTGGAGGTTAAGCAACTGCAAGGAAGCCAAATATTCTCAAATCAAAAGAGTTCCTTCTCTAACTCCCATGAGGAGTTCAGAGTTGGACTCATGGAAATGGTACGGCTTGGCATGAGGCACTTTCAGCATTCATTGTTGTTGCACTAAATGTCCAACACACTGTCTAAAAAAATATTTTTAAAGTCCCAGCTCAAAGAGTAACATGAGAAATATGATACAAGAGGAAAAAGTGATGGAGGTAGGGAGTCTGTGGCTTGTCAGAAGTTGCTAGTCTGCAGCTACTTTCATCCCCAACCATAGTGTCTGAGATTGACAATCTACCCTTCATAGTTGCAAAGATAAATTTGAAGAATCTGGTGCTTTGCTGATTGCTCAACCAAGTTAAAATCTGGCCTTCTTCATTGTGCTCCAGCTGCTTTCAAGATAGAGGAATTTAAATCACCAAGAAAAGATTGTAAATGAGAAATGTGGTTTAAATCTATTTAGAAAAAGCTGGATCCAGCTGTTGGTGTAAAAGAGAAGGCTAATTTATATTTCTTGCATATTAACATTTGGTTTGACAGCTTGTTTAAGATGGGAACCTTAGTTAAGAGAATGGTAAAGTCATATCTGAACTGCCTATTTTTCTCTTGTTTGGAACAGCAGACAACTGAGTAGGGAAATGAGGTTGAGTAATTGTGTCTTACACTTCAGAAAAATTGCTAATAAAGTCAAAAAGTTGTAAATGGATTCATTAAGCTTTTTTTTTCATGCTAGAAAATCACATAACTACTGGTGGTCCATGTTTTCACCAAGAATAAAGCATGATACTGGCTGTTTGTGTGCTTTTTTTTGTTTTAAAGAGCATAACTTTCAGGTGGCATAGCAAACACTACCCAGTAGGAAAAATATACATTAGTTGTGTGGCACTTATTCTAGGTGTCCCAAGGAATATTATTGGTAACTTGATTACGTTTATTTAGGAACAGATTCCATTTGTAGTATAGCTTTTCATTCCAGTAATGCTTGTGAATCTATTAAAGGGTGCTCTTCCATGTGTAAACTGATGTAATCTGCTATTTAGCTTCGAAATCCTCTTGGGCAAACTATTAGGAAAATCCCTTGCTCTGAAATGATAGAAGTATTCTTCCAGAATCTCTTTGATTCCAAATCCTTTGGATTTCCCACTTTCTTCTTCTTCTCATGTCTCATTTCCAATTATACATGATATTGTACAGTAATTCTAGGAAGCAGTTTCCGCTTATTATAGCTAGGTTGCTTGATTCAGCATTGATTAGGAATTTTAACTTGAATTTTAACTTGTTATACAATGGCAAAGCAATATTTGTCCTTAAAGGTAAAGGGACCCCTGACCATTAGGTCCAGTCGTGGACGACTCTGGGGTTGCGGCGCTCATCTCACTTTATTGGCCAAGGAAGCCGGCGTTCAGCTTCCAAGTCATGTTAAATTTGACTAGACCCAAGACCCCAGTAGTGCAGCATTCTGATCTCACCATGTCCAGCCAGATACATATATGAAGCCCACAAGAAGAAAATGAGTGTAATAGCACTCTTCCTCTGTTAATACCAGCGGCTGAGAATCACAAGACATGTTGTTTCTGATACAGGAGGTATAGCCACATGGCTTGCATCCATCCACTAGAAACTGTGTGTTTCGTATCAGCGCAATTCTGTTTACCGTATTTTTTGCCCCATAGGACGCACTTTTTCCCCTCCAAAAATGAAGGGGAAATGTGTGTGCGTCCTATGGGGCGAATGCAGGCTTTCGCTGAAGCCTGGAGAGTGAGAGGGGTCGGTGCGCACCGATGCCTCTAGCTCTCCAGGCTTCAGGAAGCTATCCGCAAGCCTTGAAAGCCCGGCGGGAGTTCTTGTGGGCAGCAGCCTGCAGCCTGAAGCACGGGGCGCCCTCCGGAGGGCTCCCCATGCTTCGGGCGGGTGTCTGCAAGGCTTGGGGCTGCAGCCGCAGCTGGGGGGGGAATGAATTTCATTCCCCCCCCAAAAAAACAAGGTGCGTCCTATGGGCCGGTGCGCCCTATAGGACGAAAAATACGGTAACTTTCTCCTGGCCCTGTTGAACGTCAGGCATTTTGATTAAGCTTTTCTGACTTCTTAGTTAATTTTAACTGAATTTATGTTTTGTATTGTTTGTAAACCCACTGTACTTATAAGCAGTGGTGTTAGGTGGTGTGCAGATCGTTGAAATAAAGACCGTATTTTTCCATGTATAAGACGCCCCCATGTATAAGACAACCCCTGTTTTTTTAAACCCAAAGTTAAGAAAACGAAACCCTAAAATAGAAGTGAAAATCTGGGTGATTGGCGGAGGCAAGTTGTTGATCTTTTTTGGGGTGATCACCCTCAAAGTGTCCAGCAAGAGGTGCATGCAGTGCACTGTGGTGCAGAAGCAAAGGCAGCGACTGGGGCACCACACACTTCCCCTCGGTGGTGGCAGCTGCTGCTGTGGGGAAGCAGGCTCCTAAGCAGGATGCCAAGAAAGAGCCGGAGGAAGGCAGTGGCCGCTCTGCTTTGAGCGATGCCATCGAGCAAACTAAGCTGAGGAAGGCGGTGAGCGGGCTGGGGGCAAGGTGGGAGTTTGAGAGGGGAAGAGGAAAAAGATGAAAGAAGGGCAAGGAGAGATAGCTGAGGCAGCTCTCAGCGGCGGCGGCAGCTGCTCTTGATCCAGTGGTTGAGCCAGCGGGGGCTTCAGGAGGTGAGCCAATCGCTAGCATGTAGCCTGGGGGTGGGGAGAGAAAGGGGGGATGGTAGCAGGAGGGACTGCCTCAGCCCACCCAAGCCAAAATGCCGGACATAGGCGTAAATATTTTAAAATTCCCCCAGAGGCCCATGTTTGGTGTACAAGACAACCCCCAATGTTTTACTAATTTTTTTTAGCAAAAAACCTCATCTTATATACACGGGAAAATACGGTAAATGACAAATGCCTGCCATTCTACTATTGACACTCTCTTCTAAGCAACAGATTAATCTGATGCCTGTACAAAAATGTGCTGAAACACTCTTGTTAATATTTTATGTTACACTGTGTTACTTGTGTTAGATAATGGGAAATGCCCATCTTGGTATAATTTAAGAGTTCCCTCTTGGTTTTCTCCTGTAAGGAGTTTAGCAAGACCTGTGAGAGGGCAAGTTTCCAACAGCTGCCCCAACTGGGTAAGCTCTTTCCTCCCCCACCTCTCCTCCAGAGTATTCAATGGTTTCCATTCATTCTTTGAGTGGCCTTAAATACCAGGCTATCACAGACCTGACTCAGACACTGCCCATTTATTATGTCACCCAAGAAATAAAGATGGCTGCTGCTTTTGAAATTTCCAGTGGGATAGCTCAAGATCAGGCAGTTGGTTATTCTAAGCAATGAGAGCAGCAGCTGCAGAAATTGCAAGGATTAGAACCATAGGAAGCTGCTTCCTAAATGGTTGGTCCATTTAGCTCAACATTTAATATACTCACAGTTTTCCAGGGCTTTAGATGGGGTCTTTCTGAATGCAATTTGGAGAGGATGAGAACTGAACCTGGCAGCTTCTGCTTGCAAAGCATCTCGTCTGCTACTTGAACTAAAACCATTAGCTGAAGCAGCATAATTTCTCCTATCTTAATGCAACTCCTGTTTAAACGTAATAGAGGCAGGAAGATCTGTTGCAGAAACTCGGAAGTGGCAGGACATTACTGTAGGAATTGAAAGCATGGCTTGTTAGAGAAGGTTCTTGAGGTATTAATCTGCACAGGTAGATGGACTTGCTTGTTGTTGTTGTTGTTTTAATCGAGGTTTTTAAAAAGTGCACCAAGACAGCATTGGGAATTGGGTGGGGATGAATTTATTATGAAGTATGCCCTAGGCAGCATAAGAGAATACAGCAATGTTATGTATTTTGGAAACTAGAGTTGCTAAACGGAAGAATTTGTCCAAAGTTTTCACAGGTAACTTTGGAAGAAATTGGAAAGATATTTTTTTCCTGTGAGCAATTGTTGCATAGCAGACCTGCTGTCTGCGCAAGTCCTAATTTACACTCCAAAGGCTAAATTTGAAGATGCTTTGATAAGTTGCCATCTTGACAATCCAAACAGCAACTGTTTTATAGTTGTTTTTAAAAATGTCTTGGCTACCTACAGATCTAAGGTAGGTGATCCAAAACACTGCCCATATACTAGAAAAGGCATGAACCTGAACTACTCCCTTGATGCAGGAAGTTCTTGAAGCAAGGCAGCCTAGATATGCCTGTCCTGAACTTTGTATCCTTTGACTGCTGGTGTTTTCCTGGCTGCAAACATTGCAGGGCTATTTGGATTGCCTCATCTTCACAGTTTTACAGGGCCAATACAAATGGCAAGGTGAGGCATAGGTGGTGGAGAAAGAATAGGCACCCTTCCCATTTTTAAATAAGGACTGAAAAGCTCCTCCTTACTCAATCTCTAACTGCTATTCTCAAGTGAAGAACAGTTTTATTTTGTTGTTCTTAAACATTTGGCTTCACTTCCCTTTTCTGTTCATGCAGGTACTTTGATGGCAACCTGGAGAAGCTCTTTGCAGAATGTCATGTAATTAATCCTAGTAAAAAGTCTCGAACACGTCAGATGAGCACAAGGTCATCTGCACAGGACATGCCTTGCCAGATCTGCTATTTGAACTATCCTAACTCTGTGAGTAACTTTAAAAAAAAGCATTTAAAGTATTTAAATCTTTAAAACATTGTCTCATTTGAATTCTAAACTCTTATTTTGGATGTCTGAGATTTAGCCAATTTGTATATGGGTTGTTATGGAAGATAATAGCCTTCATCTAGCTATCTTCTCTCTGACACACATGTGTTTTCCCTGCACAGGGAATTCTTTTGTATAGACTAGAGGAACATTTAATGTAACCTCTTCCTACAGGCTGAAGTGGTACATGGTAGAAACAGGTTTTCCTTATTTGTTGTTTGAGAACTAGCCTTCTTTTTCTTTTAATACAGATATTTCAGTAAAGCTATATATTAGGCTAATAATAAAACTTATTCTTTTATACAAATAGGGAGCAGGAAAATAACACATGTATTTCAAAACTAATAAGCTTATCATAATGCAATTGTATCAATACTGTCATTTTTGGAATGCAATAAATGATTGCTAAATTTTCCTTGAAGTTTTTATACAGTCTATTCTTTAAGCATTACTGTTTCATTGTTTCAGCTGTGTAGCACACTTTATTTAACTATTATTTCATGGCTAAAAGATTTGAAGTTTGCCAGAGTTTTTGTGGTTTGTTTTGGTGCAAGTAATAAATATGACACTAGTGAGTAATGTGTATTTCTAATGATTCAAGAATAATCAAAAGGTATAGCTATAAACCAATAATTTAACTTGATTAAGGCTCATATTTCTAGTTGAATATGGATCTTTGACATTGTTCTTCAAATTATATGGTTTCCAAGTGTTACTCTCGTTGACTTGCTTGCCAAGGCACAGCTTCCCTCTTCTGCATTATAGCAGAAGATTTGGGGGAATGTTGTAGGACACATACTCAATTCACATTGGACCCCTGCAAACCTTTTTGAATCTCGGTGTTACTGCATTTGCATTCTCTGTGACTTCCAGTGTGACCAACATTTCCAGCATACTCCATATTGAAGATTAACAGTGACATGCAACCTGCCTTTGCGGGGGCATATTATTTGATCTTACTAGGGAATCCCAGGGTTTCTCAAACATTTGGAAAATGCTGTTTTGTGAGATTATCCACTTCTTTTTATCATCTCAATAACGTCTTGATAACATTGTTCTTCTTAGAATTTCATGCAGTCTTTTAACTTTGCTTCTGTTTTATGGGATTTATATCCAAGTCCTTCTGACTTCATGTAATTTAATTTTATAACAAGTTCTAATGCCAGTCAGCGAGTAATAAAAATTGAGTTTCCTAAGTAAAATGCAATATCTTCATGTGCTGTCTTGCATTCATTTTTTTTACTGTGTATCGTTTTGGTTCTTATATCATTTGTTTGGATCATTGTGCACAAGTTAAACCATAATTGTATATATGAATGCTGTCCAACTTCAAAGCAGATTCTCAAATGCTTTTATACTTGCCAGTTGATACTGAGTTACTCCTTCAGCTGGCATACAGTGCATCACAATGTTCCAAAGCATTTGGATCCTACTTGGATGGGTGTTGCTTAAGGGGTGTTCCCCATGGAGCCTTCAATGTAGGGTTCTGGCAAGGTTCAATTTTACCCCCTATGTCAGTGGTTTTCAACCTTTTTGAGTCCATGGCTCCCTTTGAGTCCACCAGCAACTTACACTGGGGTTCTGTTACAGGATGCACGTAAGTGGGGTTTCCTCCCATTCTGCCCTCCCTCTTTTTGGCACGTCTGTAAGTGGGAGCACATGTCGGCGGGAACACAAGCAATGCCGTTGCTTTGCAGGGCCAAGCTGACGCGCTCCACATGGCAACCCTATCCTGCCTTTCCTGAAATTAGAGTGTACATTGGGTTGGGGAGAGCGCAAAACAATATTAAGATCAGAAGTATTTTCTTATTGTGGGGAAGGAAACCAAGAAACACAGCACAGGACACACATGCATACATGGCTCTTTCCTGCAACATTCTCCCTGTCCCCATAAAGCTTGGTGACTGTTAAGGAGGAGTGGGTTGCCTGCAGGGAGAGGTAGAGAAGAAGAATGAGGAGGAATGTTGAGGGTAGAAGGAGAGAGAAACACAGAAGACACTCCTCACTTTCAGGGTTATGATTAAATCCCTCCTTATAGGACACACACACACCACACACCATTGAGCTACTTTGCTGTTTTCTTACATTTCTCAAGTGTAAAACTAAGGAACTGTTAGTTACTGAAGCTGGGGAGAATTTTTTTGGGGGGGGGGAGATTTAAGTCATGCAAAAGTGTTTCCCCACTTTTTTGCCACTGTTTTATTTCGGGAAGATAATGGGCTGCAGGTTAAAGTTGCCAGTTCCCTGTTCCTCAGGGAGAAAAAGAGAGAGAGAATATGCAGGAAGATATGGGCTGCAAGTTAATTAAAGGCTCCCCCGAATGTTCCTCAAGGCACCCCAGGGTGCCTCAGCACACTGGTTAAAAACCAGTGCCCTATGCTCTTTAACATCTACATTAAACCACTGAAAGCGGTTATCCAGAGGTTTGGAGTATGTTGTCGGCAATATGCTGATGGCACACAATTCTACTTCTCTGTATCTGCAGGTGAGGCAGTGCTTGTGTTGGACTGTTGTCTTGCTTCTGTAGTAGAGTGGATGAGAGCCAACAAACGAGCTCAATCCAGATAAGATTGAGGCATTGGTAGTGCATGGTTCCTTAGACCGGGTGACTGCCTGTTCTTCATGAGGTTACACTGCCTATGAAGGGGTTGGGTATGCAGCTTGGATCCTTGGCTGTCGCTTGAGGCTCAGGTGGCCTCAGTGGCATGGAGTGCCTTCCATCAGCTTGGGGTGGTGGCCCCCATGTACCTCTATCTGGACAGAGCCAGCCTAGAGCCTCTCTATGTTCTAGTATCTTTACAGCAATGTGTTATACATAGGGCTGCCTCTGAAGATGGTTCAGAAACTTCAGCTGGTGAAGAATTCAGCAGCCAGGTTGCTCACTGGGACAAGACTGTTTGAGCATATTACACCGATCCTGGTCCGACTGCACTGGCTGCCAATTCGTTTCCAGGCACAATTCAAAGTGCTTATTTTGACCTATAAAGCCTTAAACGGCTTAGGACTGCACAAGGACCACCTCTCCCCATATGAGCCTACCCTGGACCCTGAGATCATCATCTGAGGCCTTTCTTTGTGTGCCTCCTCCACGAGAGGTTTGTAGTGTGGCAACACAAGAATGGGCATTTTCTGCAGTGGCTCCCCATTTGTGGAATTATGTGTATAACTGAAACCCAGTGAAAAACCCTGCAAAACACCCCACCCCCTTTCTGCTTTTTTAGTGATGGTTCAGTGATGTCTTTATGAACACGTATTAAGTAGGGGGCTGCCTGTAAACCAAAGTAGTCTCAAAATTAATTTCTTTCTAAAATTATTTCCCTTTGTATATTTAGTAAACTGTTGTAAAAGGGATCCTTAAATTTTTTTGTTCTAATCTGTTTTGGTCCATGGTGCATCATCCTGTTGTATAGCACTTCCAAATATCCGTTATCCTTCCCTAGCACGTGTTTTTTATAATAGTTTGTCATCTTTAAAAAAAAAATTCAACCTGATATTCTTAATGTCCCAAGAGGAGTTAAGCACAGTTAATGTTGGCAGATGGATGAAAAATGGATTTAGGCCCAACTAATCTTTGTGGGATTTTAATCCTTATCACTGACTAGCTACCTTTCGTTAACAATGTTTTTAAAAAGTGTAGAATAATGAATTAATCTTGAAGAAAATGTGAGGTGATGTTGGGGTTTTGCTAGTGGTAATACCAAAATGCATATCCTTCTCTTGAAGTAGATGAAAATGTATAATTAAACATTAGAGATTCTGTTTTTCCTTTCATTAATTCCAAATTGAATTTTCCCCTTGTCTGTCTTTGCTCACTCCCCAGTGTCTTGTGACCAGGCCGTTGGTGCACAGAGACCTCTGAGTAATTCTATATATGCAGGGGTTAGAAAGAGTTCAGTGGAGCTGTTTGCATAGGATGATGCAGCTTTATGAATATTGCTGTGAGCGCAGATCTCTGCTTGTGAAACAGCAAAATTAGATGGAAGAATACTGATGCTAGAGTCAAAGTTTGGGGCTTCTAAAGAAGCAGAGCAGGTGTTTCCCACAGGTAATTGAGAGTGACTAGTGACTATAGCAATAAAAAAATGGCCTTCCTGAATCAGCCCAAAGCCCATCAAGTTCAGTGTTCTGTTTCAAACAAAGGCTAGGTCTTTAGAGGCAGGCACATAGCGTAGTGTGGTGCTTGGGTTAAACCACAGAGCCTAGGGCTTGCTGATCAGAAGGCCAGCGGTTCGAATCCCCGCGATGAGGTGAACTCCCGTTGCTCGGTCCCTGTTCCTGCCAACCTAGCAGTTCGAAAGCATGCAGTGCAAGTAGATAAATAAGTACCGCTCTGGTGGGAAGGTAAACGGCGTTTCCGTGCGCTGCTCTGGTATGCCAGAAGCGGCTTAGTCGTGACCGGAAAGCTGTGCTCCGGCTCCCTCGGCCAGTAAAGCGAGATGAGTGCTGCAACCCCAGAGTCGTCTGCGACTGGACCTAATGGTCAGGGGTCCCTTTACCTTTACCTTTTACATAGCATAGTGTGTCTTGACGAGGACTGCCTTCTCATGGCAGCAGCTGACAGGGCCTGTGTGTGTGGTGGCATTGATCAGGCCCCGGGCCATGTCCTGATATTTTTCAACCCCACCATGTGAATTATGTTATCCCCACCCTTGACATACATACATTGAGGCAGAACTGGTATAATTAATATGGAGGTACTTCCAGCAACCCCTGAGACTTGAGAGGAGAATCTTGTTGTCTGGGTAGCCCAGGACCTCCTTACACACTGCCCAGGCTTGTGCCCCAGAGAGGAGGCGCACTCCATTGTCTCTTGAGACAGATGGGTGCCAACAACTACAACAACCAGAGTTCACACGTATGACCCAGAGTGACAGTTGGCTCCACTGGGCAGGAACACTGACTGCAGGGCTGCATGTCGCTGGGACTGGGTGGTAGTAGCCCAGCGGCAGCACTGATTGGAACTTTTATGTTGCTACCAGGGAGGGCAAGCATGTGCTCTCATATACCGAGTCTGAATGTGCAGAGTCCAGGAAGCAGAACTTTAAACTTGGCAATAGAAATACTTATGCACTTCATTCCACAGCAGAAGGCAGCAGAAAACTTGAACTCAAAAACAACGCAGACGAATAAGCCTGGGGTGAGATACCAGAGCTCTTGCAGATTTTACTGGGTTTGGTTGAGCCTTCGCTCTTAACTGCCCACTTGCTGCACTGCATTAAACATGTGCCTCTCAGATCTCCTGGTGAGGGTGAGCAAAATAGGAGAGATGCTATATAAATAGCTGGCAACAAATATTTCTGAGTGGGGGAGCGTCTCATGCCATTGCTTTTGTCAGCAGCTAGTTACTAGACCAGGCTTTCTTGCCGTTTCCTTTCCTTTAAGTCTGTTGACTAATCCATAAACGTGATTTAAGTTCAACAAGTTAAGAGGAAGCCCTGAAGAGAAGGCAACAGTGGAGGTTTAACACCATGCATTTAATATCCCTTGGCTTAGCACATTTAGATAGAGGGAATTTACGAGATATATTTGCATTGCCAGTTGTTGTCCTCAGATTTGAAACTTTTGCAGTAAAGTAGCCTAAATTTCATGTGAAGCTAGACTTGAAAAAAGCCCTGGGGTTGTTGGTGGTGCTGGGAACCATCACTTATTGTCACAAATAGTATGCATGTTTAATAGCTGCATTGTATACTTTAGCTTCCTGCTTCGTCCTGGACAGTAAAAGGCAAAATCTTCCCTACCCCCACTCCAGTGCTGGGATGCAGATGGGTACAAATGCAGCTGTTTAAGGAGTGGGCGGGGATCTGTCCAGCCACCCATACCTCAGTGCTGGAGTGGAGAAGGTTAGAAATTCTGACTGTGTTTGTGCCTACCTGATTTGTGAGGCTGAGAGTGTGTGTGTGTGTGTGTGTGTGTGTGAGAGTGAGTGAGTGAGAGAGAGAGAGAGAGATGTGTGCTTGTGCCAAGGGTGGGGAAATAAAGGCACTTTTTTTTTTCTTTTTGGGGGAAGCTTTTTGTGTATGCCCACTAAAGGTTAGGTAAGTTCTAATGCAACTCAGGCTCATAGCGTTTCCCTACCCTGGTAGACTACATTTATTACACGTAGGGAATGTCTTTTTGCAAGTGTAGAGAATTCATTGAAAATGATTAATGAAATGCTGTCAACAAGCCTGCATTCACATCTTTCAGCTTTCAACCCTTGGGGCTACTATACCTGGAAAACTGGGCTGAATTCTTCTTCTTCTTCTTTTCCTTCTTCTTCTTCTTCTTCTTCTTCTCCTTCTCCTTCTCCTTCTCCTTCTCCTTCTTCTTCTCCTCCTTCTTCTCCTCCTTCTTCTCCTTCTCCTCCTCCTCCTCCTCCTCCTCTCTCTCTCTCTCTCTCTCTGTGTGTGTTGGTGTGGGGACTGGAAGCACTGGGATGTGCAGAAATTAGTTGAGACATGGGAACAGCAGAGGGGAGGGGGCAGTAGAGTAGAGAAGGCAGTGATTATAACTTTCACAGGTTAACTGCCATTCATAAACTCTGCATGTGGATGGGAGCAGGCTTGTGCTTTTGACCATGCCCCTCTGATTATGTATTTCCTCAGTGTCTATGCATTGAGTGGAAAATATGCATGATCCAGGACCTCTGCATGGAATGCAGACATTGGCATGGTTGGGCTTGGCAGGGCATGTGATACGGAAGGGGGCAGTAGTCACAGCCACCCCAGCACAAAAACTATATGTGTGGAGGTTAATCTGTGAAGATTTAAGTCAAGTTGGAGGTTTTGAGAACCAGTGAGATGAAAATAATCATTCAGTAGTGCATTAAATGATGCACAGGAGGCCAATGTTGCTTCTAGCTCTCTCATGTTACAAATCTCATTGTCACAACTTTCTGCCTCCACCTTTATCTTTGATATATCACATAGAAATGGCCCTCCATGCCTCTCTGAACTCTCCCCAGGCCACACCCCCTTACTGTCCCTGCTTCACATCCTCCTTGAGAGACTTTGCCTGCCTGGATTGTGTCCTTGAACTCCGAGAATTCCCCTTGCTTCCCTTGATGGAGGATAGACGGGTTTGTGAGTGTGAACACTAGGCTAATTTCTATGCAAAGGTAACAATAGGATTGATTGCTCTGCTCAGTTTTGCCTCTGACCACATCCATCGCTGTCATGTGACACCTCCCCCCCCAGGTTGCTCAGAAAAAAATAGAACCCACTGCCTAAAAATGGTTCCCTAGTGCTGATTCCAATGATGCCTTGGCCAGAGAACTCCATAGTGCACAGAGTACTATTTTGACATCTAGCATTATTATAAGAAATGCTTTGGGAGTAAGCCCTGAGTAAAAATCCATACCTGCTGCCTTGCGGGACATCTTCAGAAGAAAAGGCTATGGAGTAAACCCTACACACATCTGGAATGTAGTCCCTAAGATAGTTGGATAGCACCTAGTACGCCTCCTTCTGACAGCTTCTGCAGCCAAGTTGGTGCCAAATGTATTGCTCTGCTTTCCTATGGACCACAGTGAGGCTGAGAGCATGGTCTTGTCGTCTGGGCAGCCCAGGATTTCGATGCACACTGCCTAAGTTTGTGCCTCAGAGAGGAGCATTCCATTGTCTCAAGACAGACGGATGACATCAACAACAATTACTGTAACATGTTTATGATCATGTATTCTGGTTTTCTTTCTCTTGGGCTTCTGATTTGTGATTTATTTATTTTTTACATTATGAGAATGAAAGTGGGGATATTTACTTTTTATGTGCTATTTGAACTCTGAAACAAAGGGACTAAGCGCACCATAAGATTTTCTGGTTAAAGCAAGTGAGTGCAGTTAGTAGGTCAGTTAATACTTGAAAGAAGCTCTAAAGTAACTGCTATAGCAGTAATGATAGCTAACAGCCTTCCCCAACCCAGTGCCCCTCAGATTATTCAGGACTACAACTCCTATCAGCCTCAGTCTCTAGGTTGATGAAAGTTGTAGTCCAACACAATCTAGAGGACACCAGGTTGGGAAGGGCTGCTCTAGGGGGAAGATGTTGACATTTTGCAAGGTGATGATTCTTTCAGGAAAAACTGCATACAGCTAATCTTGCAGCAGTGGGAAAAGAGTACACAGTACACATAACATTTTCTCTCTTTGCAGTACTTCACCGGTTTGGAGTGTGGACATAAGTTTTGTATGCAGTGCTGGAGTGAATATTTAACTACCAAAATAATGGAGGAAGGCATGGGACAGGTAAAACTTTTTTCCATTATGTTTTGATGTCAGAGAAAGAATTGTTTGATCAGGGTCCGCAACTTTGCTCACCATTTCAAGTGTCTAGGAGGTGTGGAGAGCCTTAGGGTTTGCCCCAACCATGAAGCTGGAGGTGGGCTTGCCCCTCTAGTTATATTGCACTTGGCCAGTTTCCTTCCTGCCCCACCTCCCCTGCTCACAGGTTGAGAGGAAGCCTGAGGATTGTAGTGCTTCAGAAGCGCAGTGCTTAAATGACAAACTCCCAACACTCACTCCAGCTCTGTGCTGAAGGGGTGAGAGCTTGCTGGCTTGACTTTCTTCTTTCAAGGCATTCTATTGCATCAGAAGCACCTCGGAGCCCTGGCTCCAGCTGTAAACCGAAGAGGGAAACTGGATCTTCTTACCAAGCTATGCTTCTATGCAGTGCAAATCCAAAAGTGATCCTTCACCTGCCTTCCCAGCTCTAAGCTTGGAGCAGGGAATTGTCCCTCCCTCTGTGCTGGATTTTGGAGATTCGGTGCAAGTTCATGGATAAGACACCCACCTGCCTTTTCAAATCTCCCCAGTCAAAAACCAGTCTCTTGGCAACCACAAACCTTCTTGACAACCAGAATTTGTGGACTTTTTAGGTTTTGCCTTGGGAGGGTGTTTAAAACAATCACCTGGGAGGTTTGTTTTATATTACAGCTGATGAGTGTTCAGGGGAAACAGTTAAATTTAGAGCTTAAGCCCTTGGTTGGCCAACCTCTTGTAACCTGTGTTGTGTTTTAGAAGTGCTGCTGAGTGTGCACAGTTCTTAGAGATTCTTCACTGCCATTCAAACTAAATCAGATGTTCTTTCTGACTCCTGTTTCCCCCCCTCACCAGACAATTTCATGCCCTGCTCATGGCTGTGATATCTTGGTTGATGACAATACAGTTATGTAAGTATTATAGTTGATACATGACTTCAGTAATACCTCCCTTCCTGTGTTGAGCGCTAAAACAGATCGGTTAAGGATTGACTGGCCCAAAGCTGTGTTTTATTGAAATATAATGGGTCAGTCTTATATGATCATCCATGGACATCTTTGGATGCCTTGGGAGAAGTGAGCCTCCTCTGTAGTCGCCATAATGGAAACCAAAGAATGCTTCTGCTTTGCCATCAACTTCACCTTTTTGCTTGCAGTATGTTTTGCTTGCAGGAGCTTTTTGACAAAGTCATAAAATGACTGTTGCTGACGTTTTCCATTGGCTGATTTCACAGACTTAAAGCAAGAGACCTCTGAACTGCAGTTAGGTCATCTAATAAATTTAAGTTCATGATCTCACAGCCTTACATTAGATGGTTTAGTCAACCTTGTGTAATCCTTTCCAGGAATAAAATCCCCAGTTTGGCCTTATTCACCCCTCATTCTTTGTAGATTGCTTTTAGTGTTAAATTAATGTTGTGGTCCTTTTTCTACTGTTTCCATTTTAAGTTGGGACTTGTATAAATATGGAAAGTAGGTATAACTGTACTGATTTCATCATGTGAAGCCCATGTAAAAGGTTCTGTTCGTTTTTATTGAGTCTAAAATAATCTGACTAAAACATATCCTTTTTTATTATTATTAAACTAGTTTTATCTTGTAATACAACATCAGTTGCAAGGGAGTACTTTTGAGACTGTCCTCAAAAAGCATAAAACAAAAAGGCACATGTTTTTAGGTATCCTACCTTTTCTTTCACATACACCAATTACGTATCATATTGTTAATGAGAACTGTTCAGAGAGGAATACTGTGTCAGCAGTAAATGTCATTATCTGTTAGGTCATTGTGTATTGAATCTTTTTCTCTGTCTGACATCCCCATAGTTTTAAATGTTGTGTTCCATTCATTGTCCAATCCTCTCAGAGGTTCACAGGTGGTCTCCAGGTAAGGTACCTGTCAGACCTAGGTTTGTTTTGGTTAACAGAGAATTATACCCCCAATCTCTTGTAGTTGTAATTTGTTTTTATGTTTGTTATTTATTTAAAAGCATTTCTAAATCACTTTTTTAAAAGGAAAGAAAAGCCCTAAGTGTTATACAGAAATACAGTATAGAAGCAATAAAAACAGAAATTCAGTTAATAGGGTTCAATCTCATAGGTTCAGGCAAAAAACCACATCTTTACAAAACACATTAGAAGCAACTGGTGGATGATGCTTCAGGTATGGCACACTGACAGAGGGAGATTGCTTTAAAATCTTCAAGGCATCAAATCAGTGCGCTTCTCATGATGAGAACAATGGAGTTATAGGGTGGTGTTCAGCTTTACTCAGAACAGACTCATTGAAATTAATAATATGACTAAGTTGAATTCATTAATTTCAGTGGTGAAACTTAATTGAATACCATGCATATTCCAAACCATCTGGAAGGCACCAGGTTAGCAAAGGCTGATCTGTACCCTTTAAAAATGTGTGCTTCCCCAAGTACAGGTTGAATCATTTGTTATGCTGCCTAGCAGCCAACACTTTATATCCAGTGCCAGTCAATGAATAAACAAGAGGGTAAGCAGCGGACACCATATGCCCCAGGTACATAGTGGCCTTCTGCAGCTTTCCTTGACCCCCCTCCCCCCCAAAAAAGAGATTGTATGTGACCAGCTAATACATTTGTTTTCCTTAGAGTTCACTGATTGAGTGTTTAATATGCTAATGGAAATCCCTAGTTTATGGTGCACATCTCTCTATTCATGGCCATCTGTATGAAGGGACGTCGTCTTTCAAAAGTTTCTTGTCCTATGTCTTTTTAGACAATTGTTACAATCTAATTTGATCCAGTAGTGCAAAGTGGAAGAGCATCTAGTCTAGTGTACAAAAGTTGGAAATTAGTATTGTGGGTTTTAGTGTGCCAGTGCTCTGGAATATGCCTTAGCATGTGTGGTTTAGCTGGCTTGCCTCCTTGTTCTTCAGACAAGGAGCACAGGGAGGGGAGAGGCAGGAGACAGTAACTCTAAGGTCACCTTAATGCAGTGGTTTTGAAACCTGAATTTTATGGGGATACCCATGTTTCTTCAGAAATGTATTGGGCGTATCTAATTGAGAAGATGAGTAATGCAGGATAAACTACCCAGAAAGGCTGCTTGCACACAGTTACCAAAATTCCCCTGCAATGTGGCTGCAGGAAGGGATTTGTGTCTCAATGTGTGTGTTTTTTCCCCTCCCTCTCTCTGTTACACTCAGTTCATATGGGACAGGATTGAGGCCCAGTAGACCTCTCCAAAAACTTTGTGCACCCCTGAACATGTCCCCCAAATCCTCTTCAGTTAAGCTGGATTTCTCAACATGGAAAGTATTTCCTGTAGGTAGAAAGCTTGAAATGGGACAAATCTTTACTCAGTAACGAACAGTGTAATATTAAAAGAATGAAAGTGTACTCTTGGTTTGTACACATAAAGCTCCTTCGTGGGCCATGGACGTTCTAGTTTCTTTAAGCAGCCCCTATGAGGCTAGGTAACATAACAATAACACATTGAAGCAGTGCTCATTTTAAAGAATTTCAATAGAGCTGGCATCTGCAACCCATTAAATGTTACAGAAGTAATGCTTCAGATGAACCTTTTCAGATATATCTGCAAGACTCCTCCCTCTTATCACCAGGCACCAGCCATTATATCAGGCTGCAGCAGAGGAGGGGATGAGAAGGGATGCCGAGCCACTCGCATTAGTGTAGCTGAGAGACTGGCAACATCTGGTGCCACCTCTGCTTAATCTGTTTCTACTCCAGCTCATCATTAGAAGAACTTGTAATCAAGAACCTGTACATGAATTTGCTTATTTATTCTTCCTTCCCAGTCCATTTGACTTTTATATTATGTCTTTTTAGACTGTAAGCCTGAGGGCAGGGACAGTTCCTGTTTGTAGTCATTAGTAAGATCCTCTGGGACCTTTTTTGGCAGAACAGCAGAATAAACATAAAGTAATACAACAAAGCAATAAAATGCTATATTGAGGGTTTCTGGACTTAACTTCTGCAGTGAAGATTAGGGGTCAGGCAGGCAAAAAATAATCACCACCATCTTTTGTACCTACCAGATTATTTTTGTGTGTGGACACTTGTAAGTGTGAGGAGGCTTATCAGTATCAGAAATGTAGTTCCTCAACCACAGAACATGATTTTAACTTTGAATAGCTGTCTATTAATGGAAAAGGAATTCTGTTAAATGCATGCCTGCTAGTGTGTTCTAACACACATTTTTAAAAAGCGGATTGCCATCCCTGTGCTTTGAAAAATTTATTGTTTTGGGGTTGTTGTTGTTGTTTTAGTACTGTTGATACCCTTTGTCAGCTCTGATGTAAGACTAGCTCAGTTTGGCTGCTCCTCTCGCTCAGCTATATTTAACTTTATCTAGCGGTGTTTGAATTTTCTTGTTCTTCCCTCACTATACCTTTCCCCCACACTTCTGTGTTGCGTCAAATGGTTAACTTTAAGGCAGGGATTGTCTTTCATCTGCTTTGCCTTTTGTTGAACGCTAGCAGGAGGCAGCATGTGACACAAGTGTTCCAAGGTTTGCACAAGCACCCTGTTATCTTCTGGGCTACGTTTAAAGTGCTAGTTATTGTTTATATAGCAATTGTGCAGCTTGCCCCCAGTCTATCTTCTTAATGCCTGTGCTCATATGAACCCTAGCATGCTTTTTTCAGTGTCTTCCCAGGAGGCCCAGACTGCCTTCAATATCTGCCTGTTAGGTTAGTTGGGACCAAAGTGTAGCTTTTTGTGGTGGTATCCCTGCCTTGTAATTCCTTCCATAACTCATAGAACTGTAGAGTTGGAAGGGACCCCGAGGGTCATGTAGTCCAAACCCTTGCAATGCAGATCTCAACACGCCGTCTCCCATCCAATTTGAAACCATAAAAGACCCTGCTTAGCTTTGCAAATGCGCTAGCGGTTTTATTGCCATGCCACTAGCTAGGTATTGTCATGCATGTAAACTCCTTAGAGGTTTTATTTACAATTAAGTGGTATGCAAATTCTGTTAAATAAGTAAGTAAGTAAGGCTTAGCCTGACAACTAAAAATGTTTATTTGGCTGATACCTAGGACTTAACCCAGGACAACATAAAAAATACTAAGTACATCTTTCAGAACCACCAGGGGCTTCAGTATGGCATGTGCAGGGAAGACCTGCTGCAGGCAGAAATGGCATGTATATTTCCATGTACTTGTCCTTTAAAGCAACAAAAGTATTGTAGGCCAAGATGCCCATTTGCAAAGCTGCTTGAGTTAATCTCCACAGTAAAAAATTTACTTGGTTGATGGAATAAATAGTGCAGATATTGGGAGCTCTGCTTGATCAGACCAAAAATCCAAATAGTTTAGCATTTTGCTGGAACCCCAGAAAGAGGAAATAAAGCTGATGGTCTTCTCCCAAAGTTGCTCCTAGTTGCTGGTATTTAGTGGCAAATTCCTCATGAACCTAGAGGTTGCATATAGCCATTAGTCAGGATTCTAAACATTAATGTTGGACAACCATTACATTCCTTGAAGGAAACCCCTTTGTCACAGGCTTCTACTTTCAGACAGAAGTTTTTTTGCCTAGTATACTTGTTTTAGAGCAGAATTATCTAAATAAAGCTGCAAAGCATATGTTAAACATCACTGACGGAGACTGTCACTAAATACTAAATTAAAATTTGATCTTTGTTATGGCTCTTCATTTATCACATGGTATACTACTTTGGATTATTGCCTTCAATAATGCATGAAGCCTACATTAAAACATTATTGTTTTGCAGTATATGATAATTTACAAAAAAGTCTCTTAAATATTTGATTGGTGTCACCAGAAATCTACAGGTGTCTGTTTTAACTTTTGATTATAGGTTCTGTATGGTATGCATGTTGCACTAGTTAGCGTCCGTTTTTCATTTTGCTTATGACTTTGCAAGTACAGTGTTGTATGTCCATTCACTAATTTACATTGGGATGGAAATCAAGATTAAACATTGTCTTTGTGTTCTGGGCTCTGTGAAGGAAATGGTTGCAGGCATGCTAAAAACTGAGTAGAAATAAGCGAAACATATTATCTGGGGAACAAGAGAGCGAATAAAATCTGGTAACAAAACAGTGGTGGTTTTTTTGGGGTTTTTTTTAAAGCAGGGCATTAATTCTGCTTTTAAAACGTGTGTTTGCCAAGTAAAAATATAGCATGCCTTAAAATTGTGGGGGTAGGGGTTGGGGAATTATGCAATCTGCGAAAATGAGTCTCCTTGCTCACGGCTTCTGCCAAGCAATAAAGCTGATGTAGCAAACAATTTCTGGACTGCCAAAAAATGAATGTTCTCAATGAAATGTTTTTTCTCCCTTCTCTTCTTAGGCGCCTCATCACAGATTCAAAGGTTAAATTAAAGTACCAGCATTTAATAACTAATAGTTTTGTAGAGGTGAGTGTTATGTTTCAAACTATGCTGAAGAGACAGGCTGTGATTTGAGGGCTTTCGCCCATCTCTTTCTTGTCTTACACAGCAGGCATTTACATGTAGTTTTCATGTCAGATTTTGTGCAGTTGTTAGCAGAGGTTGCTTCCCCCACCCCAATTAACAGGGTTGATCTTACATAGGCTCATACTGATAGTGTTAAGCTTTTTGTTAATAGGTGGCATGATTTTAGCTAGAATGCTGCTTTAAATACAAAAATACTTTAAGCTGGAACGGTGCTTTATAGCACAGCATTCTGCAGCAGAAATTTGAAATCCCAGTGCCTAATGTAATGGCTATAGACAGCTGTTCAGGAGATTAGAGAAGGTAATAGTTCTTAAAGGCACATTGCTGATTATGTGCCAGGTATTTCAAGCACTCGATTTATGGTCCTTTGAGAACAACTAGGCACAAACTTTTTGTGTCTTCATCAGAACCTAGAGCAGGTACTTCTGAACTGAATCCAGTATTACTGTGGGGTGCTACTTAAGCAGATCTGTTACAACTTTAGAATTGGTGAACCTTTGAGGAAACACAAAAACAGCCTTGCTTGTTGTCCCCTCATTTGTAATAAAAGGATTTTTGAAGTCAATTTGTGGAATGCCGGTGAAGCCTAAGCTGAAGAGGACCGAAGAATCACAATAAGCGACATGTGACCCTCAATTCAATCTTTGTTAATGTGCCTGCACTTGTGTGACGCTAAGCCACAAAACTGCCAGGTTCTCCTGAGCAGACGACACATGTGAGCGGCCCATATGTGAACATCACGGACCTTTGGCCCCCTAAAAATTAAACCACTCAACATGAAAGATGAGCCATTTCTAAAACTGCCTTGTCGAGCTACCTTGCTTGTTTTTGAGCTGAAATTGAGATTCTTAAAGCTTTGCCAAAGGGAACAAAATACCTTAGGATGGATGGGTGGCTGTCTTTTAGGCTTTTAGATTATGACCTTTAAGAGTATCTTAATTTGCTTTTGTCATCAGAATGGATTTTCTTATAGGTTGCATTTGTAGTCTTGGTTACAGTTGGGAAGGTTGGTGGGGGACTAAATTGATTATCTGGAATTGGTTCTATTTAGAAGGTCATCCTGGGCAACATTGGTGGCCCCCATCTCATTTTATAATTGATACTGTGAAATTGGCTTGGCGTATTCTGCTTGGCTGTTGGTGTGGAGGGACAAGGACTATACCAAAATGAGAATTGTGGCATTTTCCTGTCAGGATGAAACAAAGCTTTGGCTAAAAGGAGACTTCTGGGGAAATGGAAGGGAAATACCACACTTTGATATCTTTAATTCTGGTCAATTTCCAAGTAAGATCTGGTAGCTTTTTATTTTTGCAGTGCAATCGGCTGTTAAAATGGTGTCCTGCTCCAGATTGCCACCATGTTGTTAAAGTTCAGTATCCTGATGCTAAGCCTGTTCGCTGTAAATGTGGCCGTCAGTTTTGGTAAGCAAACATTCCTTGTGTTGGGTTATAATGATTTTGGATTACTTACCACTAAGTGGAAGGTGGTTCCTGTTTCTCTTGAAATGACAAGTTGCCTTGGTAGGCCTATTCATGCTGATTACCAGCAAGCCAAACACTGCCCGTTGGGATCTGATAAACTTGAGAGTTTTTGCGTCCTGTCTGGGATTGAAAAATTGAGGTTCTCAAGTGCCCGTCAAGCCACATTACCTTGCTGGTATAATGTTTGGCTTAGTAGGTAACACTTACAGTTGCTTAAATTAGAGCAAACCTGTAAATTTTAGTGTTGCATAACTATAGACAGTGTAATATGTATAAATCTTTTTATTTTTACAGCTTTAACTGTGGTGAAAACTGGCATGATCCTGTTAAATGCAAGGTGAGCACTTTAAGTGTCTATGGCAGAGTGCTAGAAAAATAAACTAGCCTTTCTGCTTAAATATCAGAGTTGTAGTGTTGTAAAATACTTTGATGATACTTAGCAAGCTATTCAGACATCTTTGCCATGGTTACCTGTTTAGTTTCCCTTAACTTGTGTGTAATTCACCCTGAACTATTTGACTCTGGGTAACAAGTGTATGAAAGAACAGTCCATCTTGACTGTAACAACAAAATAAGCACTCCTCCCCTTAGTTCAGATCTTTTATTTCCACCTAGAGGGTATTTGACACAAACATGAAGAAAATCATAGTTGTAAGACATATCCACGATACATAATTATTCGAAGGTTTATTCTGGAATCCTGATGTGTTATCTTGGAGTGTTGGATCTGAATGGGCAAGCCTTGCTTAACAGGATATGATGTCCAGTTCAGAGGAGCCTGTGAGCCATGAGGTGCAGATGCACATTTCTCTGTGGGCTTTTTCACCACTTCTCTTGTTTTACAATTCTTTTTTCTCTCTCCTGACAGTGGTTAAAGAAATGGATTAAGAAGTGTGATGATGACAGTGAAACTTCAAACTGGATTGCAGCAAACACAAAGGTTTGGTAGCATCACATTTCTCCTTAAAACATACCGTATTGGCCCGAATATAAGCCACACCGCAAATAAGCTGCAGCTTTAAAATACGGAGGCTTGGGAGCCGCGTATGGGCTGCGCACCATTGCCCCGTGCTCCCGGGGGGGGTGGGTGGGTGTGGCTTTGCCAGCGAATATAAGCTGCACTTTAACTTTTCACAATCGGAATTTGGAAAAAAAGGCTTATATTTGGGCCAATATGTTAGATGCTCAAAATTTCACACTTGCAGAGCTGCTTTTCCCTTACAAAGACATAACTGTCAAATCTTGAACTTCCATTGTGAGTAGTGAGGGGTAAGTCCTCCATGTAAATAATGGGCTGTGTTTTCCTACCCCCCCCCCACTTCAAAGTTCACAGTGAAGCCAAACATTACCACCAAAAGGTACAACAGGCTTCTGTCTAGCTCTACGTAAAATGAGGCTTTTAGAGCTAAATTGAAGGGAGGTGCCAAATTGGCAAACATCACAGTACTTTATATATTGAGAAGTACTTACATGTGGTTTGCTGAGTATAGGAATACAGAAAATTGCTTTAGACCAAATCAGACCATTGGTCCTACCTAGCTCAGTATTGCCTATGGAGACTGACTGTGGCTGTCCAGGATTTCAGAGTTTGGCCATTCCCAGCCTTTATGTGGTGATGTGAAGGGTTAGACCTATTACCTTTGGTTTGCAAAACATGTGCTATTTCACTTCACAACGACCCATCCCTTTAGTATGTTCATTCAGTGCATGTGGAACCCAGTCTCACTGGACTTCAATCAGTAGATCTAGAATGTGTTTAATATCAAGTGTCAAAACTGAGCATGACAGACACACACACACACACACACACACACAAATGTCCCATTACTTGCAAATGGCTTCCTATCTAAGCTATCCCATGAATGGAAGAAGTGCAACTTTTCCTGGCATTGACCTGTTATTTTGTGCTATTATATTGCTATAAGACTACCTTTTCACTACATTGCTAAGGCAGCATGGGAAGCCAGCAGACAGCTGAATGTGTAACCAGAAGAGCCACTATTGCAAATGCTTTGTAACATCACAAAGCACTGTCTGCATCCTTCCCCCTTTTTTAAGTTGGAAGACACCCACTTTTATTTCTTTCCACCACTCTTCATACCCGTCACAGGAATGCCCTAAATGCCATGTGACCATAGAAAAGGATGGAGGCTGCAATCACATGGTCTGTCGGAACCAGAATTGTAAAGCAGAGTTCTGCTGGGTGTGTCTTGGCCCCTGGGAACCTCATGGGTCCGCCTGGTAAGTTTAAATGAATTCCTCCCAAGCTTTCTTTATGTGTCTAATTGTACTGCCATGTTTTGTTTCTGTACCCTGCAAAAATAATTTCTGTGGGAGAAAAAACACAGAGCAGTAGCTGGTGCACATGTCTATACTTCTTAGGGTGAGAAAGGTCTGGGCTGTTTCTTGTTTAGCCTCTGCTCAAGGTATCAGAGGAGCTTATTATGTTCACAGTTATGTACTGACCAAAGAATACTTGGAGCCTCAAGAGTGGCAAAAACAAAAGAAGTTCTGGAAACCACTTTGCTCATAAAAATCTTTTTTTCAGGTACAACTGTAATCGCTATAATGAGGATGATGCAAAGGCAGCAAGAGATGCCCAAGAGGTGAGTCCATAACTCTTGGTGACCAATATTATCAGCTTCAGTAAGATGGTTTGGCCTAGCATTTCACTGTGCTTGCATTTTCCAGTTGAGCACTGCTAGCTTTCAAGCTGAACTCCACAAAACTGTTACACTTTGACACAAGAGGCCCACCCATTTTGTTACTGGTTCCTGATGTTGTCCTGGCCAACTTGTAAAACTATCCAACTTGAGCACTGGAAGCAGTAATCTCGGTATGAATATGCCCAACCCCATATCCTAAAAGCCAAACCCTTCTTGGCAGTTGCTTATTGCTGAAAGAGGTTTTCTACCAGATTAATTTATGTATGGATATCATTTCTATCTAGGCAGTTTATTTCACCATGTTGCACTTGGGCAGTTTTGCCACAGAACCCACTGCCAATCAGATCTTTCTGCTATGTATTTATATGGAAAAATAAAAATGTTCGTTCATCACATGACCGGGTACAGTGGTGCCTCGCAAGACGAAATTAATCCGTTCCGCGAGTCTCTTCGTCTAGTGGTTTTTTCGTCTTGCGAAGCAACCCTATTAGCGGATTAGCACTATTAGCGGTTTAGCGGCTAAAAGGCTATTAGCGGCTTAGAAAAAAGGGGGGGAAAGCGAAAAAAATCTCAAGACTCGCAAGACATTTTCGTCTTGCGAAGCAAGCCCATAGGGAAATTCGTCCTGCGAAGCGCATCGAAAAACGGAAAACCCTTTCGTCTAGCGGGTTTTTCGTCTTGCGAGGCATTCGTCTTGCGGGGCACCACTGTATATGCAGCTTATCAGGTCCACAAATGTGGCAAGTAGAGAATTGCAACAAAATGAAGTATATCCTAAGTCCCTGTTCAGGGCTCATGATCCTGTAGCACTGTTTGGGGATTGCAAGGGACTCTTTATTTTCTTTTCTACCTGCTTAAAACTCTCTTCTGTGTCACATAGTGCCAACAAGATCAGACTCAAAGCAAAAGGAATACTGTGGGACTTTGAGATAAGAACATTGCCCTGTTGTGGCCACATTTGCCTTGAGGCCCCTCATTTATAGGGCAAGTCAATCTGCTATTACTCTGTTTTAACTATTGATTTTCTTTTTCCCTAATGGGAATTAACACAGCGATCCAGAGCAGCCCTGCAGAGGTACCTCTTCTACTGCAACCGTTACATGAACCATATGCAGAGCCTGCGCTTTGAGCACAAACTCTATGCCCAAGTCAAGCAGAAAATGGAGGAGATGCAGCAGCACAACATGTCATGGATCGAGGTCCAGTTCCTGAAGAAAGCAGTCGATGTCCTCTGCCAGTGTCGTGCCACACTCATGTACACATACGTCTTTGCCTTCTACCTCAAAAAGAATAATCAGTCCATTATCTTTGAGGTAAGGAGAGTTTACCAGACATTTTTTAACCCAGCTGTTCGGTCCTAGCATAGCGTAAGAGTCCTGTAGGATCTGATCAAGGCTTATTTAGTCCAATATTCTGTTCGCACAGTGGCCAACCAGATGCCTAAGGGAATCCCACACATAGAACATGAGCTCAATAGTCCTCTTCCAATCCTTTTTCTTAGTAACCAGCAATCCAGAGTCTTATTGCCTCAGATTCTGAAGCTAGTTATAGTAGCTGTTGATGAGTAGCTCAGCTGTATAATTATGGTCCATTGGATGAGTGACTTGTGCAGCCCCTAAATTGGACTGCCCCTAAAGTTGTTACAGAAACAACTATGTGATTTTTTCCCAGCGGCTTTGTTCTGAAGGCCTTTTCTGTGATGGCTCCAGAGTTGTGTAGTCCTGTTTGCCACAAACTCTGTATGTGTTCCTTAGTTAAACAAAAACAATTTCATGCAAGTGCCTGGGGTGATTGGCAACATAAGCTTATTAACTTTGTTGATTATTTACCACATCCCACTTTTCAGCAAAAGCATCTGCCAGTGATTTACAACTTAATACAATGGCTCACTTCTTTGCAAACTTAAGATGGGGGTGGGCATACATGATGCAAAACAGTGGGTCAGGTGTTAACGTACATACATACATACAGGCATAATTTTCATCATCATCAATCTTTATTACGGTCCAGAGACCCAACAAAACATTACAAATTAATACAGAGTTCATACAGTCTACCTCCAGGTTAATCAAGCACTTTGTTTGGAATATAGGGCTCGTTTGTTCTTGCAACCACCGATAAAAACTTTGCCACTGCCAACGTTCTAGCTTTTGTCCGGTCTTCCAGTAGGAACCTGACATAGTGAGCCTCTGACTTTCCCGGGAAAGGCACCAGCAAGGGTAGTATCAGTTCAGCTCTGGCCTGCTCATACTTCGCACAATGTAACAAAATATGATCTATGGAATCGATGTCTTGAGCACACGAGCAAAGTCTGTCCTGGTAGGGAACTCCTCTCAACCTACCATCCAGCACTGCAGAGGGGAGACATTCAGTCTGGCTTTGGTGAAAAGCCTTCGATAGTTAGGTACTGTTAGGTTTTTGATGTAAGATGTTAACTCAAAGACATACCCATATTGAACTCCTGCTGCCAGCGGACTACAGACTGCGTGTGACCGAGATCGCAAGTCACTGTGTGCATTGTCCCATAATCTTTGCTTTAAAACCTTTTGGGCGCCTTCATAGCCCAGGTAATACAGTTGGGGGGGAGACAGACCAATAGAGGTGGCTTTTTTAGCCATGGTTTTCTGCCATTTGCTGACAAATTCCTCATTGGTCAAATGTTGGTACAGACCCTTCCCTAGATTAAACACTGAAATCCTGAGCCAATGTTTTAGGGCAGCCCACCACGCTCTAGCTGAAATTGGGCATTCACCAGCTTCCAACAGAAGTATGGAGTTAGGGACGCAGTTTGGTACCTGCAGCAGAGATCGTATAAATTTTGCCTGAAAGCCATCTAGCTTTGGCAGGTCCCCATTATGCCAGACATTTGCTGCATACAGGAGTTGGGAAACGGGCTTTGCGTTGAAAACCCTTAAGGCATAATTTTATTTGTACGCTGCCTTTCCACTGATCAGACCCTGCTCAGACCCTGCTCAAGGCTGCTGACAACAGGAAAAAATACTTAACTAAAATATAAAAGTAGCCATAAACAATAAATAAAACATTAAAAATGCACAACCAAACTGAACAATTTTCACATTAATCATAAGATTTAAAATAAATATACAAAAACAAACAAAAAAAGCCACACATCAACAACAGGGGGGAAATTCACAGCAAAACCCCACAAACAGTTCTCCTGCCCAAGAGTCCCTTCAGCAGCCTCAACTTTTTTTAGCTGGAGTCAGTCTGGGCCCCACCCTCCCAGGCCAGGTGAGAAAGGCCTGCAAGGCAGGGAGCAGGTCCTCCAGGACTCCTTGACAATCTGCAAATCACCAGCATTCTACTGATAGAACCTGATTGGTCTGCTTTCTGGCCTGCCCTGACTAGAGACAGAAGAAGTAAATGCAAATTCAGCTCTCACAAAACTCATGTAATGAAATTATATAATGACCAGGTGGAGGGTCACTGCAGGAGGCAATTCAGAGAGGGGAGGAACACAAAAAGACAGCTGTTTCTAGTTTGTTCTTTGTTTTTATGCACTTTAATTTCACATTGTTGTAAGCCACCTTGCAAAGTGTCCTGTTGAAGAATTCCAATAAACATGGGAAAGGGGTGTTTGTTTGTTTGTTTGTCTGGTTTTTTTTTTTTTTTTAAAGTTTGCCAGGAATATACCCATAACTATTCAAAAGTCAGAAGTTGTGGAGTTTCTTCAGAATGGTGGGAATCAAAGTTTGTTTTAGAGATACATAACTTGTCTGTAGAGTCTCCTTGCCTTTTGAATGCCTTCTCTAGGTAGGCCTGCTTGGTACCCTCATTGCTATCATTTAGGAACTAAGCAAAGTGACAGCAACGAAAAACAACTACCAAATTTAGCTCTCGTTAATTTGTAGCAGTTTTGATTTTTACTTTCTACTCCGATAAACTTGCTGTTTTAGTTGGTGTCTCTACAGCTTATTTTCTTTTTTATTGTATTTTAATACCTTATTACTTTGTTAGGCACTCTAGCAATATAAACTTATGTTTATATTGTCTACCATATTGAGTCAACCCGAGATCCCATTGTATCCCAGCATAAACAAAAAGTTGCTTCTTGATCTTAGGAACCATTGTGCAAAATTTGTTCACGGTATCTTAAGAGGTGTCCAAATGCATAGTGAGTAGACAAACCACTTTCCAAACACATGCAAATAAATAAATTTCAACTTGCTGTATTACCAAAAGTGCAATATAGGTACGTTTCGGAGTTATAAAAGGAAGTGTAAGCAAATTCACAATTTAACAAGTAAAAATTGCCTCTCATTCCTTCAGCCTTGCCACAAAGGCAATCTTTAATATTAGATTTCATTTCCTGTGGGATATCAGAACAGGAGCAGCCCAAAAATGTCAACAGTGTTGTCCTTGCTACCTCACCAATTAACAAGTGTAGGGGTGGGGCCCACTTCTAGGAAACTTAACAAATGCCACAAATGGTGAGTGGAGTCAGAGACAAATGTGTGTGGAGTAACTAATATAAATTTTACCTTATTACAGTGTTAGTTTTTACATACCCACCCAATATGCCTCCATCCATATGAGCGAGAGGCATTATCAGAACTCAAGGACACATTTGAGTCAGATGAAAACACTCAGTGATGCTGTAAAGCAAGATCAGTGAGAGGCATGAGCTGGTGATAATTTTGAGAGCCAGATAGAAAGGCCTGGTTGGTAAATAGGTTTTTTCTTAGCTTATAAAATGCAAAATAATTAACTGCTGGAGCCAATTATAATATAGCTTCCACCTGACTTCCAAGACAGGAGCAGTGAATTGGTCACATAGATAAATGCCCTTAAGAATTGTGATTTCTTAATGGGAAAGAGTAATGGCTGTTGGTCAGAAGTCATGATTGCCCAGAATAACATCTACTTGGTTTGCAACCACAAGATGGTTTTGTCTGCCAGTAGTACTATAGAAGGTGATGGTAAGTTTTCCAGTACGTTAGTGTGTTTTCCTGCCTGCTATTCATACAACCAAATGAGAGAACCGCAGTAAGACTAGAAAAATATTCAAAGTAGGTTTCAATGAGTATTTGCTAGCAAAAGGGATAAATTCCATTCATGTGGTGATTCTCAATTCAAGGAACTGCTTAAGTTTATTAAAAGTGTGCCTTGTATTTTGCCTGCCTAGAATAATCAAGCAGATTTGGAAAATGCTACCGAGGTCCTTTCTGGGTATCTGGAGCGAGATATATCTCAAGATTCACTGCAAGACATAAAGCAGAAAGTGCAAGATAAGTACAGGTATGTTCCTTGTTCAAAACTGATGGATTGTTAATTCATTTCATGTGCCAGTCTCTTAGGCATTAAAGGGGCTTGACTTGCAGGAAATGGCTGAGAGAAATTCTGCTGCTTACTCCCAATATAATCTGTGGTGGAGGGAGGCTAGCCAGCTAACTTTCTGTGTTGGCCTTCAACCAGGTTTCCTGATCGACTGCTGCTCTTGAATCAAGCAGCTGGAGACAGCAGCAAGTTGCAGAACATGGGAAAAATCAAGTTAGCCTGCCCTGTTTACAGGGGCTTCTTGGCTGTTAACATTTTGAATTGTTACCTAGCAAGCGAATCCTTATTTTTTTGCTGGCTCTTGAGCTGAAGGAGGCCACTGACCTCAGGTTGCATGCAATATGGTTTTCTGTTGCTTTAAAGGACATGATCTTGCCTTTATGAGTGAATGAGAAATTGGCACATGGGACTGGTTTTGTGACACAGTTGTGCCTTAACCTTAACGTTAAAGGTAAAGGGACCCCTGACCATTAGGTCCCATCACGGACGACTCTGGGGTTGCGGTGCTCATCTTACTTCATTGGCCAAGGGAGCCGGCGTACAGCTTCCGGGTCATGTGGCCAGCATGACTAAGCCGCTTCTGGCGAACCAGAGCAGCGCACGGAAACGCCATTTACCTTCCCACCGGAGCAGTACTATTTATCTACTTGCACCTTGACGTGCTTTCGAACTGCTAGATTGGCAGGAGCAGGGACCGAGCAACGGGAGCTCACCCTGTCGCGGGTTTGAACCTCCGACCTTCTGATCAGCAAGTCCTAGGCTCTATGGTTTAACCCACAGCGCCACCCGCGTCCCGCCTTAAAGGGATCACAAAGGTAGTTTTTACACCTACAAGGCATGGTTCCTTGGGATTTCCTTGGGATAACATTTTTGCAGATGAAGGGTTTAGTTTAGTTTGTGTCACATGGGAGGAGCACTGTCTCAGCCTACAAAATTCCAGGTTGTAAATATTGTGCCGCCCTCACAGTTAATAGGCTCCCCTTTTAAGAAATTGGGCCAAGACCCATGCTTAGCAAATACAGCGTGAGTTCAACTGTCTTAGCATTAATAAGCATAGTGATTATATGGTAATAGGTCCTGCCTTCTCTGCTTCAGCGCATAATCTCTCCCACCTGTGAAATTATCCAGATGGGAGGCCCTTTGTCTTTGTTTCCGTTCTGAGCAAGGTAAAGGTAGACATTCCCACTGCGAGCCGCTGTTGACTAAACTATTTCCATGCTGCCTTGAAATGCATTGTGTGCGAAATATTCAGCCTTTGTTTTCTTAACTGTAACTGTGCGCCCTTCCCCTTGCAGATACTGCGAGAGCCGGCGAAGGGTTTTGTTGCAGCATGTGCATGAAGGCTACGAGAAGGATCTGTGGGAGTATATTGAGGACTGAGACTGGCCTGCATAAAACGAACTCTGAAAACCTTTTACCATCTAGAGTGCTCATGCAATTAAAGCAAAACACACACAAAAAGGGGCACTACGCCTATTACACCGCTGGTCTGTAGTACCGGAATTCTGTTTTTGTTAATGGAAAAAAATTTAAGTAAATTATATTGTAATAAAAAAGGTAGATAAACCATTGTACAACAGTATTCTAGGTGGCCAGTAAGTGTGACAGACGCACTAAGAAAAACAAAACAACCCTCCAACTTTAACTTGTAATGTAGCTTCATTCTCCAAGCTGACTTCCCCTCCCTCCTTCTTTCTCCTATGCGTATTACAGATAAAACTTAAAACAGTTTCTTGACACTGCTTTTCATGTCCAACCAGCCATTTTGATGTACTTTGGTATGAGATTTCCCCCTCCCTCTCCCCTTCTCTACTCTCCCCTCCTCCCCCCACATGCACCAGTTCATGGGTGACTGTTGTTTGGCTTATTGTAAAGAGGATTTGGGGCGGGGGGAGGCGGGGCACACAGCAAGGAAAAACTTTGTATATGACTTTTAAAAAAACAAAGAGGACAACACAGTATTTTTCAAAATTGTATATAGCGCATATGCATGGACAAAGAGCAAGCGTGGCACGTGTTTGCATAATGTTTAATTACAAAAATATTTATTCTTTAAAAATCTTCAAGATGATGTCTATTTGCTGTGCATTTTTCTTTCATTTTGCTTTTTACCTGAGATTGGGATGGGGGGCAGTGTGTGCTGCTGTAACAAATCTTTCCCTTTCCTTCTCTCTCTCTCTCTCTCTCTCTCTCTCTCTCTCTCTCTCTCTTTCTCTCTCTTTGAGAGATTTTGATTTCCTTCTTCCTCCTCCTGCAGCTCCTTTGCAACTATTCCATGGTTTGGGTGTGTTCATTGCTGGCAACGGACACCGTCCCATTTGCACTTCAGCTTCTGATGCAAACTGGTTTACCTTGGTGTGTGTTTTTAACGTTTGGAAATGAAAGTGTAGTGATTCTGGCTGCTTTGTCTTTTTGCTCAGAATAGCCATCCCTCTTGTCCATTTCCATGCATGTCCAACATTCACCTTACACCTGGATCATCGTCATACATAGGAAGTGTTAGGAATTTTCCTCTGTGGATTGAAGTGCTCAAATGGAACATTCCTTGTTGCTTTGTCTTGTCAGTTGTGAAACACCGAAAAAAGGGAGACGGAGCTCCTCTGGGTCACGTTTTTGCGGCTTGGTTGTTGGAAAAAGTGCCTGATACAGCAAACACTCATCTAGTTGCAAGGATCTGCAGTCTCTGAAGTCATTGGGGTATTTCCCCTCTCTCCCCACCCCACCCCACCCCAGTGAGAGGGAAGAGTGAGTGAGTTTCATCTACACAGTCCTTTTTTGTAATAAAAGCTATGATAAAGCACCACTTGGAAGCAATTTGTTTAAAATCTGCTCCTGCGTTGTGTGGGTACTTTTCCACGATGGCAGTGTTTTACACTTTCAAGTTGAAAGAGAGAAAAAGTAGATCTGCTAAAGCGGTATTTAAAGCCAGTTTCTGCTGCTCGTTCAAGTAGAGATTGTGGCCCGGATCCAAAGATCTGCTCAGCTAGTTCCATGAGTCCCCAGTGATGGTTTGGCTTGTGTTTCCAGAACAGCAGCCTCCTATGTCAGCTGGCAAAGACTTCTGAAAAGAAAAGGAACTGCAGCAAGCATGTGAAATATTTCTGAGCGCCTGCTCTTGAAAAGAGTAATAAGATTTTGCTGAGCTCTTGGGTTAATCTAATGCTGCCTAGCTTGTTTGTTGAGCGGTACAGTAAGAAGCCGAGCTTTGCATCTGTTCACACGTAACTTATCTGGCAGGGCTTATTTAGTTGCTTGCTGCCCATCTGCAATGTCCCAAAAGCTGAATCGGGCAGAAGCTATAGAGGGAAGAGGAACCTCAGCTTTGACTTGGTAACATTGCAGTGGAAGATGAGTTCTCGCCTTCAGTGGGGTGTGAATATTTATTCAAAGAATTCCACTCCATTAAACTGAGTGTGGTGCAACTGTTGCTTGGATACTTCTCCTTCTAAGGCTTTCTGTCATGTCTTTTACTATGCTTTTTGCACACTGCTGCTCAGACTGAACTTCCAGTCTAGTTAAGATTTCTTTTCCTTGTTCTTTTAGCATCTTTGCCTAGAACTGGGCTGATTGGAACAGGTGGCCCTGCTGTGTGGGTGTGTAAATTGGATGAATGTGTTCCATACTTTCAGCATTTCCCCCAGATTTTTCTCATTTCTAAACACCTTGCTCTTGCCATACCCTCCCCCCGTCCATTTTTTTTTAAAAAATCCAAAACTGTATATAAATCTGCTGTATCTTCCGCTCCTGAGGATCGTACACTTAATTTTGGAAAACTTTCTAAAACTCTGTGGGCTTTGGAGTGAGATCACTTGAACAGAAGCTCTTGTAAAGGCTTGCTCATCAACCCTAGACAGTTTTCCTCCTCCTCTCCTTTAAGCAGTCTCTTCTTTCCTTAAAAAGCAAATACTTGGCAATGAAGATGCTACTCAAGCTTTGGTTGGTGCAATATGCTTAAATAATGGTTTGTGTTGACTTTATCATGGGCTAATTGAATGAGGGCCTCTAGCCACACACAACAGGAGAGCAGAGCATGGTCTGTATTTAGCACCCACCCTCTTTTCTGTTCCACCTAATTCACTGCAGCTGTTTGGGGTTTTTTTTTTTTTTTTTGGTAGTGTATGTATCAGACAGTCTTAATTTTCAAAACCATTTAACCCTGAAATGTTTTAGTACAACTGCTGTGTTAAAAAACAGTTATTGCGTGAGACAAGAGCAGTGCTCTTTGGAGAACCTTTCCATGGACAGGAGGATTTTGTTATTCAGCACTTGGGGGTTGGTATGACAATCGGACTGGGCTGTGAAGGACTGAAGACTTGTAATCTTCTAATTTTTCCATCTAGAGAGCACCTCATGCTGTGGAAATAACTGTTATTAGACTTCATTGTAACTGCTGGACTGTTCTGTGTTAAGGCTAAACAGAGGGAGAGAAAGTGTTCCTAATTCTAATAAACTTTTATTTTGTTATTTCATTAGTTTTTTTGTGTTTGCTTGCAGTAATTTTGTCCTCTGCTTCTAAATTGGAGCAGGCATCTCCTGTCACTGCCTGGTTGTTGTTTTTTAAAGAGCTTGCTGGGTTGGGTGCTCCATCTCTTGAAGTCAGAAATGCTGACAACTCTAGTAAATAATAATAATAATAATAATAATAATAATAATAATAATAATTTGTTCCCCAGCCACCCTGGGTGGCTTCCAACAAAGGTTAAAAATACATTAAAATGTCACACATTAAAAACTTCCCTGAACAGGGCTGCCTTCAGATGTCTTCTAAATGTTTATCTTTGACATCTGATGGGAGGGCGTTCCCCAGGGCGGGCGCCACTACCAAGAAAGCCCTCTGCCTGGTTCCCTGTAGCTTTGCTTCTCGCAGTGAGGGAACCACCAGAAGGCCCTCTGCGCTGGACCTCAGTGCCCGGGCAGAACGATGGGGGTGGAGACGCTCCTTCATGTATACAGGGCCGCGGCCGTTTAGGGTTTTAAAGGTCAGCACCAACACTTTGAATTGTGCTCGGAAACGTACTGGGAGCCAACGTAGATCTTTCAGGACCGGTGTTATATGGTCCTGGCGGCCACTCTCAGACACCAGTGTAGCTGCCGCATTCTGGATTAGTTGTAGTTTCCGGGTCACCTTCAAAGGTAGCCCCACTTAGAACGCGTTGCAGTAGTCCAAGCGAGAGTTAACTAGAGCATGCACCACTCTGGCGAGGCAGCCCGCGGGCAGATAGGGTCTCAGCCTGTGTACGAGATGGAGCTGGTAGACAGCTGCCCTGGATACAGAATTGACCTGCTCCTCCATGGGCAGCTGTGAATCCAAAATGACTCCCAGGCTGTGCACCTGGTCCTTCAGGGACACAGTTACCCTATTCAGGACCAGGGAGTCCTCACATCAGCCCACCCACTGTCCCCCAAGAACAGTACTTGTGTCTTGTCAGGATTCAACCTCAATCCATTAGCCGCGATCCATCCTCCAACCGCCTCCAGGCACTCACACAGGACCTTCACTGCCTTCACTTGTTCCAATTTAAAAGAGAGATAGAGCTGGGTATCATCCGCATATTAATGGACACCCAGCCCAAACCCCCTGATGATCTCTCCCAGTGGCTGCATGTAGATGTTAAAAAGCATGGGGGAGAGGACAGAACCCCGAGGCACCCCACAAGTGAGGGCCCAGGGGTCTGAACACCCATCCCCCCACCACTTTCTGGACACGGCCCCGGAGGAAGGAGCGGAGCCGCTGTATAACAGTGCTCCCAGCTCCTCTAGACGCTTAACACATTTGTCTGACTCCACAGTGAGACATCTACGGACCATTTTAAGGGGCGGGGGCAGACACAAGTGTGCGATAACAAGTTAGGAAAATGTCCCAGCTTAGAATATGTTTCAGTGAACAGCTAGAGAATGAGCCACATGGTAGTTTGGATTTGTGTGTGTTCCTGGTGGGATGAAGCCACTGTTGATGTGGGTTTGTCGCCCATATGCAAATCTCAACATATCCCCTCACATACATAGATGTACCAACACTCCACATGTCTGCAGCTCCACTTCCTTGTCTGTGCATGACTCTACTGCTTAACCCATATGATTTTTATCTAGCCCTTCTTCCAAAGAGCTCAGATAACACACTGGATCCCTTGCCTGTAGCTCAGTGGTGGAAAACCTGTGGCCTTCTAGATGTTGCTGGACGACAACTTCCATCGTCCCTGACAGTGTCTTGCTCAAGGTTGTCCAATGAACTTGCAAGCAGAAGCTGTTGTAAAATGGCCGAACATCTAGAAACAGCATTGGGCAGTGAGGCACATTTGAGTATTCAGCTATTATAATGTAGTACCTTTGCCCCTTCTATTTTATATAGCAATATCCAACTACATGACATACAAGTGGTATAACAGATCCTTACCAAAGAGACTTGCAGTAGATACAGGGAAAGAAACGAGGAAAGAGATGGGTGAGGAAGGGAAGAATATGCAGTTATTTAAATTACATATACTTTGACAATAACAGTAAAGCACTAGGATCATGAGGGAGTGGCAATTTGAGGAGGAGGAGGAGGGAAGTGGGTAAGAGGGGACACTAAGAATGAAACCGGGAAGGAGGAGAAATGTGGCAGAAATGTGAAGTCTGTGCAACAGGCGTACATAAAATATGTTTTCATAGTAGCTTCCCTCTGAAAACTTTATCTGGCGCCCGCCCCTGCTCTGAAACCTTTCCCACCGATTACAGAAACTGCTCAAATGAAAAGATGCTTGCCATGATGTTTTGTAATGCATTTTGAGGAGAGGCTGTATACTAACGATGAAGCCTTAGAAGAATGACATCTGTGTCCGCCTTTTTCTAGGCAACTAGCAATTTAACTATGACAGTGTGCTCAACACAGTTGGGGACTGTTTCCATAGAAACAGAACCCTTCTGCAATCCATCTTGCTGCTCATAAGGGTAGAAGCATAGCTGTTTTTCATCCACCTTTTATCATGAGCTTTTAGTCACTTGTTGCACCCGCAGTTCTGAAACTGACTTTAGGTGCAAAGGTGTTGCATCCTGCCTCTTGCCACTATTGTTAAACGAGCAAAATCTAACTTTTATTAGTGTGGTTTAAGAGTATTTGCAATGCAGCCACTGAAAAGTATTTCATTAAAAGCAATTTCCACAAAAGGCTTTAAGTCTTAGTGGAATCCCAGATGTGCTTAATAATTTATGGAATTTAGTGTTTTTAAAAGGCAGTATTTTATATAGATTTAAAATCATTACTTAACCCTTTTAAGTCTGAAGAATACAACTGAAGAATTGTAGATGTGCAAAATTAGGTATCGATCTCATTTTTAAAGTTCCTAGCTTACATTAATGTATGAACACAAGAATTACCAGTGCTCCAGTTCTGTGAGTGTTATGATGGGCATGATCCAACCCACACAGTTGCTGCAGTACAAAGTGGGTGTAGCCAAACGGAATAAAATTTTACTTCACTGCTGATTCTCCCATGTTATATTTGCAATATAAAATGTGTGCCCCTTTTCTATTAGGTTATGCCATAAGTGTTTTAAACTGTTCATTTGCTCCATTCAAAACTATATACTCAATTACAAATACCGACAAGCACCAATAATTCAATTTAGCAGTACCAGTAGATCTCAGTACAACTCAGTACCCAATGGGTGGGGAAGCTGTGAGCCTCCAGATGTTGAGCTAGAGCTCCCATCATCTCTCACTTTTGGCCATGGTGGCTTTGGGGTGATAGGAGCTGGGAGTCTTAACATTTGAAGGGCTGCAGGTGGCTCTTCCCTGCTCTAAAACAATACCGACTTAAATGAAACATGCATCTCTTTGTGTTAAAAATCTTACCCAGATACAGTACTTTAATTCAACGCTTTTTTTTCTAAAAGAAAATGTTTAGGGGTACTCTCATTTTCCTACTCGTATTGAAATACTGCCCCTCAATGAGGCCAAACTTAGATTCACAAAATGCTTAGGGGTATGTGTACCCCTGCGTCCCCCCAGAAAAAAAAGCACTACTTAAATCTACCAGAAATATATTGTGTGTATTATTATGCATGAATGCCCATCCTTTGCCTGTGTGCATGCACATGTTTTTCATGGGACAAATGTAGCATTTCATAATTTTTTTCCTGCATGTACAGTTAAAGCTTCATACGCAAACCTGCAAGCTCGCAGCTACACTTCATTTCAGGGAACCAGCAACCTGACTGCTCTGTCCTTGTTCTCTCTAGCTGAAAAAGTGTAAAAAAAAACGCCTCAAAGACTATAATACGGTTCACGGCATATGCTGTTGTAGGCTAGAAATCACACTGACGGATGCCTGCGATGAGGCAGTGGGTGGTGAGGAGAGCAAAGTGAAGCCCCAAAAGCCTTATACCGTTCTCTAAAGTGAAGCAGAATAAGATCGTAGAATAGCTTAGGCAAGGAATAGCTTTCCTACGACTCCCTGTCAAGACTGGTTATCAGTGCATATTTTTTCATGGTTTTAATGCTCATCAAGCCTTTTACACACGCTTCCTCGCCTGCTCTGTTTACCATCCAGCCTGATGGGGCTCACTATATTGAAATTATGGTTGCGCCAGTAAAGACATTGCTTTCCCCCCTTATGAGTTAAAACAGGCTGCGTACTGTTTCCTTTTTAAAATATCCCAGTGTTGGTTTTTTGTTTTTTTTTAATAGTCCTAAAAAACCCTCCAATAGTTAGCACTGTAAATAGAAAATTGCCAGCGCTTTCCCCACGTGCACTAGTTTTCTAGCTGCAGGGATGTGGTGAGGTATTATTTTTTTAAAAAATGCAAGAGGGGAATTAAAAATATGATTTCCCCCGATAATTAGCACTGTAAATAGAAAATTACCAGCGCTTTCCCCTCTTGCACTAGTTTTCTAGCTGCAGGGATGTGGTGGGGTATTAATTATTTTATTAAAAATACAAAATATGATTCCCACCCACTCCGAAGTGGTACAGTCCATTCTACCGCGGCGCGTTCTACAAGGCTTCGCTGGGAAAGGTCCATTTGCCAAAACTGGGAGGGTGGGAGGAGCTTATTATGTCGCGGCCGCGCCTCCCCTCCCTCTTCCCGACAGGCCTCGCGGCGGCCGCATCCTCACTTCCCCTCTCCCGCTGACGTAAAATCCCGTTTCGTCGGGGGGCGGGATCGACGAGAGCCATGGTTACCGCGGCAACAGCATCCGGGTTCCTCGCGCGGCGCGGGGGAACCTTTCGCGTCGTCTGGTAACCATAGCAACAAGCGGCTTGCCGGGCCTGGTTGAGAAACTGAGGCGCCATGGCGGAGGTGGCCGTACGACCGGTGAGCGAGGGGGTCCTGTATTCTCGTCTCTTGCCACCTTTGCCTTCACTCCCCGTTCCCCTCACGTTCCCCTTCGGAAGCGGTCGGGCTCCTTCCCTCAGAGCCCGCGCGGCCTGTTTGCTACCAGAAAGCCTGGCTTGGAAACACGCAGGCTGAGCAGGCGCCGCTGCTCCTCTTCCTCCCCATCACGTGTAGATATTGGGGTCGGTGAGGGGGGGTCTTTAGCACCGAGGGGGCTCCCTGCTTGCTTGCCTACCCGGCCTTCGCACCCCCAGATTCCTTCACAACGTGGCATTCCTGCATGGCGCGGGGTTGGACTAGATGACCCTTGGGGGTTTCCCTTCCGGCTCTAGGATGTTATAATCCTTATTGATATAAGCACTGCCGGTGGCGCTTTGGCGCAGGGATAATAAGGGCAAGGCTGCAAGCTTTCGCGATTTGCTCCGAGCGTCAAGAATCAGTGCCGGATTTACGTATAAACTCAACAAGCCATAGCTTAGGATCCCGCGGTCTTGGGGACCCCAAAAAAATTAAAAGGAAAAAAATATGGATGTACGTTTCCAAAATATAAGATAAAAAGCAAATAAAATAAAACCTTCAATTATTATTTACCTATAAGCTCAACAAGCCATAGCTTAGGGCCCCCCGGTCTTGGGGACCCCCCAAAAATTAAAAGGAAATAAAATATGGATGTACGTTTCCAAAATATAAGATAAAAAACAAATAAAATAAAACCTTCAATTATTATTTACCTATAAGCTCAACAAGCCATAGCTTAGGGCCCCCCGGTCTTGGGGACCCCCAAAAAATTAAAAGGAAAAAAAATGGATGTACGTTTCCAAAATAGAAGATAAAAAACAAATAAAATAAAACCTTCAATTATTATTTATTTATTATCTGGCCTGGTTCTAATATATCTTTACAATAGCCCTTTAAACTCGGCATCATCTCCATATTGTCAGTGGTGGGGGAAAGAGGAAAAAGAGAGTGAGTGGCCCAAGGCTCTAAGCTTTGCAGGGATTTGAACAACCAAGTCTCCCGTGCTTATGCTAAATGTTCTAATCCTTACATCAGTCCCGGTTTTCATCACATACAGTTCCCATCAGCTTCAGCCCGCATGGCCAATGGCCAGGGGTTATGGGAGTTGTAGTCCAGAACATCTGGAATGCACCAGGCTACCTTCCCCTTGTAGAGAGAATATTTGAGTGGGTGCTAAGTTCTTAACCCGAGGTACCACTGTACCCCTAAAAACAATACAGAATGATGATTTTAAAGGTATCTTTTTATGGCAGTGTGCTCTAACATTAGATTTGTTAAAATAACCTCCAGTACATCACTTCAAAGGACATGATTCACTGGTGTTAATTTTTTGGTGGTCACAGCTGGAGAATATAGTTAGAACCAAGATTCTTTATGGTACATTCCAGGAATTTTAGTTGCTCTTTTAATGGTGGTTTCAGCTCAGCATTTCACGTTAGACAGAAGGATTTTGATCTGCAAGATTTTTTTTAAAAAATAATATTTATTAATAATTTCAGAATTACAGGGGGAAAAAACAACAACACTGCAATACATAAAAAGAAGAAAAAATGCAAAACATAAAAACCAATACAACAATACAGCAAAAAAGAAAATAAAAAAAGGAAAAAAAGACACAAATCCCATATTACATATCTTTAACTTCCATTTGCTTGTTTCGTTGACCTCCTCACACCTCCCTTTTTGTATTCTAGTTTAGTTAGTTATTTCAGCAAATTCTTTCCATCTTTCTCAATTTTTATTAGATGATTTATCTTAACAATTTAACCTATTAATTAACTCGACAGATCCTTTCCATCTTTCCCCGTATTCTGTTATTCAAATTACCTTAATTTATTTAACCTTATCTTACCATAAAATACCTTAAAGCTTAAAACTTAATACTCAGTTATACATAACTCCTGATATCATTTCTGCTAGAGTCATATAGTTTCATTCCAACATTTTCCCTAATATTCATTAATTTTAGGCTAATTCCCTAAATAAAAAAAATTTCTTTATAAATTTTCTTCCAATCTTCATCCAACGTCTCTTCTTCCTGGTCTCGGGTCGTGTCAGTCCTTACTGTCCATTCCATCTAGTCCATCAACCTGGAAGTCTTATGTCCGAGGCCCTTAAGTCTCTTCCATGTCCCTTCTGCAGATCTTCTTCTTCTTGTTTATACTTGCACTTTTCCTTGTCTTTTGTTGGTCTCTTTCTTAATTTCTTTCCTTTCTCATTGAGGAGTAGGTCTCTGGGGGGTTCCAACCCAAAGTTATCTCCGTCTCCCTTCATCAAACCAGCCCATTCCCCACAGTCCCACTCCCCACAGTCATCAATATAATCCAAAAAAATTTGCGAGAATATTTCAAAGTCTCTCCAAAGTTAAAAGCCTCCTCAGCTCCAGACTCCCCCTGGCCCACTCCAACTTCAATCTTCAAAAACAGCGGCTTATGCTCCTGTAGGGCCTTGGGCCTCTCCATTTGTATTATTTGAGGTGCAACCGCAGCCTCCTCCATTATATTGTGCACTTGCACAATCAGTACAGGTTCCTGAGTTGGATCCTGGATGGTTTCTGTATCACTATTCACTATTTGTCCACAAATGTTGGCCACAACAGTCATCAAATCCATTTTCTCATTCATCAAATCCATCTTCTCATGCATCTGTTCCAACAAAGCACTTGTCTTGCATAAAGCAAGCACCAAAACTTCCTTCCAGCTCATATTTAGTCAAGGTCAAAAGGACTAATCCCACGATCTTAATCTCACAGCTGTGGAATCCTCAAGTAGACTACAGCAACAATTTAGCAGGCTCCCTCTAGAGGAGACAATTTCTATTTGTATCCATTTTTTAAGGCAAGTCTAACAAAGGAAAATTACTTTCATTTTTCAGATATTTAGTTTCTTTAGAATGCAAAAGGCAACATTGGAATCAGTTTATTTCTCTTCTTCAGCTATCTGTCAAAGTATTCCATTCACAGTCAATGAATCTCTCCAACAATTTCTGTCTCTGACACCCCGTTCCCAGATTAGAGACGGTGGAAACTTATCTTTCTTCACTCCCTCTCCTGCAGGCGTTACACAAAGTCCCCCCCCCTTTCTCCTGCTTCCAGGGGGGTTTCAGTAGTTATAAATGAAGGAAATTTAGGCTTTTTAAACAACTTTCCAGGCTTTAGCTTACAAGGTTTTTGCTTTAGTCTATATACAAAAAGCGGAAGGCGGACTTCCTGTTTTGAACCTTCCCGCTTCGATGTCAAATTAAGATATTTCTTGATCCAATTTTCCGTTTCTACTCACGGGTACTTGTTTTAAATCCAATTGTCCACAGGAAAAAGTCAGCGCTCTCCGGCGATGGCTGTGCGGCTTCACTCCGTGAAAGTAGCAGTCAGTTCGCAGCACCGCGCTGCTCACCCCATTTCACTCCGGAATCCCAAAAAGGGGTTCCCCATGAGTAGGGGGGCGTTCCTGGTGCCCTGCCGAACCCCACGTTCCCAGGCTTCCTCCGCCTGGGATTTCTAGCGGGTCCCCACCTTCGCCGCGGTGGGAAGACCCAGTTTCCTCCGGTCGGAGGAACTCCGCCATTCACCGATGGCGCTAACCCGGAAGTCGGATTTTGATCTGCAAGATTGTCTTGCTCTATGTGACTATATTTGGTAGTACAGTGAGAAAGTTTTGATGTCTTGCTTGCAGAATGATTTTTACATTGGATTTTTTAAAACTAAAGTACCTTCATTATCCAGCACTGCTACATCATTGCCCCAGGTCACTATTAATTTAAAGTAAATACTTTTGTTTTTCCATTAACCATTGCAGGCAGTAGTGCTTAAAAGCAGCAATTCTAAGAATAAAATAATGTGACATAAAGCTTTCCTCCTGGGCAGACGCACATGGATCATGATGAATAACCTCCTTTGTCTTCATAGCTGTACTCTGTGTCTCAGCAGTTTGCCTGAAAGCTACAACATTAATTTATTGAATGAATTTTTGTGCTACTCTTCAGGTAAGATCCACAGGGTGGCTAAGAAAATACACTTAAGTGCATAATAACAATATAAAATGTCATAAAACATTAGCAGAGGAATTAAAAGCAGATGGCTAGATTAAAGCTTAAAAAGCATGGAGAAATAATAATATCTTTCTTCATTGGGCACGAAAAAGACATCATTATTGGCACCAGCTGAGTCTTCCTGGACAGTGCTTTCCAGGGGTCTGAGGGCCACAGCTCAAATGACCCTCTTGTGGATCACCACTTGCCTCAGGTCTCTAGCAGAGGGACTCAAAGAAGGGTGTCCAAAGAAGATCCCAGAAATCAGGCAGATGTATGTGTCCAGGTGGTGGTCCTTAATGTATCCTGGCCTTAACCAATGTATGGTTTTAAAGGTTCAGCTAGCATCTTGAACAGAACCCAGATGTTTACTCTGTGAAACTGTTTTAAGAGTAGCAACATACATCTGTCTCAGTACAAAATACAGCTGCTAGGTTACCAACTGTAATTTTTTCCAAACTGTATGTAGGCAGCCCAGCATAAAACTTTAATGCAGCTGGGACATTGTCACAACATTAAAAAACTGTGGCCGCCTGTCTTTGTCTAGGAGAGGCCATGCATCAACCTTCCAAGTGTAAGATGGTTTGTGCTGCTGCAGCCGCTTGGATGTCCAAATAAAAGAACAGATAGATCTAGTAGGAATTCCAGCCTAAGAACCTAATTGTTCTGACAATGTTCCCCACCCCCAGCTTCGTTCTCCAAAATCATGAGACTAGGTTCTCAGGTTACAGCTTGTTCTTTCTGTAGTTTTTCTGGGAAGTGCAAACCAAGGGTAGCTTATGGCACAGCAAATGTATAGTTGTTTCCCTGAGGGAAAATGTATGGATCATTTGTACTAAATGAGCAATGGTTCAATTTCTAGGAAGTTTCATTTTTCTATGACTCAAGTTCCCCAACCTCAGTTGGCAGAGGCATAGCAGTTGAAATGCCAGTTGTGGTGTAACCATGTACTAATGCCACAGACACCTACTGGAACTGGAACTGATTAGTTTTAAAGCTAAATGTAAATAAGTCCATAGTTAGCTTCCTCTGCTACCCCTCTTCTGGTTTTAGTGTAAAGTAAACCCAATCTAGGCAGCAGATACAATTGTCAAAGCAGGGAATGGATCACCATGTTGTGGTGACGAGATTCACATATATACTCACAAACATGCTTGGCCACTGCTCTCGACAATAGATTTTTTTTTTAAATCCAGTTTTTTTCTGTGTGCAAGTCCAGCTTCAGGCCAAAATTTCAGCACTCAAGACAGGCAGCAACTCTGTTACAACTTTAAAAGTTCTACACACTGTCAGAATCCATATAATCAATAGCAGCAGCAGCAGCAGGAAGGCAGGTGTAAGTAAGTGGAATTAATCCAATTCTGTTACTAATAATAGATATAATGCAGTCAGCAGCTTTGTGGTGGCTTTCTGACTCCTTTGTTGATAACAGAGCATAAGCTGCATCTGTTAGGTCTATAAGAAAAAACTGAACCATTTGGGGCTTTATAGAAAGTTTTTTTAAAAAAGTGGTGACATGTCAGAGATTGAGAAAAGTAAACGTGCTTAATGTGAATAGAATGCCCCCCTTTTTTCGGGGATCAACCTGTGAAAATTCAGAACAGTCATAAGGGGGTAGTATTGCATACAGAACACAATAAATGTATGGAGCTTGCTCCTTCGAGATTAGATGGGGGTGAGGGGGCGCCAGTTTAGATAGCTTAAAATGGAACCAGACAAATTCACCTGCTATTAACTGTGATGGTAAATGGAACCTTTATGTTCAGAAGCAGTATACATTAGAATACTAGATGTTAGGGGAAATTGGAGGCTGGAGTGAGGAGGGTGGCTGTTTTGTTGTCAGCTCTGCTGAGAAGCAAGACTTCTTTCTCCATCAAGTGCGAACATGGCAGCAGTCATTCCATCAGACTCAGAAGTGGAAGAAAAGGGAAGCAGTCTCCCTCCCCATTGGTGCTGCAGTTGAGAGACCAGCGATGTTTGGCTCTTCTGCTTCCATCTCAGCTGCTCAACCTGCATCTTAGAACTAGTCAGGACTGGCCCACCTAGCAAAGTGAGGGGGCCACCTTGGGCAGAAAGATTCACAGGGGCAGCAAATCCCAATGTATATATTTATTTCCACCCCCTTGTTCCTGATATAGATCTGCGCTCACCCCTTATTCCCTGGCAGAGAGGGGGGCATCATTTTGTTTTTTGCCTCAGCTGCCAAAATGTCTTGAGCTAGCCCTGGAATTAAGTACTTGTGTTTCTTCATTTCTTACTCCCTCCCAATCGTATTTTCTTTTTGTGTGTTGTGTCTTTTTAGATTGTAAGCCAGAGGGCAGGGTCATTTTGGTTTGTATTGATTTTGTAAGTAAGTAAGGTAGTAAGTAAGTAAGTAAGTAAGTAAGTAAGTAAATGAATGAAAGATAGATAGATAGATAGATAGATAGATAGATAGATAAGCTCTTCAGAAGCATCTGTGTGGCCACTGTAAGATGTTGGAGTGGATGGACCCACCAGAACACTCCCATGCTCTTTTCCATTTAGGTTATTATTGGAACTAAATAATATTGTACCAAAAGCAGGATACTGTAAATAAAATTGGGAAAATGAGAAGTGGAGTGTTACAGAAAGACTGGAGCAAAATCATAGAATTGTAAAGTTGGAAGGGACCTTGAGGGTCATCTAGTCCAACCCTTTGCAGTGCAGGAATCTTGCCCACAGCCATCCCTGGGTGGGCTTGAACCACCAACCTTCTGGTTAACAACCAGACCCATTGACCCGTTGTGTCACTGGGAGCTTATATTTTTTTTGATCCCTCTCCCAGTATTTTCCCATTGAAAATTACAGGATTTGGAAGGAAATCGGGGGGGGGGGAGGGAAGAAGGGACAGCTGTGTCTCAAACATTTGGCGTTTTCTCTTAATTTTCTGTGGCAAAAGATAAAGTGGGGCCATTTCTGGCCATTCCATCCCTTGTGGCTAAATTATTTTTGTAGCTTTTACTACACACCTAGCATAAACAAGGCATACCCTGATATACAAGATGTTCAACCCCTGCAGAAATTTCTTCAAAGCATGAGCTTCTTGAAAAGTTACATTAAGTAAATGCTTCTTTAAAAAGATACTATGATATTATATTACAGGCTTAAAAAAAAAACAGATTTGAAAGCTTCTATTAAATAAAGTTCCCCATTAACTTCCGCAGCCCAAAGAAACCTTCCCTTTGCTTGACTCTCTGCTTCTGTCCCTAGAAAACTCTTTTATTGATCACATGGTTGAATTTTTCAGTCAGCCCAGCAATTAGGCTTTTCTAGAGAGGAGATTTTGCTTCTCAGTTCTAATAAATGTAGAAGTAATGCTTTATAGATTTAGGCCTTGTTCTCACTGTGGTGGTGAATCTGTATCTAGGCTGTGAGCAGTGGGGGCTCACATGAGTGAAAGTTCCTCCAATGCAAAATAAAAATAAAAACCACTTCATGTAGAAACTGTGTCAGGGTTTGCTTTTTTGTTGTGATGTGTATATTCTGAAGTTGTATATTGCAAGTTTATCACCTCCGTATGAACAAGATCTTTGATAATGTGCTATTTGCTTTATTAATGTATGTGTATCTTACATTAAAATGTACTAGTGGCCACGAGGACTGGGGCTGATGGAAGTTGGAGTCCAACAAGATCTGGAGGGCCATCCCTGTCATAGTCCACATTTATTAGCGTCTGAACAAGTCTAGGTTGTATTTCATCTCTGGATAATCCTATGTTATTCATTTTGACACAGTTTTAATGCCTTTTTTGTATTATTTCAGCCTGCATCCTTCCCAGCATCCAAAGAACCTCCAAGAGCTCGCTCAGCAAGAGGTTTGTTCTAGCTTATCTATTTCATGGGTAAAACGCTTTGTGAAATAACAGAGCTGTCCCTTTGCAGTTACTGAATTGCTTTGACCCAACCTAGTGAATCAGATCCATTCTATACACACACACACACACCTGTGATTTACAGGTTGGTGTGGAGAGACATTTCCATATATCATTGCGATTTTGAAAATGATCTATCAGTCTTTCATTTGATATTGGTACCACTTAGCAGTGACAAATAGTTTAGGCCCAATGGATAGCTGTGGGCCAAACTATCATGCTAGCATCAGATTTGTGTCATAATCAGTCTGCTTTCTCATTAATAATAATAATTTTTATTTATTTATACCCTGCCCATCTGGCTGGGTTTCTTTCCCCAGCCACTCTCACTCGCTATATAGCAGGGGGAGGGGACTTAAAGCAGTCAAAACTGGGTGTGGAGTTGAACATTCTCGCCCCTGCATCACTTCCCCCCATCCATTTGTCCCTCAGTACAAATAACAGAAAACTGACACATAACCACATTTTTCAAGTAACTACCATGTGTCTAGGTTCTGTATGCATTGGCTCTCTGAGGATTACTACAGATATGTGCCAGTAGAGTTCTGCATGTTACCTAGCATATCAGCTGGGTAGAGGAGTGGAGAATTCTTTTGTTACTCACTGTAATGTCTGTTTTTCTAAGCAATGTCCTATCCAACTAGTTATCTCGTGAATATGAATCTTGCATTTTGTACCTAATGTTTGTCCTTGGGATCAGCTTTATATTACTAGTCCACTTTTGAGTGCATTTTGACCCCCCCCCCATCCACTAAAGTCCTTGCATCCTTTTCCTTAGCATTATTCTGAAGCATAGCATTTCACTTGTGTACTATTCACTCTCATTCCTAAGCAGGCAAAGAGGAGCAAAGCTAAGCCCTCTTTCTGGAATTTCCTCTGAGGGAAAGGCAAAGGCAAGTCAGAGTTAAGAATAAACTTCCTCACTTTTAAATAATTTAAACCAGATGGGGTGGAAAGGCTGACCCTGCTTTTGCAGAACTGTACAGCATAGCTGCAGAAATAGAAAATGGTGTGACTGATACAGTTCAGCAGCCTTGAAAATAAAATGTACACAAAAATGTACTAGCCAGCAGGAACAGAAACTGGGACTGAGACTGGGACTGTTCAAAAGGCAATTCATCATTACAGCTGGAATCAAGAAGAAGCATAAAACAGGAAAAAGGGAAAGATCAAAAACAATGCAGAAAATCGTATAATTATTTATGTCCACATTTGTGGACTAAAAGGGGCAACAGCAAATACTGCCCATATTCTGGATCTCAGACGAACATTCAGATTAGGGCAATTTCCGCTCCCATTTAATTTCCAACAGGATTCTTCAACATACATACTCTTAATGGTGTATCTAGAAAACACTTGACAAATGATTAGATAATTTTATGTTGTACCAATTATCTTGAACCTTGAAATCCTTTCCGAGTGAAAGTCCTTGAAAGAAGTAAACCCTTCAGAGCTTTGCTGCATGCCAGGCATTATTCAGGGACTAACACATTCACAGGGGAAACCTGCACCCCCCCACACTTACTTTACTTCCTGGGTAGACCTTCTCTGAAAAACCAGTTTCCTTTGTTTGTGCCTCAAAATCTAGAATACACTAGAAATAGTTTCTCCCCACCCAGAATCAAACATTGTTTGAATAAAAGGAGCTCTGCTTCTTGAAGCAGCATGGGGTTAATAATAATCATGCTGTGTCGAGATATTAATCTTACTACTTCATTGTAAATGAATTGGATATTTTCTAAAATGCTTTTCTGGTTTTGAATTAAAAATGTCTAGCTCCAGTCATACCCATTTCCTCTCCCTGAGCATTCCAATCAAATCATCTTGTAGTTAGTGATAGTATGATACTGGGGAAGGCATTTCTCTCTTTGTATACTGCTGGTCGTGTGGAGCAGGACTCCAATTTATTTTCTTTCTTTGTAAGGAAATGCTCTTTGCAAACGTTAAGCCTCTGGTTGATTAAGCCCTGTTTGTTAAGTTTATAGAAGAAACATCTCCTGAATTATTTGTTCTGGTGTTCAGTCCAGGTCTTTGGCCAGATTCATTACAGGCATTTTATTGTGGCGAGCAGGATGCTAAATGGAATTAAGTCATTTGGATTTTCTTGTGGTGAAATAGACACAAAATAGTGGGAAATGGACTAAGGCCAAGAAAAGATTGAATTTATTGCTGGATGAGCACGAAACAGATAGATGTTTTTTATGAGGAATACTTTGTTTGCTATGAGCACAGATACATTTCTAGTGTTGCTTTTAGCAGTGGCTCCCACAGCCAACATCTTTCTATAACAAGAAATACAGTGGTACCTCCGGTTAAGTACTTAATTCGTTCTGCAGGTCTGTTCTTAACCTGAAACTGTTCTTAACCTGAAGCACCACTTTAGCTAATGGGGCCTCCTGCTGCCGCCGCGCTGCCGGAGCATGATTTCGGTTCTCATCCTGAAGCAAAGTTCTTAACCCGAGGTACTATTTCTGGGTTAGCAGAGTCTGTAACCTGAAGCGTATGTAACCTGAAGCGTATGTAACCCGAGGTACCACTGTATATGTGTGTATATCACAGTCACATAAAATAATTTGGGCACCATACAGCAGTATAAATACCACATTTCACCATGTAATGGTCACATTTTTTGTGCTGATTTTTCCTTTCAAAAAAGGGGGTTGCGACTATTACGTGGGGGTATATTGGACCGAGGCCATTTAGGGCTTTAAAGCAATTATACAAGCCCTATTCTATTCCACCTGTTGAATGTTTTGTCAATTTAGTCCGGAATAGCCTCCCATGGATTTAGAAGGCTGGAGCGTGACTGTTCTTTGATTAAAGAGAGCTTAGAAAAGCATGCTTGCCCTATGGTCAGTTATCAGCCATTGGAAATATACCTTGGCACCTGTGGTGTATGCGAACTGGCCACCCTCATGCATTTATGCACGCTGGATCCGTACCTTTTCCACACAGACACATAGCTTTTTGCAACCCTGGCGAGTGAACTGAATCCTGACAACTGGCAACTAGCTCTTACAGTTGTTGTGTTTTAACACAGCATTCCCCAAAGACATAACAGGGATACTGGTTTGCCAGGGACAAATACCAGAAAACGGGGCCTGTCCCTGCTAGCAGGGAACCTGGAAATATTTTTGAAGTGATGGGGCATGCTGGTTCAATATTAAATTTAAAAAAAAAGTTAAAAAAGATTCCAACTGTACTGAAAAGAAACAGCTCATGAATGTTAAAGAATAGTAGACAGATACGGGCATCCCCAAACTCGGCCCTCCAGATGTTTTGGGGCTACAGCTCCCATCATCCCTGACCACTGGTCCTGTTAGCTAGGGATGATGGGAGTTGTCGTCCGAAAACATCTAGAGGGCCGAGTTTGGGGATACCTGGATTAGAAGTTCACTGTTTAAGGGCTTGGCCTCCTCAACTCCATATCGACTCTGGTCTCTCTCTCTCTCCCCCTTCTCCTTACACATTCAATACTGTTAGTTGGAGCCCTTGCAGTCCTGATAATCTTCTGTCTGCATGGGAGGATGCCCCACTCCCAATCTCCCCATAGAAATAGAGGAGGGAGCAGAAAACCCAATAAGACCAGCACTTGGCCCCATTCTCCAAAATCAAGGTGGTGGTGGTGGTGGTTTTGTACAGAGTTCCATGGTTTTCCCAAGCCACTATGAGACAAACTGCCTGTTGTGCCTACTTTTTTTTTATATATGGATCATTGTCTGGGTCTCTGAAGGAAACGGGATACCTCTAACTCTGTAAACTGGTGTGTAGCTCGGCCTCCACAATGCAGAACTATAAAAAAGCTTCCTGATATTGCCAGCAAATACCCTCATCATTCTTACTGACTAGCGTGCCAAGACTGGGCATCAGTGAGGACTTGTGACTTGCTCAGTCTCAGTTAACCTGCACTATTGTGATCAGCCATCAGACAAACACGTTTTTAGGCATGCTAATTATAATAGCATCTTGCTTCCCATTTTTCCTTTTGGTTATTTTAAAGGAATCTAGAAACAAGGGAGGTAAAAACTTGTCACATAGTCCATTTTCCACTAGGGGGAGATCTGGAGCCAGGAATGGCTGTTCTATATTTAAACCGCTGTTCTTATTTTTTCAATTTCAATCCAATTTTTTCCTTTTGTGTGTATGGGGACTATTAATATAGAATAGTGAGATGAATTATAGCTTTGTTGCAAGCATCAGAATTGTATATGATGGGTTTTATTAAACCCAGTTGACTGTAAATAACTGTGAGCCATACAGGTTTATTGTTTGATTTAAAGTTGGTTCCAGTGGCTGTTTGCAAAAGTGAGCAAAGGGAAAAGAAGCACTAAGCAATGAGACAACAGCTGTGTCTTGGGGAGTAGAGAGATTTCAAAGCTTTCTGTTGTGTGTGTGTGCCAGGAGATGGGCTTATCACCTGCATGTGCTTTTGAGTCTGTGTGCGCAGTGTAGTAAGACACCTTTGTGGTTAGATGAGTTTGTCATGCTTCATCTGTGATTATTCTCAGCCCTTGGGATCATGGATATTTGTAGATGCTGGCCACTATTCTTTTGTTTAACATCTTTAAGCAAACCCTTCACTTCTCCTGTTGCGGGTGTGATCACATCTCTGGAATCCTAGGTGAAAACAGAATCTCTTGTAAAAGACATCTTACACCTCGTGGCTAAGGGAGTTTAAACCATTGGCCTGTAAAGAGAAATGTTAGAAGGTCTCCTAGGGCTCATGCATACGTTTTAATCCTCCTCTCTGATCCTTGCTAAAGGGAAGCGATGGCAGCCGACTGGATGTAAGACTTATTCATGCTAGCGTATTGCCTTTCATTTTGTGCCAGAATCCTTACTCCTTGCTCTTCTGTTGCCATTGTTTCTTTAGGCCCTTGTTACCGCTGTTTCCCTTGCTTCTTTTAAAGAGGAATTATAAATCCCCTGGCCTGGATAATTCTAAAGCTGCAAAAAATGGAAACAGTCACAGATTTATTCCCCACAGGTTGGCAGTAAACGAGGCAAAACAAATAAAGCCCCACAAATACCAAACCCCACATCTGGAACTGCCTTCCCTAGTAGCAGAAATGGGAAAGCAAACATTACTGTTATTAAAAATTGGAGGTTTTGAGTGTTACCTACTATTTGTTTTGGAAAGTAGTTTGTCTATCTGTTCTCTATAGGTTTGGATGCTTCTTGAGATATCATTGCCAAATTCAGCAGGAGGGTGGCCAAGGTGGGAGCAACAGTTCTCCTTGATGGTGGGACACCAGCCACCATTTTGAATCAAGATGGCAGACCAAAATGTGACTTTGGCATGACCCTGCCTGCTTCTTTGGTATAGGTTTGGCCACCTCCTGAGATATCGCTGCCAAACTTGGCACAAAGGTTCCCGAGATGGGGGTGGCAGACTGGCAGTCTTTGCCATTGTTTGGATACCAGACATTATTTTGAATCAAAGTGGTGGACCAAAACATGACTTTGGCATGACCTCACTTATTCTTGGCATGGCAGGTTGAAACTCAAAAATTACACTACCTTTAAAAACCATAATATGTTTTGGTTTCTTTTAATTCTTGGGCAGTGCCAGGCACTCCCTGCTAGTTGTTAATACTTTGTGCTTAGAACAATCCCTGACATAATCCAATGCATGCGTGAATTTGAATTTTCTCACGGCCCAAGAATTGGGGGGGAGGGGAAGACAGAAACAGGTATGTGTCACTGAGGTTCAGGATGTGAGGCAGCAGAGCGGCAAGCCTATTATGATAGGAGGGGGGATTATTTTGTCATTCTTGAGGCTGTTTATACAGACTTATTTCCTAGGAACTACATACAGCATGCCCAGATCCTGTTCGGTTTACTGGAGCCAACCAGAAACAGTGTTAGAACAGAAAAAGCAAAACTCTGACCAATGAGCTGCTGGCTAGGACCCTCAGAGAGAGAATGTGCTATTGTATGGGAAAGTGTACAACTTGTAATTGTAATTTGTGAATTGGAAAGAAGTGTACCTGCCTGTGCAACATCCTCTCTCAATCATTTATAAGTCCTGGAGTTCCTGCAGGTATTTTCCATGCACAAGCAGGAAGAGCTAACAGGGTGTGGCAACAGGAGGACAGGACAAGCACCAGCATAACCAGGAACAATGAGCTCTCCGGGACAGCTGGAGCCAGCTCTGCTGATGTGATTTACAGGGCCTAGATCAGATGTGAGCAAATGAGTGAGGCCGTAGTTTCCAGTGGACAGAAGATCAGGCACTGAATCTCAGGGATAGGGAACAATGTCTAAAAAGCCTGTGCACTCATATAACGAATGTACATACATGTCACACTTGGCATGCTGGGTTATAAATCCAAATCAGACAGCCAGAAATGCTGTGAGCTTAAGCAAAAGGAACTTGAATAATCTAAAGGACGCCTATCTATCTTCTAGGATTTCAAAACTGGAGAGGGATCAGGGGGGCCTGGTAACAAGTTTGGGTCCAGAGAGATGGTGCTTTGGCACTGACTCCCCGTCAGGTAGCTTATGTCACAGTAACTGCACATGGCTTCCACTGGTGTCCCCTCCCTGTGATGAAGTTATTAAAAATGTCTGCCGACATATCTGGCTGACTGTAAGTATGCTATGTCATAGGCTGCCTGTAGCGCTTCACCAAAAGAAGGGCACTTGCCCCTCCTATCTGCTTTAAAAATAAAGTGAGCTATTTATGTGTTTCAATCAAACACTTGACGAAAGGTGTGTTTTTCAGTTCGGTTGGAACACTAAAAAGAAAACTTGATTCAGTCTTCCATGAAGATTCCCATCTCCCCAAACCAAAGTCTCTTTACCTTGAAGTGAGGGCATGCTAGAGACAGGATACAAGCCTAAGTCTGAGTTGGGCAAACTTAAAGAGGGCTTTGCTCTTATTATTAGAAGGGGGGACATGGGTGGTGCTGTGGGTTAAACCACAGAGCCTAGGGCTTGCCGATCAGAGGGTTGGCGGTTCGAATCCCCGCGACGGGGTGAGCTCCCATTGCTTGCTCCCTGCTCCTGCCAACCTAGCAGTTCGAAAGCACGAAGTGCAAGTAGATAAATAGGTATCGCTCCAGCGGGAAGATAAATGGCGTTTCCGTGCGCTGCTCTGGTTCGCCAGAAGCGGCTTAGTCATGCTGGCCACATGACCCGGTAGCTGTGTGCTGGCTCCCTTGGCCAATAAAGTGAGATGAGCGCCTCAACCCCAGAGTCGTTCACGACTGGACCTAACGGTCAGGGGTCCCTTTACCTTTACCTATTCCCTTCTGAGGTGCTTTCTCTCAAATTCTCACTCCCTACTTCACCATCAACTCGGCGCTCTTGCTCTGGCAGTCTTTTGTCTTTGTTTCCTGCTATGCTTCTCCATCGTGATACTGGCTTGCAGACATTGGATTTTCCTATTGGTTGCTATGGTTACCTTTGGGTTGCCATAATTTCAGATGCAGAAATGAATTTGATGAACTGCAACTCGTGCCCATTTGATGTGAACAGCGGCTTGTTCTGAAAACTTTAAATAGTATCAGGAAAAGCAGTGTCCATGTTTGCCATTGATTGCATTGTGACTCGGTACTTCTTTAGAGCTTAAACACTGATTTCTCTGCAGTAACTATGCAATGAGAGGATAAGAGTTGCAATACTGGCTCTGTCCCAAAGTCTATCATGCAATAGCTAAGCAGTTGCCCTACGTCTACTCACAAGTAGAACAAGTTCTGGGTTCCATTGGGTTATTGCCTCTAAAGCTCTTACTTCGGATATGTATATTTAAAGTACAATTCCATATGATCTTGCTTTTCCACTCAGATCAGCCAGAGAAATCTTGCTCCATCACCTACTGTCAGAGGTGCAGTTGCTGCTTTGTGGCAGCATCCAGGTTGCGTAAATCCCTGTCCTGGAAGATCCACGAGGCTCACTTCCAGTACCAAATGAAAACGTCTTTCTTCCAGTGGCCTGTCAGGGTTTTTTAGTGTTGTTTCGTGGCTTATTTAAGGGTGATCTTGCTTGCTGGTCTTGCCTTTATTTTTAACACAAGGTGATAGTCAGCTGCCTTGTACCACTAGGAAATGAGATGGAAACATAGGATATAAATATTTAGTGAATGGGTAATGATCAGCCATCCTTTATTCTTGTGTCCACCTTTCATGGCTCTGCTGCAGTAATAATGCTTAGTATGATGTTTCCTTCCCTGCTTACTTCTTTGTCGCTGCCTCCTGCTGTTTTCTGCTTCATTGGAGCATGAACAACCAAGAACCTCATGTAGCAGGTCTGGTCCAAGGTTCAGCTTCTCTCTGGGTGAAGTACAAAAACTGGGTCTCAAAAGGCATCATCTACTAGATCTCTAAACGTTTGTTTTGCTGCCTTTTTGCACAGTGCCAGAACTGCGCAGTCTGGAGAGTAGGAATTGGCTGATCCACTTGTACTACATTCGCAAAGACTATGATTCGTGTAAGGTAGGAATATGATATACCCTGACTTTTTTGCACTTTAAATCAGAGGTGGGGAACCTGTGGATCTCTAGAAGTTGCTGAGCTCCGTTTTCCATCAGCCCCAGCCAATGACCAGATCTTATCAGAATTGCAAACCAGCATCTGTAGGGCTGTAGCTTTGCCATCAGTGCCTTTTAAGGATAACTTCAGAGAAGTATCCAGGCTTTTGCTTTGGAGAAGGACTTCGTTTCTTCTTGGAACACTTCCAAAACAAGATTTAAAGATAGGGAATATACCAAGGGCTCCTTGTACAGGTTCCTCCACCCTTCTCTGGTTTATTATTGCCAGAGTTCCTTATTAAACCCGAATCAGAGATAACTATGGTTCGCACTAATCAAGATTGCTTCCAAACTATGATTTGAAGTGGGTTTGCATACCCGTAAGGGTTAATATTCTTTCTGTTCCCAAAAGCCTCCTGTTAACTGAATTAACTGAATTTTTGGTTTGCATTTTGTTGGTTGGTTGCTTGCTTGCTTCAAAATCTAATGAGAGCATGGCAGCATGTTAACATGTTCCATCCTTAGGAACTGCTATCCCTTTACCAAAACTTGTCAGAGTCATGAATGCAGCTAGCCATTTTCTCCTTTTGAATAAATCGCAGCCTCCTAGATCTCCCCACTCGGTCCTTCCTCACTGTCATCGTGCCTCTGCTGGTGATCCTATGCATGCTTACTCTGGAGTTTGGAGTGGTGGGAGCCCCATCCACTGCAGCGGGACCCCGAGAGAATGGAGCCTGGGAGGCACATGGCTGGTGTTGCTGTCGCTGCTGGTGGCCTACTGTCTTTCTGGCTTGGTGCCCCTCTCCCGGCCAGACTGGGTGGCGTGGGGGGCACACTGGCTGGCACCTGCTCTAGGAGAGTTCAGGGCTGCTCTTGCATGACCCGCTGTTGACCACTGGCCATGCCCTCCCCCAGTGGTGGCTGTGATGGCTGCCTATTGCTGCAAATCCTCTTCTTGCTGGGCACCTCGGCCTCTCAGCCAGCCCAGGGGTGGGGCACCCATGGATGTCCCTTCTCTGGCCACAAGGAGAAGGAGGCCCAGTCTGGGCACGGCTTGCCTTCCTGAGGCTCTGGAAGGTGGCAGGAGCTCAGCCCGATGAGGGAGCCTGTTGTGGGGACTCTCAGAAATCTGTGCCCCTCCTGCCCTCCACTGCTTGTGGCCCACTTGGTATGAAAATTTGGACCGCCCTGCTCTAACCATTATGTCACACTGGCTCCTAGAGGTGCAGTTTTCTCTTTGTAGTGAATACAGGAATCTTTGGGAACCTTTGGCTATTTTTGAAAAATAATTTACTCTTGGTGCTGTGCAAAGAGAGTGTTCACTTCTAAGGACCATCAAGGCAGGCACTTAATTTTCCAATAGATGGATAACAGCAATCTATTCCACAAGTACTTGGGTGGCAGGAGTTTCACTTGTCCTAATGTTACCTATTCAGAGGTCGTTGCCTTAATGTTAACATTTTTTAATGCAAAAGGGTTTTTTATAGTGCCATTAAATGAAATTGAAAGCCTTGCCAATGTCAAAGCCATCAAAAAGCTCCTGCTCTTGGATAATTTGACTTCAGGAGGCTCTTTTCCAGGAAGGACAAATTACCAGCGCGAGAGGGAGCGGTTTCAACAGGCATTTCCTTGCTCTGAAAAAAGGAGAAAATTCTAGGCATTTCCCCCCTCTAGCACAGAGACTGGGAATTTGTGGCCCTCCAGATACTGCTAGGCTACAAATTTCATCTTCCTTGACCCTTGACAATGTTGGCTGGCCACAGGTTCCTCACCCTGATCTTTTAGGTACCTTTCATTAACAAATACTGGCTTAATGTTGAGGCTAACTTATTAAAGGGTAGAGTTGACAACATTCTGCCCCTTATCCAAAAAAGGAAAATATTTTTATTGGAACATAACTTCTTTACTTTGTGGTTCAGATTCTTATAAAAGAGCAACTCCAAGAGACCCGTGGGATATGTGAATATGCAGTCTATGTTCAAGGTAAGCTACAAGCACCCTCCCATGGCTGACATGCTTCTACCTTGTCTGACACATTTCCCAAGAGCAACCTCCCTTTAGGGCTGAAAATAAAATTATTTCACTGACTCCCTCAGTGAGTTCCAAAAATATGAGGGTGCTTCCATAGTCCACATAATCCTCGTTAACAGACAAAAGCGATCCTATGGCTCTTTTAGGACAAGCGGGCCAGAGAAATGCTAAACTACCCCATGGGCTACGCTTACCACAAAGGAACAGTGGTGCAGATGGCACCATGGCTTCCAGATACAGAACCCACCAGCTGCTAGCTCTGCTCCGCTGTGACCTACCTTCTTCAAAAGCCTGCTGTGTGCTTCAGCTGGGAAGCTGGTGGGGGTAGGTTCTCCTCCTGCACTTCTATACATTTCAGCATTGCCCAGGGTGCAGCTTACTTCCTTGAAAGGACTCCAGATTAACATGCTGTGCATTGTTGTTTTTCAGCCTTGATATTTCGCTTGGAAGGGAAGATTCACGAATCACTTGAGCTTTTCCAAACTTGTGCTATTCTTACGCCCCGGAGTGCAGACAACCTCAAGCAGGTGGCACGATCGCTGTAGGTGCCATTTTATTCTTCAGATTTTGGGTGTTGCATAAAGGGAGTGGGGTTACCAAAGGCTGTTTTACTCCCGTTAGCCTTCATATTTGCATAGGCGAACTACTTAATCATACACCCTCCCTTGTCCACACACTTACAAACATAAAAGCCCTGCTGGACCAGACCAATTCAGACCATCTAATTCAGCATCTTATTTCAAAGTGGCCAACTGGACACCTCTAGGACATGAAAGCAGCAGCCTGCCTCCATTATTTGTCTCCCGGAAACTGGTATTCAGTGACATACTGCCTTTGAACTCTGAGTTTCCATGCAGCCACCATTCCTAGTACTAGCTGTCAATTAATTAACCCCCATGAATTTGTCTGCTAAAGCTGTCTAACCTGGTGGCCATCACCACAGGAGGAAAAATGATGTCTATCTGATCCGGCACTATTAGCACAGCACACACTTAAAAGAGAGAGGAGTCACTATTTTTAAAAACCTCTCCAGTCCCCCAAGCTTTAGGGTGGATAACATTTTAAAAGTTATTAAAAAGAGTTGTAAAAAGAAAGAACAGCTGTGAAACTCAGATGGTAGCACCAAGTGGGCAGATACGATCCATATCATGTGACATGATATTATCTGTCCATGCATTAGGAAAGCAAGAAATAGGGAATATCCAGCCTTCTAATAAAATCCTTTTAACAGGCGTTGCGACATGCTATGAATCCCCAGTATAGTGGACGAGTATTGGATTCTTCTGTTTGACTCTACAGCACAGTAGGCTTCCCTAGAGCTCCCTTTGATCCTCCGACTGATACACAGTTGATGGTCCAGTGATACCTTGGGAGGAAAGGGTAAGAAAAATAAGATCTGACATTTTCTTGCAGGTTTCTTTTGGGAAAACACAAAGCAGCCATTGAAGTGTACAACGATGCGGCCCAATACAACGAGAAGGACTGGGTATGCCCAAGGTTTTCTTTGCTACTTGTAAATAGAATGGAGTAGAATTTGAGACTTGCAGATCGATGGCTGACCTATGGGTCAGTTTTGTTCAGCACTTTCTTCTGTGCGAGGACAGCAGCACCAGCCTGTCCTCGGAATGCAGCTTATGAGGAGAGGTGTTAATATGAATCTGGGTCTACACAGACACAGCCTTAATGATTCCTGTGGCAAGTGGAGAAGGTGCTCCTGCAACAGCAGGAATTGCTGCTGCCTCTATTGCATGTACAGTGGTAGCTCGGGTTAAGTACTTAATTTGTTCCGGAGGGCTGTTCTTAACCTGAAACTGTTCTTAACCTGGAGCACCACTGTAGCTAATGGAGCCTCCTGCTGCTGCCGCGCCGCCGCTGCACGATTTCTGTTCTCATCCTGAAGCAAATTTCATAACCCGAGGTACTATTTCTGGGTTAGCGGAGTCTGTAACCTGAGGCGTATGTAACCTGAAGCATATGTAACCCAAGGTACCACTGTACTGCTCAGTTGGATATGTTTCCCATTGTGATCATGTGCAGTCACATGACCAAGGATGGCTATGGCTGCTCCTTTATAGGGGAAAGTGACTGTGTGGATTAGCTCTTAGTCCCATTGGGAGTCTAGTTGCATTGAAGACATCAGCCTGTTTCATAAATTCCATGATACAGGAAGGAATATACAACCTTCCCACATAGTTGATCAAAACAGAGGAAGCGCTGGTTAGTGTCTCTGCCAGATGTGCACACAGATGGCTTCCTGCTTTAATATTCAGCAGGAAAACAAAACATGGCTTGATACTCGCTCTTGGACCGAATGCCGCATCTTGGGTGGTGAGTCCACCACAGCAGAGCATCAGCATAGGCAAAACATTGTGTACCAAGCTGGATTACCACAACAGACACCAAAATGATCACTGCCAAGGCATATCCATTCATTTATTTGTCACATTTCTTACCCTGCTCTTCAGCCAAGAGCTCTCAGAGTAGCTAACAAAGATATAGAAGCCTAAGTACAATTAACATGGATAAAGCAGCCAGAATATATCAGTGCCAGGCATGTTAAATCAGAGGTCTTAAAATGTGAGGCTCTAAACACTCGAAAAGTGCTTGAGCAAACAAAAAAATGCCCTTGCCAGGCACACAAAAGACATTGAACTCTGCCCAGGTGAATCTAGTGTTCATTTATTTGTTAAATGCGTATCACGCCTTTGTACCCAAATTGTGCTCAAGATGGCTTGTACTTCTGCAGAAGCCTGGCGGCATCTCTGTTGTTGAAATGGCACACTGACAAGCCTTATAACTAAATTTATCTTCCTTATTACATGATGTAAATGTATATTGGGCCCGGTATTTATTTTCTGCTTGCATCAGCTCATCCATCAGGTTTATATGCAGAATTCCAATGATAGTTGTTAAAAGAAAGATTAACAGATGTGTCTGGCTAAATCTTTGCTGGGTTTTCAGTTTAATTGTATTTCTGTAGCATCTTTGGTCATAATGGGCTGAAGCTAACAACTCAGATCCATTGAACTTTTCTTTCTGATTCTGGAAGACCAAGTAAGTTACAGTGGCCCAGTTCACACATCATGATAAACCATAGTTTATGGTTTACTGTGAACAATGAACATGCAGATCTGGGCCACTTTGCGGCTTCCCATTAACACACCACAGCAACAAACCATGTTTCTTGGCTTAACATTATAGCCAGTGTGGTGTAGTGGTTAAGAGCGGTAGTCTCGTAATCTGGTGAACCGGGTTCGCTTCCCCGCTCCTCCACATGCAGCTGCTGGGTGACCTTGGGCCAGTCACACTTCTCTGAAGTCTCTCAGCCTCACTCACCTCACAGAGTGTTTGTTGTGGGGGAGAAAGGGAAAGGAGAATGTTAGCCGCTTTGAGACACCTTCGGGTAGTGATAAAGCGGGATAACAAATCCAAACTCCTCCTCTTCTTCTTCATCATCATCATCACCATCATCATCCAAATTGGAGATCATAGTAGTTTTGTTCCACCCAGTCAGTCAGTCAGAAAGCAAAAAATCATGCTTTGTTTGAAGTAAAACCCATCATAATTCCCAGTTCAGACATAATGCCATAGTAGGGATTGTGGTTTGTTCTTCCCATGGACTAGTGGGGATGAGCGAAGCCGCTCAGATCAGCATATTCATGGTAAACTATTAACTATGGTTTACTCTGATGTGTGAATAAGGCCAGAATTTGGCTATTTGTAAATGAAGAGATTTGTCAAGCTCTGATCTGGGGCATTTAGGACTGTTAATATTCTACTGAATGGAAATGATTTGTTACCAATCTGAGAAAATGAGATGTTTCAATAGATTGTGCCATTCCTGTTTTTTTGAGCACATTGAACCTGTGGTTTTGCAACTTGTGAGCTTGAGACCAATAATGACAAGAGGTTCTATCCCCTCATGTATCACATGTGGATTTACACATGTCCCCTTTCCCCTCACATCCAGGAGATCTGCCACAACTTGGGTGTCTGCTACATGCACCTGAAGCATTTCAACAAGGTAAAGTGGGCAGTTTTCTGGCAAGCATGAAAGGTCCAGGGGGTGGCAGCCTGAGAATGGGCATTTTTTTGCAGTGGCTCTGTTTGTGGAATGCTTTCCCCAGGGAGGCTTGCCTGGTGCCTTCATTACATAACTTTAAGCACCAGGTGAAAACATTCCTCTTCTCCCAGGCCTTTGGCTCATTAAATAATCTATGGTTATTATGTTATGTATTTTTGAATTTTTATACCATGGTGGATAAAAATCTATGTTTTTTTTTAAAAAAACCAGATTTTAAATCGGATTTTTAAAATTTAAATCAGATTTTTTTTATTTAAATTGGATTTTTAAAATAAAATGCTTTAGGAGTAAAAAAAAATTTCTAAAGATAGTTTACTATTTAAGTTACATTATAGTCCAAAGGCTATTCATCAGGAAATAAGTTTTTCATGTGTGTTGAAACTCAGTCTAAGTTGGTTTTTAAGGAAATGGTTATTAAGGAAATGATTATTTTTCTCCTTCCAATTATAAACAGTTAACTTATTAAGCCTCACAATAATTTCATAATTATGTATTTCTAATAGTATAACTAGATCAGTAATTTTTGATATAACTGTAAAAACTGCTCTGAAAATTTATTATTCCAAAAATGAAACCTTCATCTGTTTGTAAATATTAAGATTATACCAGCAGGAATGTATTTTTGTAAAAAAAATGATTTAAATCAAGTCTTACTGACTTGTGATTTAAATCATGATTTGATTTAAATCAATTCCACCCTGTTTTATACTGTAAACCACCCTGTGATTCTCAGATGAAGGGTGGGATATACATTTAATAAAACATATACATATACATTTAATAAAACAAACAAACAAACAAACAACAGTCCAAATGGTTGGGTTGTATCCTAAGGAACCCTCAATGGCTGTATGGAATTGAGATGAAGGAAGTCTAGGCAGTAGAGCTCTAGAAAAAGAGCCATTGGTTGAGTTCAACAGCTGTTCCTCTTGTTCAGTGTGTGCTGCCCCAACAAGATATCAGTTGCAGAAAAGATATTCCGGTCCTAGTTGGCATCTTACCTGTGGCAGATACGTTGCAGAGAGGGCAACTTGATAAAAGGACTTGGGGGTTGTTCTTGTAAGCATTGGAAAGGATTCTTTTCATGACTGACAGGTCCCTAGTATGCCTCTCATCTTCATGTTAGAACCACAATATTTGTTTTTTCCTAAAACAGCTGCTACGGTCATAACAAGGATTGAAGGCAACCCTGTTTAGGGAAGTTTTTAATGTTTGATGTCTTATCGTGTTTTTAATAGTCTGTTGGGAGCCTCACAGAGTGGCTGGGAAAACCCAGCCAGATGGGTGGGGTATAAATAAATTATTATTATTATTATTATTATTATTATTATTATTATTATTATTATTATCAAATAAGTTATGCACAACTGAAACTTTCCCATAATATTACTTTGTGTACAACCTGGTAGGATTTGGGTTTGAATTGCAGAAATCAGCCTTTTTGGTGGGTGGGGTATCAAGGACTGACACATGGAGGAGTGGTTGGGGGGTATAACAGCCTTGCCCAGACTAGTGCCCACAAGATGCTTTGCACTACAACGTCCATCATCCCTTACCATTGACCATGCTGTTTGAGGCTGATGGGAACTATAGTCGAAAACATCTGGAGGGCATTAGGCTGGAGAAGGCTTGGATGTAGGATTGAAGTGCGCAGAACTGCTGTTAATAGACAGGAAATTATATGTGGCTGAGCAGCATGTACGTGTATGGCCCCTGGAGTACCTAGCCCATGTTCCTATAGTTAGTGAGTGTTTGACAGAAACAGCCCAGACTTCCTCAGTCTCTGCAAAACGTGAGGCCTATTAACTTGCTGTTTGAATGGGACCCTAAATGCGGAATCCTCTGCATGTTAAACCAAATCCACACCACGTATTGGCTGTCAGAGTTTTGAGTGGAAAGCTGGAAGAGCAGAGATACCTGCCTCTCATGGAGTTGTACAGTAGAAGAATCTAGCTGGAAATGCTCCAAAATCCTGATATCTGACAGGACCAAGCCAGCGGCAAACCACACCAAGCAAGTTGGGGTTAACTGTTTATAAGCAAAAGCAGAATCTGCACAGGAGCGTCAGGCCTAATGAGTACAGAACTCATCTCTGGCACGTCTTGTCCCCTTGAAGCAGCCTCAGTCATCTCTCTCTCTTGGCCTCCCTCTTCCTGCTTCAGCCTCTGTCTCTGATTCTGTCTCTGCCACAGACACAGATTCTGTCTCTGCCACAGACTACCCCCACTCCTTGTGCCCTGTTACCTCTCCAGCTTCCGACACCTTCTCCCCCCAGTCTTCTCCCTCTGACCACTCATTGTCGTCCTGCCCCCAATCCCCTGGCTCTGAGCCTTTTTCCCTTGAGCCTTTCCCAGTTGGTTCCTCTCACCATTCCTACATCCAATCAGCCCGTGACAATATCTGACTATGGCCTGAATGCCATATTCCATGTGTCGTTGGCACAAAAGCGATTTAGAAGAATCCTTGTCGTTATATATTTTACATGGCTGTTTATTTTTGCATATTTAAAATTTTATATATGGATATTTTATGATGGCCTATACTTGTAATGCCTAATAAAGGTTTGGCGAAGTAAGAAGTACCACGAAAGGGAGCCTCGGACCTGGCGAGCACATCACCTGTTTCCTGAGCTGTAGCCTGGAGACTTTTGGACAATCGCATGAAAATGCCTGGGCTCCCTGTGTTGTTTGATTGGTTCCCACCATATCTTTAGCATCTGTAGCCCTCCAGATGTCTGCATCAGCCCTTGTCCACATGGACAATGGTCCAGGATGGTGGGAGCTTTTTGAGTGATGAAGCCAGTTGCAGAAAGTATCGAAGATAGCGATGCTGTCTTTACTGAGAATACTGTAGCCCTCAGGTCAGAGCTCGCTTTACTGTCACCAATTAGGAAGATGTACCAGTTTGATTCTTGCAAGGCATGAAAATGGCCCATTCTCTCCAGTTTGGGGCACACAAACATTTGCATTGAGGTGTTAATGGGCCATTAGTATGAGAAATTTCCTCCTCACATTTCCCCTTTGCTGCGCCCCGACCATGCTGCTTCCTTGCATCGAGTCACATGGGCCTATAAAATATAATGAAGCCTATAGAATGCGCTGGCATTTTAGCTTTTTAGCAATGAATATCCCGTGGCTGCATAATTCTTTTTTACTTTGTCAGCATCTCTCTCCTTTAATGTGCCTGGAAAAAAAGAGAGAAGAAAACCTGCAACCTTTCATTCCAGTCCCACCGGCTGGGCCCAGGGGAGGAAAAGAGGCCATTGCAATCGATGCCTCTCATTGGAGGGGATTAACAATGTGCCCAGGAGGAGCAGTTCTGCTCCTTTGTGCAGTTCAGCAGCCCTCCTGGCTCAGTGCTGGGATAAGCATTTTGTGGAATGATGAGCTGTAAAAGCCTCGGTAACATTCAATCCTGCCAGTCCGCAGATTCTGGCTTCCTAGTGCTTCTAGGCCTATTTAACTCGGGAAAGCACCAGGAAGACAGGAGGGGGAGGGGCAAAGCAAATGCAGCCCCACCTTTGAGGCTGAGCCCACTGCCCACTTGGCTGGAGCATTCAAGGGGGAAGGAAGGAGGAAATGAACTCTGCTCCTAGCTTGCCTACTATAGGACCTGTTTTGGCAGTGGAGGGAGAGAGTTAGAAAGAAGGGCCTATCCCAAGAGCTTTATGCAAGAAATTATATTCCGTCCATAAGAGAGAGAGAAGAAAGAAAGAAAGAAAGAAAGAAAGAAAGAAAGAAAGAAAGAGAAAGTGTATCACCAGAGGAGCTCAAGTTGGACCAGCAAAAGGGAGTGAGGAATTAACAAGCAAGGGGAGTTTTTAAAATTGTGAGGCATCCAAAGGGGAGAGCATTGGCGAGTGTGTTAGCTTGGTTGCTTTTCTGTCTTTCTCCTATGGGTGTAGCTGCATCATATATGCGGCAAGCGAGTGGGACCCCAGATACCTGGTTGGTTTGCATTCCAAAGGTCCCAGGTTCAATCTCTGACATCTCCAGTTCAAAGGGATACAGATAGCTGGACTTTCTCAGCCTGAGAAGGACAGTAGCCCAGTGGTAGAATGTCCCAGCTTCAGTTTCCAGCATCTACAGGTGAGGGTGGTAGAAACTCCTGTCTGAAACCCTGGAAAGCCACTGCCGTTGAGCTAGATCAATGGTCTGACTTCGTACAGTGCAATTGCATAAGCTCAAAACTTATTTGTTTATTATTTTTCTGGGTCATTGAGTCACCCACCATGACCACCAATCACTGCCCTTCTGCTTTCAGGCTTTTGCAGCCACAAAGACTACAAGTATTTTTTAGCCCACTGGCTGCAGAAACACGCTTGTCTCTTTTCTCTCTTGTTATCCTAGTGTAAATGAACCAGTGCTCAGGCTGGCTCTTTGCCAATTTCATTAAGGAGAGATCTAGCTTTCAAAAAGTGTTTTTGGTTTTTTTTGTCGCTCATCTTTGGTGTTTTATTATATAGGTTTACCATTTCAGTGGGAACCACTTCATGAAGTCCATCTGAACAGTGGCATATAAATATCTGAAAATGAATAATACACTCTGTGCTCTGTGCTCAGGCAAAAGATCAGCTGAATAATGCCCTGGAGCTCAACCGACATGACCTGACATACATGATGCTGGGCAAGATCCACCTGTTGGAGGGGCAGACGGACAAAGCCATTGAAGTCTACAAGAAAGCAGTGGAGTAAGAGCCTTTCTTCTCTTGTTCTGTTGGGGGTGGAGGTGACCAGGAATTAACCTCATTGTACAGAACTAGGAAGCGTTGAGAAAGGTCTTCTCTCGTGGCCCAGGCAGCCATCTTGGGCACAGTTTTGGATTACTGCTCCCACCTTTCAAGTCCTTTTGAAGCGCATGAATTCACACAGGTCTTCAACCCCGAGGCTATAAGCCAGTGTGACAGCCTGCAAATCAGCTTCTTCAAACTATTTCTGAAGGCTGTTCCGATGCTAACATGAGCATTTTCATAGCACTCATGAGGGGAAACAGAATCTGCTGCTGCTGTTCTCACAGTATGAGCCAAGGAGCATATGTCAGCCCCATTTCCAACAAAAGGGGTTCTGTTCAAATAGCCTCTAATAGAATTAGGTTTGTTCATTTTTTGGTGTGTGTGTGTGTGTGTGTTTTTAAGGAATCATTTGTCTTTTATTCCTTCCCCGGTTTGTATTTATTTATTATTTAATAAGTGCATTTAGAACCTGCCTTTCATTGCAATAGATCCCAGGGCAGAGTACAAATTGCATAAAAGCACATAAAACAGCCATGCACTGCAAAGCCGACAGGAACGATAAGAACAGCTGTATGGCCTTTTAATGTAAATCGATCAGAGAGCTTTGCTGTGGTGCAGTATGTAAATTGAAAAACAAAAACAAAATGCAAACAACACCTCTGGTAGAGTGGGGGAAAGCTCCTTTGCATTTGCTGCCCCAGACAATTAAAATACGCAGCAATGGCAGCTGGATGGGTCTGTTAGCCCTGGAATATTCCAAAGGCAAATGTATTTAAGCCTTTCTGTGAGCCCCTTGCTTTCAGCAAGTAAATATTTCTGCCCGGCATGTCATTTGCCATAGTCTTCTGCTCAAGCCACACAGTGGCAGATGAGGGCTTGGTAGTCCTTCTTTAAGGCTGATAAAATGTCTCCTTCACATGCAAGATTGGGGCTAGTCCTCCCATTACGCAGGAAGCAGATCACTTCAAGTGGCAAATTTTGGACCACCATCAAAGGGTAGCAACTTGTACGATATTTACTGTCGTTTATTTTTATCACCATAGTGGGGAACATTTGTATCTTCTGCTTCTGGTGCAGAAATGTCATGGGCCATCTCTGCGTGAAACTCGTTTATGCCCTTGCATAACAATGTATTAATGAGGGCACCAGATGCCATAAAACTCTAGGGTCTCTTTTTCTTTGTTTCAGGTTCTCTCCGGAAAACACAGAGCTCCTTACAACTCTGGGCTTGCTCTACCTGGAGGTATGGGAGGTTGCTAATTGGTTAGTTGTTCGGTTTTGTCCAGCAGCTGTTAATGGCATTCATGTTGAGGCATCCCCATTGCTGCTTTGAGACTTTTCTCAAAAAGTTACACTAGTCTATCTCTTCTAAATATGTGCTTTAGAGCCCCACAGGAAGGAACTTACCTTACGCAGTTGAGCCAAAGCAGAATGCAGATAGGCTCTGCTTCTATAACCTGCTAGTCCAAGTATATGAAGAAGGAAAAAGTAGTTTGTGAGTTTTCTATATAGGAAAGGACCACGTATTGGATAAAAAGGCACCTTACAGAAATTCAGAAATGGCTTTAAAGTTTCCTGGGAATAAGCAATGTCACACAGTTTCGTGAGTCGACAGTTTTCTCTGTACCATAATTCTGCCAAATCCCTAGCTCACTCCCAACATGGTTCTTGTTTATTCAACTTGGGCCTCCATTTTGTCTCTGGGCAGGATTTCCTCATCTAAATGCTTTCTTGATTTCCTAGCAGCCTCAGTAATGGCCCAAGATTATTAGGTTTCTAGTGTTGATTTCCCAGGAGGAAATGATAGAGCTTTGAATTCTGGGGTGTGATATTTGGGGCTGGTTGACTTTTGAGTCCTTTCTCATGGGAGAGCCAGATTTAGAGCATGTCAGCCAAAGATGCGCAGCAGTCCTCTTTAGAGAGTGCGCAGTGGCTTCCTGGTTGCGTTTGATGAACCTCAGAGGGTTGTTTGTTGCAGTTCCTAAAGAACCTGCATGTGGCGTAGGAAGCAACTACGACCGTGGAGTAAAAACCAATGAAAAATGTATTGTGATTCAGTTGTTTAAATATTCTACTGATATTTCCCCCCTTTACTTAGCTCGAGGTTCATCAGAAAGCCTTTGAGTATCTTGGGAACGCACTCACGTATGATCCCAGCAACTATAAGGTAACTCAGGGGATGGGAATATATTGAATTGTTGGCGGAAACAGAAGAAAATCAATATGAATGTCACAAAATGGTAACCTAAGTAAACAGCTGGATGAGCTGGTCAGAGTCACTAAAGCACCTTTTCCTTCTTGGCGCTCTTCACATGTTTTGGACTGCAACTCTTGTCCGCCCTAGTTGTAGTCCAAAACATCTGCTGGGCACCATGTTGGGGAAGGCTGATCTTTCTTAGTCCTTGGTCCTGCCTATCCCACAAGGTTCCAGGTATGTGTGGCTTTGGGTGTATTCCTGATGTGCAGAACCTGTCTCCAGTCATTGTTCTGATAATGCCTTCGCGTTCTTTGCTCACCGACAGTGGTGAAAAGCCAGTTTGTTAGCCCCCTACGATTTGGTTTTTGCTTTATTCTTTTCAAAAGGCGATCTTGGCAGCTGGCAGCATGATGCAGACACATGGAGACTTCGACGTAGCCCTCACCAAGTACCGAGTGGTCGCTTGTGCTGTTCCTGAAAGCCCCCCGCTCTGGAACAACATTGGAATGTGCTTCTTCGGCAAAAAGAAATATGTGGCGGTAGGTGTGTTTTGTGTCACCTGCCTACCCTCTTACCTGAATTTGCATCCATTTGTGACTGTCTTTTACCCCCTCCTTCCCCTCTCCCTAATCCTCCAGCATGCAGAACTGGAAGTGGGGAGGCAGGCATTTCTTTCAATAGCATTGGTGTTCCTCTGGCTATTGCCCACCTAATCCTTGAGCCCTCTGGCACAAACAGAAGCAGGGTTTTATCTTATTTGCACTGATGTTTGGAAAAGATAAAAGCAGTCAGGGTTTTGTTAATTCCATCTTAGCTAGCGTTGGCAACTGGAGAGCAACATCAATGCTGGTTTTGACCTATGAAGCCTTGAACTGCTCAGGACCCATATACCTCGAGGACCGTCTCTCTCCATATGAGTCTACTCAGACCCTGAGATCATCTTCTGAGGCCCTTCTTTGTGCGTCTCCATGAGAAGTACACAAGAATGGCCCCTTTCTGCAGTGGCTCCCCATCTGTGGAATGCTCTCCCCAGGGAAGTTTGCCTGGTGCCTTCATTGTATACCTTTAGGCACCAGGTGAAAACATTCTTCTTTAATCAGGCCTTTGGCTGATTGGCATCTAATGCCCTTTTAAATGTGTTGTGGAAGAAGGGATTATTGGGTTGTCTTTATTTTTGTTTTTATTATCTATTCTGTGCTTTGTATATTTTATATTTTTGTGTTTTGGACCTCTTTGAGATCTCTGGGTATAGGGCAGCATACAAATTTAATAAATAATAAAATAAATGAATGAAGTTCTTCTTGAGAGGCATTATTATTTGGAAGGATCAAGAAAATTGTACCCTTGGCCTCTACCCCTAAAGCAGCCATTTCATAATGCCTTTGCCTCTTCTCTTACTGAATGGAACCATTTCCCCCTGCAGGCCATCAGCTGCCTGAAACGAGCAAACTACCTTGCTCCCTTTGACTGGAAGATTCTGTACAACCTTGGCCTCGTCCATCTGACAATGCAGCAGTATGCCTCTGCGTTCCACTTCATCAGTGCTGCCATCCATCTCCAGCCAAAGCTGGCAGAACTCTACATGTTGTTAGCAGGTAGCACCACACACACCTGCCACCCTTGCCTGGTTACTACAATGGAAATTCTGTTTCTTATTGACGTTAGGGGATGCTACCCTGGTTGAAATCACTAGTATAAATTTATGTAGTGTTTTAAGCACGTGGTTTATTCAATACTGATGATATCATTTCTTCCCTTAATAATCCCAGCAGACATTATTCCCATTATACAGACTGGGAACTTAGTTCAAGAGACTGACTTGCCTAAGGCTACCTCTTATAGTCATGACTAAATGGGCAGTTCGAATCCAGATCTCCCAGGTTCGCATACAACTTTCTGTTCAGTGAACTAAACTCTGGCTTGAAATAAAATCAGCTGCGATGCAGGTGCAAAAGTACCAGATCCATGGGTAAGGAAGACGGAGGATTCCTATCCTTGGTTAGCATTGATCCTGAACGCATGAAGCAAGCTTATACTTAGACCATTGGTCTATGTAGCCCAGTATTGCCTTTTCTGGTTGGTAGTAGCTTCCCAGTGTCTCAGCCATTGGGTCTTTCCCATCACCCAATACTTGAGATCTTTAGCTGGGGATGAAGAACCTCTGGTCCACCAGACATTGTTGGACTACAACTCCCCTTATCCTTCAGCCCTTGGCCATTCTGGGTAGGGCATATGGAAGTCGCAGTTCAACAACATCCAGAGGGCCACAGGTTCCCCATTTCTGCTTTAACTGGAGTTGGCAGGGAGTGAACCTGGAAACCTGAGCAGGGCCTTTCTATCTACAGCTCTTCTAAGAAGACTGTTGTTCCCTGTCTCAAACCTGAACGCTTCTCTTGAAGAGGCCTGTGTGTTCTCTCAGCAAGCTTAATGTGTTGTGACCCTTCCTTAAGAGCATTGCATGGGGGGCGGGGGGCGGTGAATAAAATTCAAACCCTTCTCCACCATCAACTTCCTGGAAGGCAAGTCATTCTCTCAGTCCCTTTCCCAGCTGCAATATGAGAATAAAGACACTGGCCAAAGGTGCAGAATTAATTTAGAATTTCTTCACTTTGCCAGCAAGAGTTACCCCGTTTCCCCTTTCTTGATACAGTTGCTTTGACAAATCTTGAAGATGTAGAGAATGCCAAGCTCGCCTATCAAAAAGCTTCAGCGCTGGACACGTACGTTTCTCAGTTTACTTGGGGCAGTTTACTTGTTAAATAGTGCTCTTTCTGCACCTACCCAAGAGTGGCTCCATAGAGCACATATCCTCTCCCATTTCCTCACTAGCAGTACCTTAAGGCTGGCACTATCTGTGAGCTTTCTTGTTTCTTAGGACCACACTTTCTCAACTTTTGTTTTAATGGGAGGTGGTGGTGGGATCAGGAGGTTGTGCGTGCATGTTTCTGTAAGGGGGTTCTAGTCCATGAAAAGTGTTTTCCACACTAAATCTCCCTCTGGAACTTGCCATATGAACCTAGTTCCACTAGTCAATAGGTGTGTGCAAGTGTTATCCTGCACAGATTAATCTGGAAATGTACTCTGTAAAGGAGACAATCTTGGGCCTCCAGTGTTTGCTGAGCTTCACTTGCTTCTTTCAAGTGCAATTGCATCATTGCTGACCTAAAAACTTAGAAAATCTGCAAGAGTGGGCAGCAAACAGCATCACTTCCCAGGTCCTTAGCAGAGCCAAAGACTACATTAGTTCTAGTGCTCGCAGCTCACCATTTGTAAGAAACCACCTCCACTGTATCTTGTCATGATCTCAAAGATAACGTGTGTGCTACCTGGGAAGGTGTTCTTGGTAGCCACATTATAAAAACCATCTCCTGCCTCAGCTTTTGGGGTGGCTTTTGGAAACCAGCTGGCAGAGGCATTTCTGTTTTTTAAAAACTATTTCCCTTGGGATTAGAGTATTTAACCTCCATCTGCTCCATGTTGTTGGAATAGGATCAATAAACAGTTGCCAGCTTGCAAGTTCCAGGACTATGATAAGGTGCTTTGCCCTATAACTGCAAGGTATTTTGGGGATAGGTTTCAACATGTGCCTCACATGAGTGAAACGAGTTTCAAAGCCAGTTGGAAATCTCTTGCAGTTGGGGGATTACAACTGTGGCATCTAGGATTGTTTATGCACCAACTATTATCTTGCCTCAGAACTATGGAGCTAATTTTGGTCACATTGCACCAAATCCTGCCCAATCCTGACATAAAAGCTGCTGAACTCCAAGCATAAGCACAGCCAGAGGGGGGCAGGGGGGGCAGCTACCCCCCCCAAATCTAGTAAATAAAAATACTTAACTGACCAATTGCATTGCAGATAACTTGGTCCCCCCTCCCCATAAAGGCTGCCCCCTAAAATAAATCCTGGCTACACCCATTACTCCAAAGACACAAGTTCAGTGCATGTTTCCATGCACTTTAAAAACTTCAAGATCTGGCTTCCAGCACAATCATTAGACATGCTCTTAAGAAGCTTCATTTCCATTTAAAAAAAAACCCAGGTTTTTTTCTTCATTCATATAGTTTTGGAGATAACACTTGAAAGGGGGTATGTAGGATGTGTTAAAGGCCCCAAGGGTCTCTTTGCCCGAGGCTGCACTTTCGTACAGCTCCTTCTCCATGTACAGGCTCTCGGTTTTTCATTACTCTCTTACTGTTTGTTCCGCTAATCAGATCTAATATGTAAGATAAAAATTACCTTTGGACACTTACATCATTTTTATTATCTATTCTTCTCATTTCTGAAAAAAGTAGAATTTGACCTACTAGGTTACAGAACTCTTAATTTTATCTGTACTGCAACTGTTTGTTTTTATATGTGGACTTGCTTTCCTAGATGAACTTATTTTTAACTGTTTTGACACTTTCCTTGTGTTGTGGTTGTAATTTTTTTTATATATAACTGTGTATTTTATTGTTGTAACCCTCTCTGGGACCTTATGCTAAAGGGTGGGCAAGAAAGCTAATTCATCCAATTAATAGTTTCAGCAAGCAAAAGGCCACTGCCTAAGAGATCTCACAGATGGATCTTGGTCCTGGCTGTAATACTTGCTGACAACAGTGCAGTTTACCTCCCTTTAGCACCAGTACTATTTATACTACCATGTTGTCTCTCCTGGGTTTCAGGTTCAGCCCGCTGATAAATCTGAACTATGCAAGCCTGCTCTACAATCAGGGGGATAAGAAGGGGGCAGTTCTTCAGTATCATGAGATGAAAAGAAAGGTCCAAGCATTAGTGGATAGCACACCGGAGTTTGACCCTGAGGTATGTTAGTTTAAACCACTGCTTGCAGCTCCCAAACAGCTACACAGCGAGGGGTCGTTTTGTTAGCGGAACTTCAAACAGAGTGTGTGGTTACTGAGACAACTAAGGGGTAGGGGTGGGAGAGAAGAGAGTATAGATGCATCACAAATAGAGCCCTTTAAAATGAGAATGTAACAAAATCCATTTAAAAAAAAATCAGAAACAACTAATACAGTGGTACCTCGTTTTTTGAATGTAATCCGTTCCGGAAGACCGTTGGAGTTCTGAAATGTTCAAAAACCAAAACACAGTATGAAAGCCTAAAAACGGAAAACTCAGTACGGAAACTGCGTGGCATGTTTGACTTCCGAGGCGTGTTTGGAAACAAGCATTTGCTTCCAGGTTTACGGCGTTTGAAAACTGTGAAATGTTTGTCAAATGAGATGTTCAAAAACTGAAGTACCACTGTAGTAGCATGGTTGGGATGCCTTCTTAGCTGTCAGTGGACCTAGATAGCATTCCCTGAAATTGGGTGGGGAGTTTGGGCACCTCTGAGGACGGGGAGGCAGGCACACAGAAAAAGGGCAAGAGGTGCCAAGGTCCAGGAAGATGAGCACCCCTTCCCCCTCACATTTTGCCCTTAAAAAGGGGGGTAGCACATGGTCTCCATGCAAAACGTCTTAGGTTTAATCCCCAGCCCCTCCATATAAGATTGTTGGAAGCCCCGGAAAGCTGCTGGCAGGCAGTGTAATCTGAGCTTGATGGACCAATGGTCTGCTTTTTGTGAAAGGCAGGTTGCTAAATACCAGCATGGCTGTCCAAGTTGTCTTTTGCTTCAGGATCTTTGGCTGGGCAGGATGATGTACTTCAGGGGAACATATGGCAAGAGGTTATACGTGTGTTTTCCCCAAGTTCTCCTTCCTCCTTTGCCTTTTATCAGGGAGAACCTTTGGCCCCCCAGATATTGCTGGGCTGCAACTCCCATCTTCCCTGACTACTAGGCATGCTGGCTGGGGCTAATGGGAGTTGTCAAAAACATCTGGAGGGCTACAGGTTAGTGCCTCTGCTTTATGTGGAAGCAGAACTGGAATAAGATTTGATGGCAATGGTGTTTGCTGACCAGATTCTCAATTTCTTCCCACCCCCATTTCCCTCTTCACACTTGGGCAGATGGTGGATGTAGCTCAGAGACTAGGTGCTGCCTTGCAACTGGGAGAGGTTGCAGTCTGGGCTAAACCTGCTAAAGACTCCAAATCAAAGCAGCGAGCAACTGCATCTAGCAAATCCTCCAGCGCACAGCCTTTGGGCTCTAACCAAGCCCTGGGACAGGCCATGTCTTCTGCAGCTGGGTATGCCAAGACCATGATTCCAGGTATGCCTGTCTACACCATGTCTATTTGCATAAGCAGAATCATTTCCCTTTTTTCTTTTCGTTGTCTGAATGCTATAGACAACCGGGAGCTACACAGTAGCAGTTGTAAGTGTTCACTAGTCATCTGTAACCTCACAGGGAGATTAGCCTTCAAGCAGTTAAACCCAGTGTTGCAAGTGCTCAGGTTAAATGGAGAGGTGGACATAACTGTGAAAAACTTTTAGAAGTAGTTCCTGCATACTTCTGCAGAAAGAAAGAGTTAACAACTTTCATATAGACACAAGTTATGCTCCAGCAAGGACAAGTTTGAATTTAATGGCAAGGGTGGATCCGCATTCAGATTCTGTGCCCACTACTAGCATATAACTTGCAAAAATAGCAGGTGATTTCTCCAGGCAGCTTGGAGACCATGGATATAATACCTAGTCTTAGTCTGTGCTCAAAATGTTCCCAGGTCTAGGTTCAGCAGTGTTGGTTTTATGTATATTCTGCCTTTTACTCAAGTAAGGGATAGTAGCAGGATAGTGTAGAGCAGGAGCAGAGGGAATAAAGGAGGGAACAGGGAATCCTCACAAATCTGTACATGATCTCCACTGATCACTCTGGCTCTTAAAAGGCAGGGGCCTCAGGATAGTTTTGCAAAAGACATTATCTGCTGCAGATAAATCTAAGCACAATTATTGAGCATTTGTTTATTTAACAAAATGTATATACTGTACGGCTTGATTGCAAACAGAACCTCTAAGCAGTTTCTACCCACTAAGATATTGCCCATCTTTTGGGGCCAGAGGGCACATCTGCAAACCAGAGAAACGCTGTGGGCATCACAGACACCCGGCAGATTTCTTGATATAATGCTTCTTCTGTCAAGCCTAATTTTAGCAGGGGGAATAAAACCATGCGGGCAGTAGAAAAAGCCTCTGTGGGCACGTGTGCTCGCTGTTCAGGCTGACCCATTTTCCCACATTGCCCCCACCCAAAAAAACCCAATGTGCAATAGTTTATTCACGGTTCTAGAAGTTACTGGAATGGGAGAAGTTTCCTTCCTCAATCAAGGCCAAAGAGAAATGCTCGTTACTTCAGGCAGACAAAAAAATTCCAGGTTACTTACAATGTGATTTGGTCCAACTAAGCCATAAGGATGCTCAGGAGCAAAGGCTGCTCATGGAATTGGGCTAACCTGCATGGTAAGCAATATAGAAACACTAGGAATTTCACCATCCACCAAAAGCTCTCTCGATTAGAAGAGAAAAGCAAGTTCTGATTTGTGCTCACTTTCATTTTCAGGCGCTGGAACTCAGCTGGCCAAGCCAGTGGAGCCTAAGCCTGCCTCTGATCCAGAGAAAACTGCATCTGCTGAAGGGCAGGAGCCGCCTATGGAACAAGAAAAGGAAACTTGAAGAGACTACCAGGACAGCTTGTGGAGCTGCAGAACCTGCCCTGCGAGTGAGAGGAGCAAGATGTGTAAAGTTGGTATCACCCAAGCCTTGCTCCAGCAAGAGGTTCTCTCTCCATCCTTGAGCCAGCAGGATTCTTGGGAAATGTATAAAATCTAATTTCTTCAATATTCCAAATTAAAAGGATTATGAAAGATGCCCTCAAGATAACAGCAAATGAAATTTGGTAGTAGTCCTGGAAAAAGTTAGGTCTTTGCAGCAAGAGAAGTTGGGTTTTACAGTTATTCTTCAAGTTACTGACAGAAAAACACAATTGTAGAGAGGTGCCCTAAAAATTGAGACTGCAGCATTCCTTGTGCTTTTGTCTTGCCCTCTCCTAACATATCTGTACTGATAGTCGCCAGTGGTTAACTGCTAAAGCCTGAAGCATCTGCTACTGTACTCTCAAACCAAGTTCTCCGAGGTTGTGAAATTTTGAACGGATTAAGCTACTGCTTTAGGATCCCAGAAAGATCAAGCAGACCAATGGTCAGCAGATATCTTTCTTTTCCTATCATTGAAAGGTGGAATTTATCACTACAGCCAATTTGGCTGAATTACTTTATATATAGGGGGAGCTTTTTAAAAGATGTAAATAGAAATATTTAATAAAAGGATTGAAACGCTTCTATTTAACTTGTCCCATGTGTTACTTGATTCCTTATTAACTTTGAAGTGAGATTATGTTTGTTATCTTTTTACCTGGCACATATATATCTTAGTATTGGAAATCAAATACAAGACGACAAGTCTCCGTTGCAAATGAAATAAAAGAGCAATGTTACCTAAGGTTCCAGATTAGATACCTGAGAAACGAAGTTATCAGAGCTGGGCAGGGGCATGTCATGAAGGAAGGGCTCGGCCAGCTTCTTAGTTTCAGTTTGACAGAGGCAATCCCAGCCCCTAGTACTAGCTGTGCATCTAGAAGCAAAACTCAGTAAGGGGGACCCGGTTGTGAAACTGTTTTTGTAGGATGTCTAGAACAATCATAGGCTCTTCACTAGCCAACAGTTCCACCCTACCAACTTTTCTTCATTCTTCGCCAGACCACAGCATTCAAGGACTCACAGCCTATTGTGAATACTACCCTCTCAAAGAGCTTTTGTTCAAATTGTATATTGATTGTGGTTTTCTGATCAGTAGTGGCCAGTGGACAATTTTGAATTGTCTCCTGTTTTGTTTGAGAGAGTGCTTTGTCACTGAGCCACATATCAGTAGGACTTTGGAAAGCAGCATTCAGGCATTAGAGGCACTGCACCACTGCCCTGAAGCCAAGGCTGTATGGTACCTTTGACATGGTGTCAGTAGAAAGGTTAACAATCCCTGATTTACTATGGAGTAGTTCCCCCCGATAAAAAAAGCTGAAAGGGCCATAGGTCAGTGATAGAGAACATACCTTGAATGCAAAAGCTACAGGTTCAATCTCAGACAACTGAATAACAATGGGAAAGTTACCTGTACAAAGCCCTGGAGAGGCATTCTAGTATTGCAGGCCATACATACTGAGCTCTATGGACCAATGATCTTTGTATAGGCACCTTCTGATGTTTCTAGATTAGTCACACACTCAAAGCCATGGAACTTTAAACCAAGTAATTGCCAAAAAAAGAGAGAACACAGTACATTCTAAATGCAAAAGGAATGTTTTATGGTAACACCAGAGTCTTAAGGTTTTAATAATCATATACATTGAAACAGAACACAATGTCCAGAAATACTTTTTTTCATAGGAATTGTACAGGCAGAACAATTTGGCAACAGAAGTTATTGAGAACTTGCTTTCAAGGATGATTTTTAGCTCTTGCAAAAGACACCTATTCTATCCCTGCTATTTACAAAAGAAGAAAACAGGAAGTGTAGCTTGCACAGCACAGGTGACTTTCGCCACCCTTTGTATTAGCAAGTGCCAGACACCAAGACGACAGGAGCTTGGTTTCTGAAGCCTCTGATCCCATGTTAGATTCTGGGGTCAGCAACTCCCTGAGAATTCTGGTGGGACAGAGAGCTGTTCCAATTTGACAATGTGGGCAAGAAACTATACCATTCAGAAGAGCAAAAAGCTCACTTTAGCTGTCACATTAAAGAAACAACTGGGTGTAAAGAACAGGCTAGAACTCTTAGCAAAGCTTTACTTTCTATCCATAGGGTTTCAGATATAGAGAGGATGAACCTGCTTCAGTATTCTGCTTCACAGAATATTTTCCTAGTGCAAGGAGAGTTGTAAGGAAGACTTTGTCTCACATCACCCATTGGTAAGAGGCCCTGGCACTGGGCACTCACATTGTTATTGCTGTTAAAGCTGGGTTGGCTTGTGGCCAAGTGGATAGGCTCATTCCGTAGGCTGAACAAAACAATTTATTAGTATAGCAACTGATGACCCTCAGAGTCCCTTCCAACTCTACAATTCTATGATTCTGTATACAGGAAAGCACCGCAGGCAGAGGAAAGGGGTAGGCAGTGTCCAGGTGTTCAGGAGAAGTACTAAAACCAATGCATTCAAATATCTTTTTTACAGGTACTCTTAGACACAATTAACTTGAGGCTTCGGCTTCTAGCTGGTAGGAGAGGACTTTGGGTTCCATGTTCCTTCTGCCTTTCTAATGAAAAGGGTGAGTAAAATACAAGAGTGCACAGAAGTAGGCTCACCTCTACCCAGGGCCACTCTTGATTCAGGTAGGAATTACTGAACTCAAATAAACCTGTGTTAACAAGAGCGGCAGCGGCGGGGGGGATAAGGTTACCAAGGCCGCACATATCAAGTAGAGAAACACATGTACAAATGGAGGCTGTCACCACTGGAATATGTGTGATAATAAATAACGACATGTGGATCTAATTAGGATACAGTTTTGCGAAGAGCAAAGGAACTAAGAAAAACCCAACAAGCACCACTGCTGTATAGCTGCCATTCATTTACTTCGTTTATGGAATGAAAACAAGTTCTACAATAGTGCTTTGTACAGTACACCCTAAACTCAACAGCAAAACCTGGAAAATAAAGCTGCATATTTAACCACTGTGATTTGTCTCACAAAAGCAGCAAATGCAAAGAGAATACTTCAGTCTTACAGCTCAGGATTGCTAACATGCTTTCCTAGTGACCTGTTCCGAGATGTCTAAAGTCAGAAGCCCTTCCCACAGAAACAAGAACATGATTATGTAGTACAGTCAAGCTCCCTGTTCTTAAACCTTCATCTAAGCAAAGCACAGCCCATGGTCTACTGCAACCCTTTGGAGTCCTTTTTGGTAATACTATTCATGCACACAGAAGCAACACTTTTGCAAGGTGATGTTTTGGTAAGAGTGTTATACTGACGTTCTGTACTTGGATTTATGCCAGCAAGCATATGAGTGTAAATAGACACAGCTAGCATCTTAGTGCCTGCAGCTGGGTAACAAAATGCCTGCAGGTGGGGCACACTCAAGTGAGGCCTACTCTGCTGCAAAGAGCCAAGAGAAGCCAATTGACTAAGGACAAAACTAGCTGAGATGGTAGCACATCTGTATTATCAAAGTTCTCTACCATACTGGTATAAATAGGGGAAGAGATGTCAGTTCCAGATGAAGAGGAAAATGGAACATAGGAAGCTGTCTTGAACCAGGTCTGACTAGTTGGTCCCTCTAGTCCAGTACTGTCCATGCTGGCTGGCAGTAGCTCTCCAGGGTCTCAGACGCATCAAAGTATTTCTCGTTATCTACCACTAAATCCTTTAATCTGAATATGCCAGTGACCTGAACCCGGGACCTTCTGCATGCAAAATGAGTGCTCCACCACTGAGCAAAGGTTCTGAACTTTTCCTTTGCCCACAGCTTTCCATCACTTCCTCTTATTTTCTTATGAAGACTCAATATTTGGATATAAACCTGGCTAAGAGGAAAATAGCCAGGGGTAAGCAGTGAAGAGAACAGAAAGCAGAGGAATGGTTCCTGCACTGCTACTTCTCCACCTGAAGTTGCTACCCCACCTCTGTTTTAACAACTCTTCAGCAGCTAACTGCATGGATCATCTGTTGCTACTGCCTTTAAATGCAGCACTGAAGTAGTAAAGAAGAGACCACCCTTCACAGTTCTCTACCCCTGGGCTGACAGAAAAAGCAATTTGAGCAACAAGCATTATACCTTGATGTAAAACTTGTCAGGATGCCCTAAGCCACTGTTTTGAAACTTTTAGTGTGAGAACACATCCTTGATCAGGTTCAAGACCTATATGTCAATTCTAATTCTGAATTCAAACCTTATCAGCCCTTATTATAAAGTCCTTTTGATGGTTTTTTCTATAGAATGCCCCCCCACCCCCACCCAGTCTCCAGACCACTATCTGCAGCAAAGGAAAACTTTCAGCAAGACTGGCACTCAGAGCGCTGGAAGAATTGAAGTCATCCTCCCTGATTCTCACTCAAGAGGCCCCACCACTGCTTTTGGTAGAAGACACACACAGAACCCCTAGCACAGGTTTAAAAACATTTGAAGTAACATCTAGTTTGACCTTAAGAGACAACAAAATCTGGAAGATATTACGTATACAGTGCAAAATTTCTGCTCACCTCAGCTAGCACCACATTGTAAAAAACTAATGAAAATCTGTGCTAATCAGATGGAGTCCTGCAGATCCTGTTATGTTCCTTAATTGTAAAGGCATTGGTAGCTACCTTAAGCCCTGTTCAGATCTACCAGCATTAATCATACCCTGACCTGTTTTAATCATATCTACTGGCATTCTAGGAATTTTCAGTTTCATCATTTGTTACTACTGTAGCCCACCCTTACTCTGAGGCTTAGTACAGTTCTTAACATCACAACAAGCCCATGAGGTAGGTTAGGCAAAGATAAAAGCCTAGGGAGAGCCATGTCTGGGTACAGATTTGCACGTGGATTCTCCCATCCAAACCCAACACTCTGCTAACGTAGTACATCACTGCCAGATTTTGTCCTCATCCTGAAGTCAAATTTCATATCTCAGATTCTATATAGTTCTATTGCTATGCGTAAGTACACAGAAATGAATATGGATTTTACACACACAACCAGCTCAATGGAATTTCCTGTGCTATGAGCAACACTTACAATGATCATGTGATCACAGCTCCACATAACCTTGCAGAATAATACAGTAACCGTGGAATAGTAGAATGTGCCAGGTCCCTAGCCTCTTCTCCACTGAAAATTATGTTTATGCCATTTGTTAGGAGTCATTTCAGGTTTTGTACATTACATTTCTTTGGAATTTGACCCAGACTAATTGTCACTTGTTAAGCAGACCAGCAATTGTATTGTATACTCTCACTCATAGTAATGATCTCTAAGTCACTACTTAAGAGGCTATTGAGAGGTAAAATAATTGTGTGCATGAGCATTTGGTATGCAACTGTCTTAAAAGTAGATTAACCTGACAGCAATAAAACAAAACAGAGGATCAAAATTAGCATACACTAGCTGAGGAAGCACATGTGACAAAATGCCACACTCTCAATATTTTGATGTTCACTTCATGAGGTCGAAAAAAGGTACCATTCAGCATCCTTTCCTTGCCGCAGAACAATTTATGATGCTTTCATCTTGCCTACCTCCCATTTGTAGAGCTTACAGAACAATCTTTTGTACTATTCACTTGGGACAGTGTTCCCTTTGGCATGGTGCAGCCCAAGTGCTATACTTTTTCATTCCACCACTACCAAACAAAAAAATGGCTCTTGCCATGTTCGGAATGTGATAAGAGGTAACACAATTATCTTTTACCTTTGCCTTCCCAGAAATATGACGGTGTAAAAGACCAAAATAACCTTCCTGTGATAGCTAGTCACATCAAACTTCTTTCAGCTCCCAGCTTTTTAAGTTACCGCAAATAAGACTGGCTTACTTAAAGCAGAAGCTGTTTTGGTTTAAGTTGTCATTCTGGGCAAAAGGCAGCCCATATATCTAACAAGTCATACCTCACTATTTAATTGTAGACATCCCTGTAGCAACACGCAGCAGCTGAGCTGTGCCTAACTTTTATTCTTTGGCTTTCTACTAAATGCTAACTTCTAGCCCATGCCTGCATGGTTCAATTTTTGTGTGGAGTGTATCTTAATTCCACAGGTTAATGAGGGTAGATTTCTGAATAAAGAAGTCCTTCAGCAGAAATGGCATCACCAAGGCCAACGGTCCGCAGGGGATCTTTGCACACCAGAACAGGAGTGTAATGGAATGTTACCCCATCCCTGTGCCATTCTGACACAGGCTCGTGGGGATTTAAGGAGACTGTAGAGGCCTCCTCCATCTTAGAAGTGGCAAACTCCAGTGGCGCTTTAAGGAAAACTCTGCTGGCATCAATGGTTTGGGTGGCACAAGCTTGTGTCCCTGCTACTCTTGCACCAGCAGCAACAGCTGCCACCTGGTTGGCCCAATATCCATCCACAGTAACTAGGAGGTGATAGGCCAAAGTGTGAAAGTGGATACGAGTAAGATCTGATGCCTTCCCAGGAGTCCTTCCATGTTCCTTCAAGATCCAGAAGACAATGTCACTGACAACACCCACATCTGGGACACCATTCCAGGAAGCCAGTGAGGCATGTGGTCCAGAGGCTGCTTGAGTGAGGAACAGTAGCTCCTGTTCATTCAAACCAACTGAGTTCACAAGAGGGAAGACCTGCTAACAAACAGAGCAAGTGACAGATTGGCTTCAGGGGAGTCCAATTTTTAGATTAGGCTTTGACAAACATATAGGAACCAGTGCATGCAAAGCTAGCGTAACGTAAGAACGTAGGAAGAACCTTGCTGGATCAGACCAAAGGCACATCTATCCAGCATCCTGTTCCCACAGTGACCAACCAGATGCCCATGGGAAACCCAAAAGTAGAACTGGTGTGCTACTGTACTCTCCCCATCTGCAATTCCCAACAGCTGGTATTCAGGGGCATACAGCCTCTGGCAGAAGAGGTAGAGCGTAACCTTATCTTCTATGAATTTGTCTAATTCTCTTTTAAAGCCGTCCATGTAGGTGGCCATTGCTACCTCTTATACAGCAAACTGCATAAATTAATTATGAGATGTGAAGATGTACTTTGTCCTTGATCTTCCAACATTCAACTTCATTGATTGGGCCAAGTTAATTTATCATGAGAAAAACCTTTTTTATATCCATATTCCACATCATGCATAATTTTATATACCTCTATCGCGTCCCCTCTTACTGCCTTTTCTCTTAATAAAAAGCTACAAGTGTAACCTTCCCTCATAGTGGAGTTGCTCCATCACCTTGATCATTTTGGTTGCCTTTCTCTGAAGCTTTTCTAGCTCTACAATGTTGTTTTTGAGGTGAGGCAAACATAACTTTACATAGAATTCCAAATGTGGCCACACCATAGATTTCTATAACAGCATTATAATACAGGCAGTTTTATCTTCAACTGCTTTGCTAATGATCCCTAACGTGGCATTCACCTTTTTCACAGGTGCAACACACTGTTCTGACACCTTCATCAAACTATCCACTAAAACTCCAAGATCTCATTCCTGGTCAGTCAGGGCCAGTTCAGATCTCAAGAATACATATGTGAAATTTATACATATAATTTTGCTGCAATGGACATCACTTTATACATGCTTATTTTGAAATGTATTTGCCATTTTACCACCCATTCCCTCAGTTAGGAGGTGTTTTTTTGAAGTTCTCCACAATCCAACAATTTGTTATCAACAACAAACTTTGCTCCCTCTTTTCTCACCCCTAGCTCTAGAGCATTAATGCAAAAGTTAAAAAGCATAGGTCCCAATATGGATTCTTGGGATACTCCACTTGCTATACCCTTCCATTGAGAAAACTGTCCATTTATTCTTACTCTCTATTTCTTGTTTCTTAACCAGCTGCTGATCCACAAAGGACTATGTATTTTGACTGCTAAGCTTAGTAGTAAGGAAGTTTGTCAAAAGCTTATTGAAAGTCTAAATACACAGTTTCCAATTGATCACCTCTGTCTGCTTGTTGACTCAAATGACTAACAGATTAGTGAGGCAAGACTTTTTGGGGAGAGTACAAGAAGTTTGTTGACTAGAAGTCTGAGGTACAGGTCATACCCTGCCATTTAGGTTACCTGATGAATGATTGCGCTCATAAGTTCTGGGTCAGTCATACTGGCCAGTTCCAGGTGTACAGGTACACCCATGGGAATGTCAGAGATGGAAGCTACAGCCTGCAGAAAACAAAGGAAAAAACTTAATAGTAGGAAAAAAGGGGGTGGAGACAGAATGACCTTGATAAAAAGTACAGTATTATATATGCTGCAGATGTAGTCATATTTATAAAGCTGCAATCCCATAAAAGTAGTCTAATGGAATTCAACAGTCTAATTGAACCCTGAGGGCTTACTTCTCAGTGGACATGTATAGGATTGCCCAGTAAATGAGCTAGTGGACAGAGGCCCACACATATCCTAGAGTGCTACAAAATTAAAAACAAGTCCTTTGTAGGGCAATGACTGTACCTAATGCCCTGCACAGTGACAAAAGGACCAACGGAGTGCACCTTGGAATGCCTTATAAGTCTGAGGGAACAAGGCGCTCTTACCTCTAGGAGTCTCTTCTGACGCATCTCCTTTGTCTGTCCCTCCATCATATGCAGACCTGAGAGGACCACCAAGTCAGGCTGGAACTCCTCCAGACTGGACACAAATACCTCCAGCATGTTCATGGCCCCATTAGATAGGTCATGAGAGAAGATAAAGCGGTTGGCATTCGGGGCTTTCAGCTGCCCCCACTCTTCACCTAAGGAATACCCCCAAAAGACACACAATTATATGGTATCCATATAGATAGGCCATTGAATTACAGTTTGACCTTTCATCAGAGTAGCAAGTAGGGTGGGTTTTATTTCTCCCCATCTGCGTTCTCCTGCAGGATACAAATATCCACACCACATTACTCAATGCACTATTACAAACTGAAGTATTTAAACATAAGAAGAGCCTAATGGATCTGGCCAATGGACTATCTAGTCCAGCATTCTGTTCTCACAGTGGCCAACCACATGCCTTTGAGAAACCCACAAGCAGGATTTGAGTACAACAGCATTCTCCCCTCTTGTGGTTTCCAGCAACTGATATTCAGAAGCATTGCTGCCTCCAACTATGGAGGCAGAGCATAGCCATCATGGCTAGTAGCTGTCAACAGCCCAGTTTTCCAGGAACTTGTCTAATCCTCTTTTAAAACCATCTAGGTTAGAACATTACTGCCTTGTGTGAGAGCGAGTTCTAGTGTTTAACTATGCACTGCATGGAGAAGTGCTTTCTTTTATATGTCCTGAATTATCCAACTTCTTTGGATGTACACAAGTTCTAGTGTTATGAGATGGGGGGGGGGCTTCTCCATCCACTTTCTCTATGCCATGCATCATATATGAACTTCTATCATGTCACCTCTCGCTTGTCTTTTCTCTAAACTAAGAAGTCCCAAACACTGCTACCTTTCTTCATAGGGGAGTTGCTGTGTCCCCTTCATGAGACTCCCACTAAGTCTCAATAGTTCAACAATTTGATTCTTAAGTACCTCTACCCTTGCTGAATGAAGCCACATTGTTTGAAGCCCAAGGCATTTCCAAGAGATGCTGTTTAAGAATATGCAAGCAAGCCATGCCCTGCTGAACTGCCATGCATTAGTAATTTAACATGAAAGCAGAGTGCTATCCCTTTAGCCACAGCTCGTGAATTCCTCACAATCTTGAGAGGATTTGAATCCTACAGTCAGCTGCAGCCTTCAGTGGGCATGAGGGAAAATTCTATGCTGAACAACAAAATGTGAGATAAATTAATGTGGATCAATGAACAATAACCTGGGTTTCGGAGCTGGGTTTATCCTAATAATTACATGGCAATATTGGCTGCATTTTTTTCTCTTTCAAGAGACCTTTTTAAAGAAGTGAAATCTCTCTCCTTTCTCCATCTCAGATACAGTAATCCAAACACTGGCAGCTTTGATTCTTTCAAAGCCCAGATTTGCAAATGTGTTTGTGTAGCAGCTGCACCCCTGAACACATATCTCTTTTGATTCTCTTGCAATGAATGTTTTTAGCCAAGAGGGAAGAAATGTGATCATCTGGTTGTTGCCATAATTTCAGGGGCTGCCTACTAAGACAGTTGTCTATACTGGAGCAAACCCACAATCTACAGGCATTTCAATCCAGTGCAGTGCTATAATTTTGGGGAAAGAGGTGATGCCCCTTACTGAATTCCACAAATTACAGCAAAATCATACCCCACCCATAGCTTTATAAAATCAGTAGCTAAGACGCCCACACTTTCTGCTCATCTCTGTAACTCTCTCTGCTCCCCCTGTAAATTCCAAGTGCCAAACCTATGAGAGCTCTGCTCATGCTCAACTTGCATAAATGTGCACAACTAACAGGATTGGGCACCATATACAGGGGAAAGTGCTCTTGTGCTTGAGTTCTGCTTGTGGGTTTTGTTGTAAACAAAATCTGGTCTTGTTCCATTACGGGGTACACAAGAGCCCTTATAGAGTCCTTTGTAGGTTCTCCATCGGTAGGAGAAAATAATAGAGGCCAACCAGAGAATATTGAGAAACAAAGCAGCTAGTAAGCCTGATCTTTATTAACGCTGTTGCAACAGGGTGCTCCCTTCACACACAGGATAGCGGAGAAGGACCCAGAACAAAGGTGTGCCTGCCCTTATATAGACATTTTAAATTGCCTGCCCTGGAGTCCAAGACCACCCCAGAAACATCATACATACATCAGAGAAGGGGTGTAGCCCAAGACCACCCCCCAGATACATCATATCTGCATTATAGAAAAGGTGGTCTACAACAGAAATTCGAATTTTGTTGTTTTTCCTGTCTGCCAGGTTATCTGATAATGCCTTATCTGATTGCCTTTCCTGGTAGTCTGGCCCTTCCTTTGAGATGGTAATTACTTATTTCCTGAGACAATGGGAAGGTTTCTTTCACCTCCTCCCTCCTTGCAGAGAAACATTTGGTCAGTTTGGGAGTCAACATGGTTTCAGGACTGTCTTCCTGTGCTGCTCCAGACATGTGGTTTATATATTTATGTACGTGTTTGCTTGCTACATTTATTATAAATCTAAAACCTTAAAATTCTTCTAACAGTTTCCACAGGCAACTGTTTGACCATTGTTGAGAACAGGATGCTGCAGTGAATGGGCCACTGGCCTGGTCCAGCAGGCTCCTCTTAACATTTTTAGCAGTTAGGAATTCAACACAGAGTCAGTTTATTTTTTAATATGTGGGAACCAGTCATGCTCCTATTCTCTGTGTATCAAGCAAAATTGGGAGCACAAGAATGCTTTTAGAATTATCTTTTAGAAAGAAAAGCATGATAGAAATGATGACTTGAAATAAAATGTGCACTGGAGACACAATCATGCCCAGCATTTCATTCTCACAAAGCATATATTCAATTTGCTCTGAGAAGAAGCCAGTTATCACTCATCCACAATGCCACAGGAAGAAACTAAGAAATGTTCTCGATTACTACCAACCAAGCCAGGAATTTATAAGAAGATCAAGTGAATTCTGGGTTATAGGTTTCATTCCAACTCCACTTAAAGAAAGATCATTTAGATTTTTCACTTTGAAACATGCAGGCACACTAAAGACAAAGAGTATAGCAATGCTGTAGAAAACAGAGGAAGAAGAGCATTTTGGGGGCTCTAGTTCAAATGGAAAAGAGCAGCTTGCTGCAGCTTATGCTGCTTCTTCACCCAGCAACCTAGGAAGCTGCATAAATCCAGCAGGAGTACCAGACTCCAAAACTGGCAGCTCTAATTCTAATTTAGATTATGCTTGACTGCTAAGAAATTTACTTGAAATGTAAATAATAAAGTCAAAAATAAACTAGGGTTATAATCAGTACCACTGTGGCATCTAAGCAACTTTAAAAAACCCCCTCAAGTTTACAAAAATCTGAAATCAGTGAACTCTGCCAAACAAATGCATATTCCCCAGTAAGTTAACCTAAACACTTCAAAGAACAGGATTTCCTCACTCTCTAACCCTGACAGCATCTAGGAAGAATCAGCACACTCAATGAACTGTTCCCAAGATAATAAAGTACTCAGAAGGGAAGTACCACGTGGAGCTACACCACTTAAAAAAAGAGTCACTTCTAAGAAGCTAAGGCTCCACCCAGAACACTTGCAACAGAAACACTTGCAGCAGTAACACATAAATTTTAGGTTACTCCTCCACCCACTTACAAAGTTTAGAAACAGCAAAATGACTCATCACCTACATGCTAACATATCTGATAATCAGCATTTTTGTCATTTAAAGCGGAAGATACAGTTTTCAGACAGAATATCATAAAATATCAATCTAATCTAGATTATCTTCTTGCAAGAAGTTTTGCAAAAACTCGTTGCAGAAATGGGTCATTTTCACATTGTATTTCAAGTAAAAAAAATATGTAACTGCTTAATGCTCTGAATTCTTTTTCTGGAGCACAACGTTCACTGCCAAAAGTCATCACAACTTTCATATTGGGCTTCTCCTCAAACTCTACTAAATGAAACTAGGTAAATGAAATCAGAAACCATCTCACCAATTTCCACACAGTGAAATAAAATGAAGTTATTGTTTTCTACTTTCATACTAAGTAACCTGTAACAGAACCACCAATTTATAAAAGCAGACCTATTCACAACACTCACTATAGGAAATAAAGATCCTGCTTGCATCAGATTGCTTGGTGCTGTATTACAATGGGTGTGGTGCACTGGTGTCACTGCCAGTTTTTTCTTCCTTCATAGACTTTTCCAGTAGAATTTCTCTAGAAATTCACATTTCAACTCAGATACAATTCAAGTTTAAATGGTCCCATATGGTCCCCTTTAATAAGCATGGATCCTTTCCAAAATGCTTCTTCTGCGCAAACAGCAAGTCAACAGCCATTCAGAAGCATGTGTCATATTCACAATTGTATTTTGCCATTTTTAGATATATGTTGATCACTAGTGTGCCAGTACCCACATTTATGTGAGTATGTGGTGTTGTTGGCATTTTTATGCAGCCCTTCAGCCAAAAAAATTCTCTAAGGAAGGCTTACAAATACTAAATGAGCAGAAAATCCATAGCCTCGGGCTCATAATTTGAGACAACACAAATGGAAAAGAAACTATTAATGAGACTGATCCAAAGTGGTGCAACCCAACTTCCTGAGAAGATGGCCAAACCTCCTGGGAAGAAGGCTGGACCAAAATGGGGATATTTTGTGTACCCATATTTAGGAAAAACACATCATACTGCTTCATCCTGAATTTGAAAGGGCTTATTGCACAGAGTCTGATCTTGGACCTGAGTGACATTTTATAACAAGTAAACATGGGTGGAGTGTTCCTGGGACACCACGAGTTAGTTAAATGTCACAGGAGCTTTTCCATTTACTCAGTCTACTGTTTGCAGAAAAGATACGGTGTTTGTAAAAAGAAATACGATTGATTTAATTAATCCAATGTATTAGAAACAAGCTCTCATTCTTGCTGCTTGGTTGTTTTTTTGATATGGCATTGGACTCTGGAACTATGTGGGGCAGGGTGTAACCTCCTGCTTGACACCAACATGTGCCAGGATCATCACTGACTCACACAGTAGGAAACTGCCTATCTGTCACATGGATACCCTCACTGCTCAAAACAAAGCCAAACCTCTTGCTCCCCACACCCCGCACTCCACAGCATGGCAGTTGAACCAAATTACTCAGTAGCCACATACTTTCTCTACCAGAGTGAATCACTCTATCAAGAACTCCCTTCGCTCATGCACCTACTTCACAATGCAATCTCCCATGTCCAATTTTAATTTAAGCTACTAAAAGCTTAAAACTGACAGCAGAGACCCTGGATCAATTTCAGATGAATCAAACCAAACCTTTAAATAACTGAACCACATTCTATATTGGGCTACAACTAACAAGCAGCAGTATTTTGTGAAGAACAAGGGATTCTTCATCAATGAACCAAAGTACCTCAATGCTGCACTTGCAGTGTCTTCAAAAATGTAATCAGGGCTTCTATATTAGATACTCTCACTTCCTAAGAACATCACAACTGGGAGTATACAAATTATATTTCTAGATTCCATAGCAGGTTTGGTTGTCACGTTTTTCTAAGCACATTTAAAAAGAGAAGTAAGAATTACATTTCCTAGATGATGTTATGAAGCTAATTACGGTTTTGATATGGAAAGCAGCTCACAGCAAACACACAACACTTGATAACAGCTTTCCAAGCAATTCTTCAACATAGAAAAATGTAAAGCTATAAACATGCATGAAGACCATTAAGCAATTGCCTTCTTTAATTTAGCACCAATTTTCAAACTAATGCTGATAATATAATATAGCAGTTTCTTTCAGTGCTCAATGTACATACATAAACACCTGTAATCTTTATGGTCACAATACAAAAGGTAGGCCACTACTATAAAACTCAAATTACAAATGGGAAGATGAGGCCGAGAGATCCTGGTTACCCAGTGGGTTCACAGCTGAAAACTGAAGCAGACTTACCAGCTGATAGCTAGCTCACTTCTTAAGCACTGTGCTACACCAACAACACAACACAACACATTAATGCTGGTATATATACAAATACAGTGGTACCTTGGGTTACGAACAGCCTAGCCAACAAACTTTTTGGATTACGACCATTTCAAACCCAGAAATGAGTGTTCCAGGTTGTGGGGGGTTTTTTTGCTTTTGTTTTGTATACGAACGTACTCCTTTCAGAGTCAGAGGTGCACTTCCATTTTGAGTGCCACACCTCCGTTGTCCGGCAGAGAAAGGGATTGTCACAGCGTTTCCCGCAGTGAGGGAGAGAAGCTGCGTGCCCGCAAACCAGCTGGCTCTCCTCTGGGAAAACCACGTGGCCTTTCCATGCACCTCCGTCTCCCAAGTGGCTCAGCAGCAAGAAAATGTTCCCTCTGCCCGGCCGGGCTGCAGGAGGAAGGCGCTCTGCTCACAGAACGGCGGCGGCTGCTCCCCAGGAACTATGTGGAGGCGTGCGTACAGCTGCCTTGGCTGCCCGCCCCAGTAAGTTGGAGGAGGCAAGTCCAGCTGGCCGCCGTTCTGCGCACCTGGGAGTAAGCGCCATGCAACTTAATGGCACTTTCTTCCGAGTAAACACGTCCGGGGAAGAGAGGCGGGCGGGTTGGATGGAGCTCGCACGCTGCCTTTGTCCAGCCTCGGGAAACATTCTCCTCCCGCAGCATGGGATGTTGCACACCCACAAAGCAGCTGGCTCTCGTCTGGGGAAACCACGCGCCAGAGCGAAACTCCCCCGCCCCCGCCGCTGTGGGAGGCGTGCGCTCTAGGGAGCATTTCCCGCAGCAGCGAGGGGGGGGGGATCTGTGTGGATCCCAGTTCAGCTGCTGATTGATTGACTGATTTGATTGTGGAAATGGATAAAAGCCCCCCCATCCAAACAATGACTATAATCAGTGCAGGTAAGAATTTTTTTAAATTTTCATTTTTATTCTCTGAAATCCTGTCTTATTTATTTTATAGTACAGTACATTGATTATTGCTTTCATTTTATGATCAATGGCCTTGTTAGATAGTAAAATTCATGTAAAATTGCTATTTTAGGGGTTGCTTTTCATCGCCTGGAACGGATTAATCCATTTTCCATTACTTTCTATGGGAAAGCACACCTTCGTTTAAGTACGCTTTGGTTTAAGAATGGAATTCTGGAACGGATTAAGTTTGTAAACCAAGGTACCAGTGTACAGCTTTGGGCCTTTTGCATCTTTCAATAAAGCATACCTGCTCGATACTCCAAAATGAGGTGAAATTCATCAAATTCTTGCACTGATTCTGGAGGGACGATTACATTTTCATCAAGCAGCTCATGCAGCTTAGGACCAATTGGGCCACACAGCAGAACCTACAAATCAACCAATTGATACCAGTTAACTGTTATCATCTCTGTTTAGTGCAATCTTCAGCAAGATGGTCCTCACTCTAATAGAGACACTATAAACTGGATTCCTATGCATTCACTTTTCTGTCCTGTTCCAAATAGATGAAATATGTGTGTAGACTGGTCATACAGTTCTATTGTCAGAATATTTCAAAATAAAATAACCATGTGTAACAAGCTCTCAGATTCCAAAGCCCATTCTGAAGAAACAGTTGAGCATCAAGTGTGGGGGTGGGGGTGGGGGTGGGGAGAAGTCAACTCACTTAACAACCAATACACCAATAAGCACCCTAATATGACATTTCCACACTAGACGGCAAATTACAAACATGATATGGATCACGTCCACAGTTGAGATGTTAAGTCAACTTTCCTATGAAAATGGGCATGTCTTTTGCTTCTCTGTATATCCGAATTAGCTTAAAAGACATTTAGTACTACATCTTTATCACCAACAATAAGAGTTCTATGTTGTCTGGAAATGGAAGTACTAAGAACACAGCTTTTCTCCTATCCATGGGACTGATGAGCATGCGAGTTTGAACACTGTCTGGCTTCTTCTCTAACAATGAGTTCTTCCTATTAAAAAAAATAAATGAAGCCATGCAGAGCTTCTTGTACTAGGAATATGTGGGACACGGGCAGGAGGGAGGAGACACACAAACAATTTTGCATATCAATATCTCATAGCACAAGTTATTACTACTACTGCAAGGTTGGCAGATGTTGGTCATCCCTGGCCATTGGCCACACTGGCTAGGGTTTATGGGACTTGTAGTTCAGGAACATCTGGAGGGCCACCCCTATTCTAAAAGACCATGTATACTGATGTCATAATATGAATAGCTACTATTACATATAACAGCTGAAATAAGCAGACAGTTCCAATAACTTGGTCCACTAAGTTACATATACAAATGTATATGGACACTTGGAAAAAGTGACATTCCACTACAGATTGATTCCTTTTGACATTCCAAGTACATCTCTATGCACAATACTAGAGGTAAGAAAGAAGTAATAACCCCTTCTTCCAAAGAGTTAAGTGAAATATTGTTTAGAACTTTCCTCCAAGTTCTTTTAATTTCCTGGTATGTCTAATCACATTTGTTCACTCAGCAGCTCCACACATTCTGCTACCAAGCTGCAATTGCTGTTTTCTCAGCCATATACTGCTTCTCATAGTCAGAGGCCTGGTTTTATTTTTTATTAGAGTAACATACGTCACACGTGTGCCTCTCAGCTAGAGATGCCAGGAAGCAATGGTAGTTACACTTTAGTAAAGTAACTTGCACAACTGCCTTTGCTTGTGCTGTTTTTACTTATTTCATACATTATTACCCAGCACTTTGCCCATGTACTACTCATTGCCTAAGCATAATCAAAAAGCCAGGCATGGCACCGGAGTGCCTCAAGCAATAGCTATAAGCATGTGCATCACTAGAAGAAGTTTGTGTCATCAAAAGGAAAATGAAATTTTCCACTGAAAAATTCTTCTGCATCATGCCTGCATTTTTACTGGATAAAATGGGGACAAGGATTACATGTTACGTTCAGGATTTTAAATAGGAAAACCAATGAGAGGAGGTATACAGTTATAGGCAATCAGTGAGGGTTGGCATTTGATATTCTTACCTTTAGGTCTGGATTTGTTGCAATTTTCTGGCCAATGAGAGCAGCATTGCCTCCCACATACAACTGTTAAGACACAAATTTGTGCACACATTTAATCTGCAATTTCTACATATCTTTACATGATCACAGTCCTTTGCAAAGTTTTATATGTGTACTATCAAGAATATAACCATAGTTATCAGTGGAATAAATACGTTCACTTATCTAACTACTAGTATGCCAAAGCTGCAGCAAGGCTGCTCTACTCACTTTGGCCACTGACTGCTTGGCTCTCACAAACAGTTAAGACCCCTAGATCCTTTTCACATGTACTGCTAGTAAGTCAGGTTTTCCCCATCTTATATTTGTACACGTGGTTCTTCCTATCTATGTGCATTACCTTACATTTGTCCCGACTGAAATTCATTTTGTTAGCTTGGGCCCAGGTCTCCAATCCGCTGAAGTGATTTATAATTCTGTTCTGTGTTTTGTGGCATTAGCTACCCCTCCCAGTTTGGCGTCATCTGCAAATTTGATGAGCATCCCCTCAATTCCTTCATCCAAGTAGTTTATAAAGACATTGAACAAAAGCGGGGATGGAACCCTGTGGTACCCCACTTATCACGTTTGTTCCAGGATGACGAGGAACCATTAATGAGTACCCTTTGGGTTCGGTCAGTCAACCTGCTACAAACCCACCTAACGGCTACCTTGGTCAACCCACATTTTACCAGCTTCCTCATGGAGGACTTTGTCAAAAGCCTACTGCCAGTCTCAGCAGTAAAAACAAGTTATTCTAGAAACTCTAACTTTAGAAACAGGTTTTCCCAGAAGCAGTGGCTTTGTCTTGAAAGACTAGTTTCAACCCTTCCAACCTTTGGAAAAGTTTCATTTTTCTTAAGCTTTTTTGCATGTTGCTGCCTGCAACTTTAAATAATTAACATATATTTTGCAAGGCCAATCTTGTCAGACAGAATTTCATCTCTACAATACCGGGCAGTATTCTTAATAGTGTTATTAAGATACAATAGTGCATGCAAGTGACATTTTGAGAAGGGCTCATCACTAAGTGTATACAAAAGATGAAAAAACTGCAGGGCTCTTGATATATAGTAGTTTGTGTAGCATAAGCTTTGTAAAGCTTATTAGATTGCACTTTATATATCTGATGAAGCAAAGTTAACTCATAACAAATATGAGCTTTGGGTCCACTATTTTCCCCATTCCACTCCATCCCTGCCAAACTACAGGAAAAAAGAATGATAAAATTATAGGGGAAATGGTTATTTGAGCACACAATCCTTTAAAGGAAGGCTAAATTTTGATGGTTTAAATATTCCAAAATAAGAATAACAACTATCACTTAATGATTCACTTTTCCCTGCAGTGAGGGGAGAGAAGTAAGCAAGGAAGCATGAGGCTGATTGCCAAGCTCTTTATGGAGACAATGTGCCTAAAAGACAGTTTGTGTCTTTTTGCTACTGCAGATTTACAGAGCTATTCTTCTGAAAAATGTGTACCATCAGCTGAAGGCCATACTTCCCCCCAAAATATCCACAGAGTGGCTACTTAGCAGTTCTATGGCGTGTTGCTAACTCCCAGTTTGGGGGCCTAGATAACAGTTCAAGCAAAATTAAAATAGACAGTGCTGCATATGTAAATTGGGGCTGTGTGCCTGCACGTGTACTGCAAAGTGTTGGGTGGCTACACCCACCAACTGAAAGCCCTGGAAGGTTGCCAGGGATGGATGTGGCCCTGAAGCCAGAAAATGTTAAGTCACTTCTGCTCTAGAGAGCAGAAAGAATAGCAAACAAAGGGAAAGCTAAACAATTTACCACAGAAGCTATAAAGAGGTATTGGATATATGAAGTATTATGTATCACAGAGGGCTAGAGTTTGCTCCAAGCTAGAGAATGTACCTGTGCCCCAGGATATGCTGAGGCAGTCTCTGCGATGTGGCGGAAGGACTCTGCATCACTGAAGAAGCGTTCTGCAGCAGCTCCCTTCCCCATGAAGTGGCTGAAGGCTTCCTTCAAATCTTTTGTGGAATGCAAGATTGAGTGGTCTTGCCCAACACCAGAATCTAGACCAAGGGCTTGCAGCAACTTCACACCAGAAAGGACGACATCTACACAGGCATTGACCCTACCAATAACAGAAGATGAAAAGCTATAATCTAGGCTAATTTTTAAGGAACATATCTACAAGGATACATGCATTCAAGCTTATTTTGCAGTTTATTGACATAAGTATTCTGTAGAGTTTAACAAACAACACTGAGGAATCATATTGCTACTATTTACTTACAATGGAAATATATGCATGTCTATTCATAAGTAAGTCGTACTGTGTTCATGAGAGTACGAAATTGCAGCTGAAAGTTAGATTTTTCATAAATTCTGTATTTGAGAAATGGACCTCTGAGTGTTTAAGCTTTCTGTCTTGTTTGCCGGGCAAGGCCCCCACAGTGTACTGGCTATGAAAGTTTAGGGGTGCTCACATGAGATCTCAGGGGAACTTGGATGGACTTGTGAAAGCATCCCAGAACTGGTGCACCAAGAGAGCCTTGCCTCCAAACAAGGCAAAGAGCTTAAAGGCTCTTTTCATGCTGGGAAAACCCAGTACAAAAATAACTTCCTTGCTTGCATTTAACTTGCACAACAACAACAACAACAACAACAATAATAATAATTTATTATTTGTACCCCGCCCATCTGGCTGGGTTTCCCCAGCCACTCTGGGTGGCTTCCACAGAGACCAAAAATACACTAAAATGTCACACATTAAAAACTTCCCTGAACACAAGCTTTCCCACCACTATCTGACCTTCCCTTGCAATGCACAACCGCACAGAATTGTGTTCTAATGCATGCTCTTAGTTTACACTTAGTTTATACAAAGTAACATCAAGGCTCAGTAGGACTGGCTAGTGTCCTACATTGAAGTTTGCACCCTAATATGTGCCCTAGAGTATTCGCCTGGCAAACATGCAGGGGATCCTCAGTAGTCAAAAATACATGGAAACAGGTTTCTCCACAGCAGAATATGTAAGGACCACTGCTCTATAGCAGAAACGTTTATTAGCTAGTGTTCCAAAGAACACTCAGGGAGATCTATACACAATAATTTAAGACATCACTCACCCAACAGCAACTCTGTTCCACTGTTTGCCCGGCTGGGTGATAAGCACTTCCCAGGCAGCTGCCATGCTGCTCTCTGGGGACGCAAGATCCCCCTGCAGCTGATATAGGAAGGAGCTTGAGAGATACTTCAGCACTGAATCTGGCAGATCAGAGTCCAATAGGAAGACATAGCCTGTAGCCAGAGCCAACAAGGCCACACAAACCGACTTGTTCCACATGCTGATGTCCTGAAGTGAAAGCTCAAGGTGAAGAGTGTGAATGAAGTTTATATGGCAGCTCTCTTAAGTCTGGCCTGAAAACTGGTTTTCTCCACATCTGCCACCTTCATGTTTATAATTGTTCACAACCTATAAATAAATATTTAAACATGAGCATTAGACTTTGTATAGCAAACCCCACCTCATGATCACATCCTTCTAGTTTGCTAGGTTCTTATTTTTGCTTTTTCCTTCTCCTTTCTCCCCCTGCCTCTAGGTTTATTATACTTCTCTATTATATTTATTAATTTCCTTATACTGTACAATAAGGTATGGGGTGGGGGTGCAGAGAAGACCTACTGAATTAGTTGTGGGGGAAATTGCACCTGGCACTCACTCAAGTTATGAAAAGGTCTGACCCAGAGAGAGGAGGGGGTACTGAGAGAGATAGACAAGTGTTGGGCACATATGTGTGTGTGTGTACATATAGGTGTATGTGTATCTGTGTGTGTGTATACACACACACGTATATGCGTGTAACCAGAGTCGGATTTAGGGAGGTGTAAACGCCCCCCCCCCGGGCGTACAACCAAAGGGATGCAAAATAACACCACCACCATCTCTATTTATACGGGTACCTACTCAATTATTGTGAATATAATATATATATTTTTGGGGGGTGCCCGCCAAACTTTGTTCTGGCTCAGGGCGCCCTATTACCGAAGTCTACCCCTCGTGATATATAAAAGATATAGATGCCTACTCTCCCCCCGCCCCCTCTTTTCCTCTTTGGCCTCGATTAGGAGGAAACGAAAGCAAGGAACGGGGACAGGAGGAGGAGAAGCCGGGGTCGGGGAGGGGGGGCGTCGGACCCTTCGTCCCTCCCGGCGTCGCTGGACTGCAGCTTCTCCCCCAACCCCCGACCCCGGGGCAACTCCGGCGGGAGCCGCCGGCGAGGGAGGCGAGAGGGAGGCGGCGAGCGGGACGAGGGAAGGCGAAGGAGGGACTTGCAGGCGGCCTACCCTGCAAAACGAGCTTTCCTCCCTCCCTTTCGGCGCGCTTAGGGGACAGTCACCCCCCAACACGACCCAAGGGGGGGAAAGAAGCCCCCCAAGTCCCTTCCTCCCTTTCCCTGAGGGAAACCCCTCGCTGGCTTCCGGCGGAGAGAAAAGCGCGGGCTGGTTTACCTCACGGCTGAGGGGGCAGCAGGGGCCCGGCACCTTCCCGCCCCTCCCCGGAGCCCAGGCCGCGGGCTGCTCCCCTCAGGAAACGCGGCTCTTCCCGTCCCCGAGGAGAACCGCCGGCCGGCCGCGGGCCCTGCAGCGCCTCTCCGCCGCCCGAGGCTCTCGAAAGGCCGCCTCAGAAGCGGGCAGCTCCCTTACGCCATCTCCGTATCCCGCCGGCGGCGTTACTCAACCCGTTCGGCGGGAGGCCCCGCCGCCTCTTTGCGGAGTTTGCGCAGCTTGCGCGGCTCTGCCTAACTTTTCGCGCGGCGGGCGGCCTCTCGTCGGCGCTGCGAGCTTTGCAGAATCGTCGGGCGCCGCAACTCGGAAGCCGGCCGGGCGAAGCTTAGCTGCCAATCAAAAGGGAACGTAACCAATCGTCTGGAGAAAGGGGTGGGCGACTAGATATGGAAAGAGGAAAGGAGGAAGAAAGGGGAGGGGGAGGAATGTACCATGAGGCGTTGCGAGGCGGGGGGTGTACGCATACATGTTCTCCTTAGTTGCTTGGACCAGTTTGGTGATGGTGATAAGGATGCCCTTTATAGAATCGTAGAATTGTAGAGTTAGTCAAAAAAGCTAAGATCATGGCCACTGGTCCCATCACCTCCTGGCAAATAGAAGGGGAAGAAATGGAGGCAGTGAGAGATTTTACTTTCTTGGGCTCCATGATCACTGCAGATGGTGACAGCAGCCCCGAAATTAAAAGATGCCTGCTTCTTGGGAGAAAAGCAATGACAAACCTAGACAGCACCTTAAAAAGCACCTTGCCAACAAAGGTCCGTATAGTTAAAGCCATGGTTTTCCCAGTAGTGATGTATGGAAGTGAGAGCTGGACCATAAAGAAGGCTGATCGCCGAAGTATTGATGCTTTTGAATTATGGTGCTGGAGGAGACTCTTGAGAGTCCCATGGATTGCAAGAAGATCAAACCTCTCCATTCTGAAGGAAATCAGCCCTGAGTGCTCACTGGAAGGACAGATCGTGAAGCTGAGGCTCCAATACTTTGGCCATCTCATGAGAAGAGAAGACTCCCTGGAAAAGACCCTGATGTTGGGAAAGATGGAGGGCACAAGGAGAAGGGGACGACAGAGGGCGAGATGGTTGGACAGTGTTATTGAAGATACCAGCATGAGTCTGACCAAACTGCAGGAGGCAGTGGAAGACAGGAGTGCCTGGCGTGCTCTGGTCCATGGGGTCATGAAGAGTCGGACACGACTAAACGACTAAACAACAACAGAGTTAGAAGGGACCCTTGGGGGTCATCTAGTCCAACCCCCTACAATGCAGAAATCTCAGCTAGGTCATACATGGCAGGTGGCCATCCAGCCTCTGCTTAAAAGCCTCCAAGGAAGGAGAGCCCTTGACTCAGGATGGGTAGGAGGCGAAAGGGAGAGAATAGAAGAGGCAGAAAAGGGGAAGGACCATAACAGAGTGTCAGAACACCCAGTGCTCTGTATGCAGAAGGATCCCAGGTTCAATCCCCAAGTTTGAAATTCTGGAGAGCTGCTGCCAGCCTGGGTTGACAGCAATTATGGTGGAGGACACACGTAGCATGACAAAAGCAGAATTTTTTAAAAATCCCAGGTTCAGTTGCTGGCATTGCTTGTTATGTATTATGTATTGCATTAAAATAATTACCCTATTTTCTTGTTTCATTTAATGGATGTTATGTACATCATGTTGTGCATTATGTTATTATGTTGTAAACCTGGATAGCTCAGTTGGCTAGAGTGTGGTGCTGATAATGCCAAGGTTGAAGGTTGGATCCCTGTAGGTGATCCAACTGCAAATTCCTACATTGCAGCGGGTTGGACTAGATGATCTTCCAGCTCTACAATTCTATTAAACCATCCTTTTGGGGGGTTTTGGGGGGGTATGGGGAGCCCAGCAGTTTTCAAGGTTCTTTGTCAACATTTGATTTAGAGGCCCAGTTGCCCTTGGATTAGCACAATGGTAGTCACAATGTAGTCACAATGGTTATAGAAAACACACCTTGGACATGTTCAAGACCTTTCCTCCACCACCCCTCTTACATTATCATCTGAAGTTAATGGCAGAGCACGTCTGTCTGTGTTTCATTCCACTCAGTGATGGTGATGGATGGATTTCTGTTCTGGGAGACAAATATCATAGGAACATAAAAAGCTGCCTTATACGAAGGCAGGCCAGTCAGTACTGCCTGCATTGGCTGGCCACATTTCCCGCTCAGTACAGTGGTACCTCGGGTTAAGTACTTAATTCATTCCAGAGGGCCATTCTTAACCTGAAACTGTTCTTAACCTGAGGCACCACTTTAGCTAATGGGACCTCGTGCTGCTGCTGTGCCGCAGCCGCGCAATTTATGTTCTCATCCTGAAGCAAAGTTCTTAACCTGAGGTACTATTTCTGGGTTAGCGGAGTCTGTAACCTGAAGCGTATGTAACCCGAGGTACCACTGTATTGTCTACACCAGCCTGGCAGGAGTTTGGACAGGACTCAGACGTGGAGATGCTGAGAACCTGGGACCTTCTGCAAACAAAGCAGATGCCAGACCCTTCACTGTCAGGTGAATCTGGAAAAGGGTGAGATTTAATGAAAGCCAAACACCTAAGAACGGAAGTGGTGTGCTAATAAGAGTTCCTTTCTTTCCTTAGTTTTCTTTGATTAGGGGCTTGTAATTTAAACCCTAAAGTCTGCTGAATCTCCCCAACGAAAGATGTAATTTCCTAAGCCTGAGTCACTGCAGGCATGTCACTGGGTGGTTACTTCGGCTTACATGGCTGAGGCAATTACAAAAATAACAAAGGATTCCTTCCCTAGTTTTATGGCATTAAATAAAACTAAACAAAAAACAACCCACAGAAACATGCTTCTAACAAAGTTCACAGTGAAGGGAAAGGAATATCAACAAACCACATTCTGTTTATCATTCCAGAAATGTTGAAACCCTGTGCATTCCTCTTCCAACTTATTTACAGAGCACAATTCTTGACTTGACCCTAATAGACCAAGGACTCAGCTGGACTGGTAAAGAAAAAGCGATTTACAGTGGTACCTCAGGTTAAGTACTTAATTCATTCTGGAGGTCCGTTCTTAACCTGAAACTGTTCTTAACCTGAAGCACCACTTTAGCTAATGGGGCCTCCTGCTGCTGCCGCACTGCTGGAGCACGATTTCTGTTCTCATCCTGAAGCAAAGTTGATAACCTGAAGCACTATTTCTGGGATAACAGAGTCTGTAACCTGAAGCGTATGTAACCCGAGGTACCACTGTATATGCCTTGTGTATGCGCCACCAGATGGCGATGTGGAGTCCCGTTTTTCTCTACCTGTTTTCCCTGTTTAAATTTCCCTGTTTAAATCCGCTTTAAACTGAAACACTTCTTTGATGTGTCTAGATCCAGCCCAAGTCAATTTACAGGGCCTGTAAATAATCATTCCTTCAGTTTTAGAACCTGCTATACTTCTGCTTGCCAGAATCATGTAAAACAGCAATGCCTCTTTATCCTTAGGAACTCACCTTTTAGCCAAAGTCAACAAAACCCTTAAAAAATAATAATAATCCCGGCTATGTCTCTCTTCCAAGATCTTATGGAGTGCACATAAAATCAGACTCCAAAGTATCTTGGCCTCTCCTTGCATCCACCAATAATGAAGGGAAGCCTCCTTTTCCTCCATCGCTTTTCCAGCGCTGGTCTGATTCGGCTTTATCCAAGATAATTTACCCAGTCTTATAACCCTCCAATTCTTCTTGCAGCTGCAACTCTATTCACCCTTACCTGGGAGAAAGTCCTAATGAACTCTCTCTGAAATTACTTCTGAGTACCCACGGATATTTTCTCTTTCTTTCTGACTTCCTTTTTCTCCCTCTCTTTCTGATATCTACTTCTCTCCCTACTAAGCCTTCACCCATCAGGCTGTCATGAGATGGATAGATAACTCCTGCTAAAGTTATGAACATTTTTTTTTATTTTTTATTTTTGCAGAGGGCTTTTGAAATCACACAAAATTCATCTGAGGAGTGCATGGTGCCCACCCCAATGTAAACAGTACTCATCTAGATGGTCTGGCCTGGTATCAAGCAGCTGCTTCTGTTGTACAAGCTTCCCTCAAAAGCAGTGGCGTAGCGTGGGTTTTCAGCACCCGGGGCAAGGCAAGTAATTTGCGGCCCCTAACCCGTGGATTTTAGCAGGGGGCAGAGAGCTGCGAGTGCGAGCGCAAACCCCCTCCCCCAGATGTTGCGCCCGGTGCGGCCGGCCCCCCCTGCACCCCCCACGCTACGCCACTGCTCAAAAGACATATATTGGGGTGGAGATAAAGACTTATTCATAGCACACATGCTTTGCTTATGAATTTTTCTAATAGTCTTCATCTATGAATTTCTCCTGATACAGATTCCTTTTTTAAGGCGCTTTTGCCTAATATACATATTTTTGCAAAGCAATCAACCCTAGCATCAAGAAGTTTTGCATGACATTTTCAAAAATATATGCATTTTTTGCACACTTTATACAGTAGTACCTTGGGTTACAAACTTAATTCGTTCTGGAGGTCCGTTCTTAACCTGAAACAGTTCTTAACCTGAGGCATGCTTTCGCTAATGGGGCCTCCCGCTGCGGCCACGCCGCAGTCGTGCGATTTCCGTTCTCATCCTGGGGCAAAGTTCGCAACCCGAGGTACTATTTCCGGGTTAGTGGAGTTTGTAACCCAAAGTGTTTGTAACCTGAAGCATTTGTAACCCGAGGTACCACTGAACACATTTTTGTACCACATTGCTTGATTGGAGAACTAACTGTGTTGCAAAATTTGAAGATGTGTTGTTTTCAAGGGATGTCTTGTGTTTCAGTTCCCTCTTTTGAAAAGTGCAAATGAGTTAGCTTTGTGTTTAAATGTGAACTGGATCGATTTCTCTCCCATCCCTTTCTCCAGTCTAAAGGATCAGATGATAACGTATCTTAAACCCTGGAATGCTGCTGTCAGTCAGAGTAGCTAATACAGTGGTACCTCGGGTTACATAAGCTTCAGGTTACATACGCTTCAGGTTACAGACTCCGCTAACCCAGAAATAGTGCCTCAGGTTAAGAACTTTGCTTTGGGATGAGAACAGAAATCGTGCTCCGGCGGCGCAGCAGCAGCAGGAGGCACCATTAGCTAAAGTGGTGCTTCAGGTTAAGAACAGTTTCAGGTTAAGAATGGACCTCCGGAACGAATTAAGTATTTAACCCGAGGTACCACTGTATTGAGCTTGATGGGCCCGTGTTCTGGCTCAGTACATGGCAACTTCACATGTAATTACAGAGGGTTCTTTAAATCCAAAAACTGCATTATTCCCTTGGGGGGGGAGGGGAAACCACAGATTTTTAAAACGCCATTGCTAACCCTTATGCTTGTAGAAATATACTTGAAAATATATCACTGGCTCTGTTGAAAAGACTTGGCCTCCATTTTGGTTTTAAAACTTTCCTTTCTAGCCCAGCTTATCCTTTCTCCTCAGCGCTTGAATTCTAGTATTTGTTCTTCAAAGTTGTAAAGAAAAATGAAGAAGAGCTCTGTTGAAAATCCTTAGGTGTTTCCCCCCCCCCCTTTCCTTTTTTTATAAGCTGTTCGTTTTTTCCACGAGAATTCACCTCTTCCCTTTGCTGCGACTGAAAATCAAAGAGATATAACTCCAGGGGAGGAAAATTGCCCTTGAGAAACTCTTAATAAAGCTCACAATCTTTTTTAGTATAAGCTGCAGTAAATTTCATTGAAGTGCCTGAGTTGTGGAGCGCAGTCCCTGAGGAAGAAATCTATGCTGCACAAACAGCTGCTGCAGGTTAAGGTTTCTGCTTAACCGCTTCGATCCTCAAGTAGGCTGGCGACAGATTACACAGATTACACAAAAACAGCCGGAGCCTGTCCATCCAATCAGGGTTTCCCCTCTCCTACCCCCAGCAAATGTGCATGTGCTTCGTATTTCTTGCACGTGGCCCACATGCCTTCTATTGTGCTTCTGTTGGAAGGACACCACATTTCATTTTAGCAAGAGAGGGAGAGAAATTCTAATACAGAATTCTTATTATCCTCACCAAGTTACAGTGCCCAAGAGGTTCTGGTAGACGCCATGACAGCTGAACCAGTATAAAGGGACCACTTACCGTTAGGTCCAGTAGTGACCAACTCTGGTGTTGCGGCGCTCATCTTGCTTTATTGGCTGAGGGAGCCGGCGTACAGCTTCCGGGTCATGTGGCCAGCATGACTAAGCTGCTTCTGGCGAACCAGAGCAGCGCACGGAAACGCTGTTTACCTTCCCGCTGGAGCGGTACCTATTTATTTACTTTCACTTTGACGTGCTTTCAAACTGCTAGGTTGGCAGCAGCAGGGACCGAGCAATGGGAGCTCACCCCGTCGTGGGGATTCGAACCACCAACCTTCTGATCGGCAAGTCCTAGGTTCTGTGGTTTAACCCACAGCACCACCCGTGTCCCTATTGAACCAGTATAGAAGTGGTGTAAATTGGTAGTAGAGGAAGCCCTCAAGTTATATTAGGGTTACATTCTGGGGATCACACCTAAAGTAAAAATCGTCTGTAGTTGGGTTCAATGGTGAGTGGGATTGCCAAAGTCTTGTTTCCCAGATGCTCTCCTGCTTTCCACCCCCTAATTTTTTAAATTTTAATTTGCCAAGCACGTAAAGCTGAATGCACACAAGTTAAATGCTACACATTTTGCCAGCAGGACAGGCGTACAACTAAGTGGCTTGTATGCACCACTGCAAACAACCAACTGCTATTCTCTCACCTCTCTACCACTCCCCATCTTTCTA